TAATGAAGCCCAACACGAAACATATAATCAATGGCGTAATCTCGAGGCAAACCAGTCTTAAGCACAATAGTATTTAAGTTTGTTGTAACAAATGCGAGCCATATTACTCATTGCTCCTCGTTGATTTCATTTTCCTGAGAGGATTCACCCGCTCAATCGCTAACTCGTAGTTTGTACATATTTGTTTTTTCACCAGTTACCCATTTTTTTCTTTGCTCATCAAAGACTTTTTTCTTTTTTATTAGAACCCTGCGAAAAGGAATAGATGGTGCAAGCTGCTTGAAGCAGGCCTTCCGACAAAGTCCAGCTCTTGCCGATATTATCAAAATAGCCGTCGAGGCTGGAGTGACAGAGGAACAAGCTTTGATGGACGTTCTATTTATGCTCAAGTAAGACCCTGTTTGCCTACTCTCTTTTTAGGGTCAAATTTTTAGGGTCAAATTTTTAGGCTCCTTAAAAGTATTCACTGTAATCTCAATTGACCACTTTGTCCTTTATTTCACTGATCGTAATTTTCACTTCTCTTTGTATCAATATTCATGTACTTGTATACACAACAAGAAACATGCAGACCCCGTTTTTGCAGACTCATGCTGCGTAAGTCCGTACAAAAATTTGCTTGTTGATCTTTAAGCCTTCAATGAGCTACTAGTATCCGACTATTACATAATTATTAATTATGATAAATATTTGATAATAATCAATTATGAAATACAACGTAAACTAGCGTGGGAGTTGGGTTCCAAAGCGTTGTTGTTGTTATTCTTACTTAACAAGCACTCCGTTGGCAACTGTGAATAAAACTAACCATCAAAATCGTAACTGAAACAAGTGTTTGATATTATCCTTAAAAGTAATCATGAAAAACATCTCGACACCGTCTTTTCCTTTCAGTTTCAATGCGTATGGCGGTGTATCCGGTTCTTTGAGGACCTGTATGGCCCGTTTATTCGTGCTCGAGCAGGATTACAAACAGAAAATGAAAAATGAAATGATAACAGTGTTGTCGAATCAAGCACTGTCCAAGGAGGCCCTCACAGAAATGCCGCTCCTGCACAATTTCATCTTAGAGGTACTGCGTATGCACCCACCAGTGCCAGTCTTCTTTGGACGGGCGAGGTCAGTATCGTGTCTTCCTTATTGACATCTCATCTTGATAAAACTTCATCGTTAAACTTTTATTCAGGAAAAAATAAATAAATAACTGAAAAAAGATACTAAGCTACAAATACTTAGCACTGGGATTGCAATCAGCCACAGCGTTTTGAGCTAGAATTCGTGAGATAAGAGATACTTGGTAAGGGAAATCTGTCATATTAATATATTTACATCTAAAATTGCGAGAGAGAGGCCAGTCAGTAAATGGGGTTACAGGGAGTAAAAGGTCATTTCATAAATGAAAAGTGTTTTCCTTTTAATAAACCATCTTGAATGAAGTAACAAACCCCTCCAGCAGCTTACGTAATATCTATAATCTATAATATTTACTTCTCACTTGCTGTAAAGTGCTGTAAAATGCTTTTGGAATATTGTAACCCAGCAAGGCACCAACCAACAACTCCTTGTACCTAAATGGGGATTACCTCAGCCTCTATGTCTGAGGACAAAGTTACGTTTCTTACATTCCATGTCTTCTATTCTCAACAGAGAGGATTTCATCCTTAACTCTGACAGCGGCAAATTCATCGTAAAAAAAGACGAACTTCTTGTTGGAAATGTACGCATGGTGCACAGGGACGAAAGAATATTCGATCAGCCACACAAATTTTTACCGGCTCGATTTGAAAACAAGGTAAAGTTTTATTCTTCCTTACGATTCGAAGAGTAATGGGGACCAATGTCTTTTGGAGCAGAATCAAAGATGGAATACCTTACGAGCTATAGAAATGAAGTAGGGTAGAAGAAAATTCAGTTCTTACGGAAATACTCCAAATTGTAGAAATAACAGGTAGTAAAATTTTGTTAAAGACACCATTTGAATCAGTTGATAATTTTGTTGAGGTCCCCTTTCTTGTTCTTGTTTAATTGTAGGCCCTGATAGATCACATCATATATGGATATGGACCCTTTAATGAAGAGGCGACGCCTCAAAATCATCACTGTGCGGGACAGGTAAATACTCTAACTATGCCTTAACTAGACCTTTGACGAAAATGAGACTGAACCAGTCTTACTCGGATATAAAAGCAAAACCAAATTAGTCAAACGGGGCCATCTTCAGACAAAAGGAAAAAATCACATAACACCAATAGAAACTTAGAGTAAATGCAGGCACACCTTCCTGAAGCGCCAGAAAACGTGCAATCTGGTAACCAGGTCTCACTTGCTTTCAAAATTACCTCAGACCGGTTGAGAAGGTGGCGCATGCTTAACTACCAATCACGTAGCGTCTCGACTAGAAACAGAGCTGGGCGAAGTAAAGCAAGTCGGAATATTTTTATTATATATTTTTCTCGCGATAATTTTGAAATCCTTTTGTATACTCTCTTTTCCCTTTCTCTCTTGATTGTCTCCTGGTTCACGTTCTTCGTTCTCGGCTTCTTTTCTACTTTTCATCCGGCCCTTTTTAAACATGTACTTGTTTTTTTTTATTTCTTTGTTGTTACATCCTTTTGCTTCTGTGTATGAATTTCATGGAAGAAAGTTTCATTGCAGGAGATCACCCTGACAGTACTAAAGGTTGCGGTGGCACACGTTGTGCTGAACTGCGAATTTGGCTTGGTGGATCAACCTGTATGGACTGGGAAAAAGTGAGTCATTTGAATATGTGAAAGATTTTGCAGATTGTTTTCATTGACTCCTTGAATATTCTAGCCAAGTATTATGCTATTTATGCACACCATTTCAATACATCATCCCACATGTGAGTGAGGACTGAGGAGAACTATCACCAAAAAATAAATAGCAACCAAACGTGAGAATTCCTGGTAAGATCCTGAGTCTGGGGGTATTGAAAAGAAAGCTTTCAAATCAATTTTGCTCATCCGTAAGGTTACATATGTAATTCACTGTCGGAAAACATCTCAAATGGCCGAACAATAACTAGTCTTCTTCGCAGCTGTTCTTCAGAGTGTCACACATAGCTTTATCCCACCCCCGCTATTCCCCCACGAAAAGCCTTGCTTGTCATCCCAAAGAACGGCTGTGAAGAAAAGACAACAGTGCTATCCAAATAAAGAATCATAAAGAGCTTCAGCTGCTCATTTTGATTTTGATTTGTTTTTCATTTTAGATTAAGAAGAGTTGGTTGCCCAGACAAGGAGATGAAGCTTTCTTATTTCAAGTACAAGCCCTCTGAGGTGAGATATCATAATTAAGCGAAAAGAGAGATCGAGATAAAGCATCATCATCAAGAAAAAAAAATCGATAAACGGAGTTCCTTGATTTTTATATTCCAATCAAAATTGGAAATTCTATGGTGTCATTTTTTGTCTTTTAGTAGATTCTCCACTGATAAGAGATCACCAGTATTTGTTTATTGACCAGCTTTTCCCGGTCATCATGGCTGAATAAGGGTCTGTTCTTGTTTCGCACTTTATAAAAATCCCATATTCAGCCATCGCGACCGAAAAAGTTTTGTCAAGAACGTGTATGCCTCTGCGTGCTTTATAAAACATGTCAATTCGCCAGCTGACGTTAAAAGCTTATCCTTTTCCTCTTTTTCTCGATGACTAGGTCGACGGGGGAGATGTGGCAGTTCAAGACATGACAGAATAGAATGACTGCTTTTATTATGTGCGCCATTGTACGCACGTCCACCGTAGACCGTCCGGGGAGGACGACCTGGTCGTTGGTCATGAAGAATGGTACAATGGTGCCGAGGTCCTCCCGGCTGACACTAGGACGGTGGAGTTTCGCTTAGCAATAGTCGTGTTTGATCGCACAAATTTGTACCAAGGACATTGAATACGTCCAGTCATCAAGTTAAATATGTGACTGATTGGTTTCAAAGTTTCAAAACCATTCAATGCGTTTTCGGTTTTGAGTTGTAATTAGCTGCGAAAGATTGTTGAGAAGGATGTTATCACAAAGTTTACGAAGTATACAGGGAACTATGAATAATGACGTTCAAGTTAGATATCTGATTGCTAGTTGCTAGAGACAAAAACCAAAGACAACAGACAACTATCACTCATCCACCAACGACGGTTTCTGCAATCTGCCACAAATAAACCCGAAATAGAAAACGCACAGAGCAAAAATTAACACCATGTTAAACTACATGCACGAAAATTATTTATACAAAGATAATTAAACCATCAAATGTCATAGCGGTACAACGCCCAGGTAAATAAACAAGAACGGCCATATAGCAAAAAGCCCAGTTTCCCTGAAAAGATATGCCCTTGAACGATGCAAAGAGTTTTCGTTTGCAAAGATGGTAAACCTAGGCCCTGCACAATACACACAAAAAATTACCTTTCCAGGAATGAAAATTATCAATTAAAAAGATGAATATTAGTGAAAAATCACTTCGCACCCGAATTGTCATTATCCTATCCTCTTATCATTTAACCGATATTTCACAGGGGGTTTAAGCAAATGCGAGCTCACTTTTTGTGTTCTTATATATTCAGCCCCAATGTCATTATTTTCACCTTTTCTTGATATCTTTCTTTAATTTTTGGGAGTGCATGATTCTTTTTCGGTTCTCTTGCGGCAACTTTTTTATCTTTTTTTTTATTTCTTATTCATCCCTTCCTCTAGGATCAAAAGGACTTGCCCAAACGAGATTCCTTGAAAAGAAATGACAGAAATATCAAACATTCCCAGTCCTAGAATAGAAATACAAATCCATTGAATATAAAAGTTGAAAATTTATTTTTTTTAACGTTTTCCTGTCTAGTTGTCGTTGTTACGTTTTTATTTGGATATATAACAGAATATGGAATATTAAACGGGTTTACCTGCTCAGCAACAAAAGATGTGGAAAAACTATGGTTGGCACTACGATGAGAAAAAAGTATAGTTACATTATATGTAACCACTCAAAACAAGTATACATGGGAAAAATTGGTTTAATCCTAATTATGTTTATCATTCACAGAAAATTACTTGCTTGCAAGGATTCGTTTACAGACGTTATTCCAGACGAAATAAATCAATCCACGTTCTTTAATTACCCGTAAAGTATTCCCATGTGTGTTAACTTTTGCGTTTCAAATGAGCTATACAGAGCATTTTTCAGTTGATTGTCCATCAACCATTGCCAAATTAATCACAACCACCCATCACAACAAAGAAAAATCATAACTGGAAAAAAAAACCAAAAAAAAAAACAGGCAAACTACCAGACGCTCTGGAAACACTGTGACCAAACCATGATTGGTGTTAAATCTGCGTCTGATTGGCTTAGTTGATGGCGCGAGCATTCTACACCAATCACAGATTCGAATACAGCAAAAACAAGGCAGTGGCTGATTTCTCTTCATATTCAATCAAAGACTGCTCCAACCCACACATATAGGTGCAATCATCGAGACTTGAAGTAATCGACAGTGCATTAGTTTTGTCTCACCACAATCTCCGATTGGTTGAGAAAAAACTCCCACCTGCTTCTAAACCAATGAGAGGAGACTTAGTCTGGGTTCCATTTCTTTTCGCATACGTTTACTCTGAGCAGTGATTGGCTCGTTCTGTCGTGTACCTTTGCACTGATTGACCGATGTGATGACTATTGGATTGGATTTGCGACACTCGCCCTATTGAGGGAGTATGGGGAGTGTGTTGGCAAAGACGATTTTGAAAAGTTTAAGTTTCTAACTTATTCCGAATTAACGGGCAGTCAGACAACTGAACTTCGCATACAGTACCTTTTCTATATTTTTCTCAATGTCTTTTTCCACAAGATCCCCATGTAGTAGTTTAGAGACAATTTTCTCCTTCACTGGTAGTCTCCATTTCAAGAGGATTTTCCGAACAACGCCAAGGCAGCAGAATTGTGTACGTGCTATGTTTCATTTCAATTCTTAATTTTTCCCTCGCAACTGCACGATTACGGAAGGAAATTTTTCAATGCAACATTTTAAGGAGTGAGTCCACACTCGACATCAATTTTTAGATCACTGAGCAACTGCGCACCTACCCCTCCCGTAACCAAACACTAACCCTCCCCTTTGACTGCTGTGGGGTTAGGGGAGGGGTAAGCGCGCAGTTGTCTAATACTAACATTGATCCCAATTTTTCTCTTTTTCTCTCTGGACTTGAATGCTGCTCCATAAACATTCCACACCGAGAAAGTCACCTAAATTTGACGACTTGATGTTAATATTGAGCGAGTTTCAGAGACAATGTGACGCTGTTGGCCGTGTCATTTCGTGCTTATCTCAACTCCTCGTGTTAACTCGGTAGTGTTAAAATGGGCGGCTTCAGTTGATACTTCACTCTTACGGACATCAATACCAACTCCTCGCTCATTTAAGGGGAAAATTATCCTGAGTATATATTAAAAATCTGAGTAATTCAAATACTTTACTGGCTTATTTTGGCCTTATCTTCTCGTAAAAGAATTGTTTTTTTACAGGTTCTAAGATACCGTCCTTCATTATCAGCGCCCTCTTCTTGGCATCTTGAAAAACCTTATTAGCGAATTCGTAAAAATCATTTTCCATTTTCCATATTTTTGATTGTTCAAAGTATTCAATTGTTGAACTTTCCAATGGTTTCTTCGATGCTGTCTTCCTTAGATGAGATTTACCACCTGAAACAGAAACAAGTAAAAAAAAAGTAAATGAAAATTCAATACAGAAAAATCAAGAATAGAGAAGTGAACTGTATAAACTCTTCTATGTACGTGTTGCTTCGACACAAAAACAAAACATTTCTTGGTTTAATTTTAGTCTAGAAACAAAAAACCATTCTGACTTTTACTAATTTGCTCGACAAGCTTCTTTTTTTCTTTATTTTAATTGTAATAGATGATTTTGAAGTTTGGTTTGAAGGTTATTCCATATACATACACACTATTTATTTTGAACAAGTTTCACAGCAAAATGGCATTACTTTGCGAAGGAACAAAAAAAATCCAACAGAAAGGATTCTCCACATATGCGGAGCTCGCATTTTTTTTCCCGCACGTCTCAAGGGCACAACGCCTTGCCCCGGCCAGGACTAGAACCCGAGTCGTCCGACTCGGAGCCCAGTGCTCTGACCACTGGACTACTGGACAAAGCCGTGGTGTTGGCGTGCCCGCGGTACAGTTGACCACGCATGTTAAAAGTAGCACCTTGTATGGTTTTTCGGCCTGATAGGTTACTACTATTTTGTATGATTATGGGGTTACGCGAGCTCCACTATTAATAAGTATGTGTATTTAATGATAATTCTTCTCACCTTCATTAAACAATTTTGTTGCCCCTTTAAATATTCTTGGCAGTACTACTTCCAAAACTGCGACAAAGTTCCCCATTTCCTCAGTGATTCCCACTAGTAAGTATTTTTCAACTAAGTTTCTTTTAGCTTGCTCCAAAGCCCATTTATTTCCTGGTGACCTGAAATTCATTACAATTTATGGTTAAAGTAGTTGCTAAGTAATTAAACCTTTTATTGATAGGAGTGACCTGTGGCTGAATTCTTCTTAACTTAACACCACTGAATAAACGAAATGATTGCCAACTTAAGAAGCTTTGATTTATGAACAAATTCTCCTCGTCAGTAACAGAAGAAATGTATAGAAAAAAAGTATGGAGAATGTAGATACTGATGTTAGGGTATAAATGGTTATGGTGCTGGCATGTGAATGCAAAAAAAAAAAAAGGTCTCTGGTATGAAGCTTGGCCAATATCACTGTGCTGTGTTGGAAACCTGAAAAATCATGGGGGTATCCTGAGGACTTCTATCTGGGGGTGGAGGGGGAAGTTAGTCAGACATAAAACACTCCTGATATTGCATTTTAGTAAGTGGGTTGAGGTTACTCCAAAGCTTCACAGGTCAACTTTGGCCACAAATTTGTTGTTTTTAAATATATTTAAGTCAATCACTTCAACATACATTTTCCAAAAATTATGTGAAAAATCTCGATATGCACATGAGTGCACATTAGGAGTTGTAGAATGATGTTTGATCATTTTTCCGCTTTAAGATGAGTAAAAATCAAAATAACTTGTAATTTTATTAAAGTCTGCATTTAATAAACTTTTAGGAGACAAAGAGATATTTTGTTTGTGGTGGTTTCCTTGAAAACAGCATGTACAAATTTTTTTCCTGAAGGAGCTCCTGAAGGTTTGGAGGTGAGGGGCAGGGGGGAGGGGGGACAAAGGGGGTACATGCAGTGGTGCAAGTGATACTATCAGTCACTGCATTCTATTCTGTATTCTATTCTAGTGGTGTGAGCCACTCTCACACCATAACTACTTCAACTCACATCCTCGGCATTTTCATTCAGAAATGTGGTGGCAAGAAAATAGTGTAAAGAAACAAGAGAATATTCACCACATCTAAAGAACAAATGCTTCAGGCTGTCAAATTTTGGCACAGAATTCTGAGTGGCTAATTACAACTTTTCTTATCTCCAGTGCCAGGTCAAAATCCTGCAGGCTTCACTCACTTACAGTTTCCATGTGTCATTGATTAGAACAGTATAAACTGCCAAATTTTATGTTTTAAAATAACTTATGTTGACTAATAAAACATGGCTATTGATAACAAAAAAAACAAACAAAAAAAACAAAAAAAAAAAAAAAAGAGGGACAAACAGGAGTGGAACTCACCAGCACTGCGGTGCATGACCACAAAAGTATGGAATTTGCAGCCACAGCCTCTCAGGCCTGCAATCTGGATTTCCATTCTGAACACATTCATCAAATGTCTAGTCAGAAAATGTAACATATCAGCTAGTTTACTTCAAAGTGCTATGTTACTCACACATTTCACCATTTTCCCACAAAATGACCTTTAGACTTAGGTGAGCTGGAAAGAAATCAACATTTTCCTAAGACAGGAAGACACAAATTATCGATATTGTGACAACCTTTCCACCCTTTTCTTGGAGATGTGATTAACATGTAACTTCTCTCTACAATTTTTGATATTCATTCATTGTCCAATGTGTGGATATTGTTGTCAAACTTATCAGTTAAAAGTTGTTATTTTGACCTACATGTAACAACAAATTCTCATAATAACTATGTGTAATATACAAGGAAATGTGTAACAGCTAAAAATGAGAATTGACAATCAGATCTTGGGAGTTAAAGGGTTAAATGGATCCCAAAAATTAATCATTTTTGTCATAAGTATGTTTCAATATAGAACAATTGCATGTCACATACAGCCATTTGGAATTGTTTCCAACTTCAATACTCATATATACAATAACTCAAATTGATAACAAAATTCAAGTAACCGTCATCCATAATCAGAATCCATGGAGGTTGGTTCAAAAATTCACAAAATCTAGACAAATTTCAAACAACTCTCCACCACATTTTCTTAAACACAACTTCCATACCTCTTTATCTCCTTGTCTTGTTCTTCGAAGGTATGGCCTAAAATCATCTCCAAACCTCAAGAAATAGTAGTAGGAAACTAGTCTGTCCAAAGGCTTCCTTATCATGTTTATAAATAGGGGACTTTGGTAAACACCGAGTCTTTGAAAGTCCATGTAGGCAAGATGACCATGATAGACAGCTGGCATCACCTGTTTCCATGTTGTAATGTTGCGAGCAAAACGTATCTGATCAGAAAGTGACATCACGTGAGAGTTTCGACTAACATTGAGGTGCAGAGCATGGAATCTGTTTGGACGGCATAAAGCATAAAGCACACCCATGAAAGATGTGCTGCCTGTCTTTGGGACTCTGTTGTAGAAAATTATGATGTGATCATCTTCAGTTTGTAATCTGGCTTTCCCTCTAGTGGATGAGTCAGACTGTTGAAAGAGATAGAATGAATGAAACATCTTAGAAAATTAAGTTTTATAAACAAAAAAGTTACAAATCTGAAGAGTTAAATTTTATCAACTCTGGTTAACATCACCAAAAGAACACAAGGGTATAATATTAACAAGAATTAATACAATAACATCTACCTCATTAAAACCACTTTGCATTCTAAATTGAGGTTAGAAGTATCACTTCTACTTAATTCCTTGACTAAAAATGTAAATTAAGCTATCTACATTCATGTAAGGACTGACACATCATTGCATGAGCAGTTGTACACCTGACCCCTCCAGGCAATGCACCCCAAATGGGGTCACAGCTTAGCACAGTGGGAAGTTACCATCCAATTATCAGAAGAGCCTCAAGATCAATAAGTCTGGTTTCTGCTTGCGCTAAGTCAATTTGTGTGAGACTTTCGATAATAAGGCAATTTTTCCATATGTATGTATTGATAGTGTCATCCTTCAGACAAGAATGCAACTAACTGGTCTCTAGTCTACAAATGTGGTTACTGTAAACTGCCTCCTCCCTCCTCACACGCACTTAAAAGCCCTACCTGGTAATGGGCCACATTATTGCCTTTCCTAAACAAAAATTTTCCTGTTATAAGCCCACTTGGATGAGTGAGGTAAATGAAGTGTGTGGGCAAAATAATTTGCATAGCAATTTGCAAAGGATACCAAAAAAGTTCCCAGAAAACCTAATAAAATGCTGTCCAATTTCAATACATTATTGAGCAGAAAGGTCATGATAAGTGAGAAAAATTAACCAGGAGAGAATCTGTGATCAAACATCAAATTCTTAGATTTAAAATTGTAAGATATGTAGAGCAAACAGTATGGAGGATTTATATTTCAATCTATGGAATGATAGGGTTAAAGTTCCAATACACATGCATGTCATCCAGATATGGTACAATCAAACCAGCATAAGCTCTGGCCACTGAGCGAGTACGTCCCTCTACAGTAATAAACTTGCAGCAGAGCAGTCTAATTCTTAAAAGACTCTTCCAAATTCAATAGTGTGTTCATTTGGTGTTTGAGTTTGGAGAATTCTTCCCCTAGTTCACAAAATTCTCTCATTAAATTCTGATGGATTGAACTGTTTTTAATTGACCCTTTAGCTCCCATGGGTAATAAGACAAAATTTCTCCTTACCCTATCGGGATCACTAGTTGATCCAATACCAAATTCTCAGAATGAACAACATAAAAGTTATTTAGCAGATAGTAAGGAGAAGTACAAATGAGATCTTGGGAGTGAAAGGGTTATGATGTAGAGAATACTCTCCTTTCCACCTAACATTTTCCTAATGTTACTGCAAATCAGTTAGCCATGATATTGGCCTGAGAAAAAACTAATGAAACAATAAATATTGCAGCACCTCATAGTTGTTTTCAAATTGACCCCTGTCTCTCAAAATATTGCTAGACGGCAAATTCCCTGCATACTCTAAAATAAGAACAAAATTAAGCATTAAAAGAAAGGAACATGTGAAGAACAGGAGAATTGACCACCAGGTTAATGACCAACTACTGTATGTTACCAAAGAAATTGATGTCCTCAGAGAAAATTGGATAACAGTGGTATATGGATGGAATGTAACAGGTCATCTCCCTTGTCTTTTATACTTCCTCTTCATCAATCATGATTTGATAATGTTATTTACACAAAAAGTTTCATTCTAACATAAAACAGAGCACATGGAGTGGATAACACTCTAGTTGTCTTTGTTTTCCATTAGGCTTTGATATTCTAAACCCTTTTTGTTAGTTTGGAGAGTAGTAAAGCTAGTTGAAATTAGTTAGTAGTAAAGCTGGTTAAATTGGGAGAAATAAGGCTCTTGAAAGTGGAAAGAGGATTATTTTAAACCTGTCAGAAACCCAATGTTTATCATACAATCAATATTAAAAATGATAGCTAACATCATCCTTTGTTGCTTTCAAGTTCACAGTATCTAGAAGTTACGGGTACAACGTATTTTAGGTGTAGTACTTTTAATCTTGTATACAAAACATAAAAACTGTTTAGATGGTTATTGTAAACGGACTGACATCTTAAACTTTATCTTTCAATTAATCCCGAATACCTAGCTTACGAGCCAAGGATTAAGAACGGCTGCTTAAACCAATTATTTTTTAATAAATCAAGTCGGAGCCAGCATCGAGAACGAATCTGTGCGTATTTACTCGACGGACGACGTTTCTTAGCGTGATATGGGCAGTTTGGAGATTAACTCAATTACAAAAACACGAATTCTCCATTTCATCTCGATGTGGAGAAAATCAATCACAAAATACAGTTAAAAGGAAAGTATTTAAGATTTTGAAAGAACATTCCAGCAAAATGGAAACTCGAAATGTCAAACTGAACATCACAAGAGCACATGTGTTTTTAGTCATAAACGATTCCCAAAGTTGCAGGGTATCATGAAATGACTACCACTTAAGATCTTCTTAAAGAGCCATCTATGAAGAAAACAAGAGGAGACATTAATGTGTCCGATTATGGTTTCTCCTACCGTTGTGATCATCATGTGTTGTAACATTCGTCATTTGAAGAATTTGCATCTCTAGAATAACAAACGCAACAATAAAAGCCACGATCATCCATTTGTTGACGATCATTCTCCCAAGGAAAAACCAGGGAATTCTCAGGAAAACCATACACGCTTAACAACTACTGGAAATTTTGGCCACAATAACTTGCCATGAAGCAACAATTAACATCAACAGCATGCGAAGGTAATGACTAACTGCAAGCTAACGGAACATCAGCTAGAGGTTCGTTGGTTGGGAGGAATCTGGGGCGAGCTGTATTAATACTGATATCCAGTTCTCTCTCTTGTGTTCAGCCCACTATCGCGCGAAACTTGAAACCAATCTGCGCCAATTCCTCAATTTTCCTCACTTTGGGAAAGGAACTTGCTACAAATCAATCTAAAAACGATTCATGTAGACAAACTGAGTGATAATCTATACCTAAAATATCAAAGGAAGGCATAAAGGTAAGATTTTAGGGAGCATTTGAGAAAAATTGCCAAACAGCATCGAAGGAACGCCTGGCACATATCTATTTACATTTTTAAACAAAGTTAAATTTCGTGCGCCAACCTCCAGATCGTTTTTACTCTGTTGACCTGCAGAGGTATTTTTGAATTGAAACGCAGAGACTTTGAAAGGACTTACAGAGATTAAGCCGAATGAAATTAATAGTACTTCTTCCTCTAAGACACCTTTTTCTTCTGGTTTCACTACCCACTTGAAGGAATTTTTGCTATTTTATTTTTATTTATTCATATTCCCATTTATCTATTATTTATTTATTTATTTACATTAACCAAATATAGAAGCCTTGACTGTGCACGTGGAAAGCGGCTAGCGCACGAAAGAAGTGTAGGGAGAGACACGAGACGGTTTTTTTTCAGGAGGGGGGGTGTCACGTAATGGTGTCTCCCAACCACTCCTTAAAGTAAGACTGACAAGATGCTAGATATCTTTGCAGGTTCTTGGGGCAGGTGGAAAGTGCTTACCCGGTTACTATGATCAGTCAATACCACGCAAAAAAGTACTTTATTTCACTATGAAGATAACACGGAGTTTATATTTTTTAAGAGGATTTCAAAAAAGGGCATAGTCACTAGTTAAGATGTAAAGGGATAGAATTTATAATCAATGGTTATTGAAGGTTATTGACGAAATAAAACTTTGCACGTCCGCCTTACAAATCGGAGGGTCTGTGCTTCGAATCCTGTTAGTGTCTTAATCCGTTCTTGTTTGACTTCTGATCTGATCCAGAATGTTTTCATCGAGCGAGTCTCCTTTCATTTGCATTATGACGCAATTTGTCATTTGTTTTCGAAATTTGTGTTGTGTTTGAATTCAACTAAGAATAAACTAATGTTACACTAAGGTTGCATTGAAGTGGTTTTAGCTGATAACGTAAAAGCTTGAATCAAGACGGCGTCTTCATATCTTTGTGTTGCACCCATGTTGTTCAGTAGTGATGGCAGTTACGTCCGCATATTGTCGTGATATTTCTCAATGATACAGGCTCTACTTAAGAGCTATCAGCGCAGTTTATATCCTCAACTGCTTTCAAACCTTGCATCACCGCCCAAACTAACTGTGAAAGGAATAAAACCTTGATCCTGAATCGTCCATTATGTATGGCAAATTCGGTCCTTAACAGGTTTTAAGACAACACGCACACAGAGAATCATTACTTGTAGATAGAAAAATTCAAGTTTGAACTTTTCAATCCTTGAAAACCAACATGAAAAACAAAAGTAAAAAACCAAAAAGGTGAAATCTATTAACATCGCGTCATCAAAGAATTTAGCAGTGACTCATGCATAACTGTGTAGGTCTGAATTTTTTTTATTAGATTGACATTTGCCAGTTGTGAAACCTTAAGAATGGATCTACTCTGGATATGAATCTCATCACGTTCAATTGAAGAACAAATATCCTATGTGGGACGAAAATGTAAATTCAAATTAAGACCAGATTACGACTCAAAGTCCAATTCGCCTCTGCTGGTCTTGACGGCTCATCTTACAGCACGTACGTGTAGTTTTACCGATGAACTTTAGTACATTTTTCACGAATAACCTTTTTCCTCTCGACAACAGGCATGACAAGGAAATTATTTCACAAAAATTGAACCAAGGCCCTAATGCTCAAAGGGTGAAAAACGCCATCCGACGGGTCAATCGCTATCCAGTGGATAAGATTTATCAAAACGTACTCTATTATTCACCGAATAGAGATTTAACCTATAGAGTCGCGTTATCCATCCTCGGAACAAGCCAGGCCAGTTTGTTTTACTTCTTAATAAATTGTAATCATAGGAAGCAATTTAACAGATGACAGGAGCAATGTAACTCACACGAGTCAATACTACTTTTCATCTTTTGTGATAACACAGCGCCGATTGAATCGTTAATAACCATGCTATAGATTGAGCAATAAGTATATTTATTGTTTCTTTGTGTTATACCACTTTAATATCCTTGCACTTTCTAAAGACTGTGATCACCTGCTTCCGTATTTCAATTTGTTTTCCAGACAGACTAACGTGAAAAACCTTGTCCTGTAACGAAAAATTGCCCGTTCTCTAACGAAAAAGTTAGGGAGCGGCACTCATTCAGTTATCATGGAGTTTTATCACATCTCTCTCTTTTAGCTCCCTCGTCTTTTCATTACATAATTCATTATATAAATTTAGGCAATTTGCGGAGAACTTTTAATGCATTTATTCAATACCAAAATTCAATAACTGAACTCCGTCCTTTATAAAACTATGAAATTTATTTATCAATTGTGCCCGCGGTAGGAAGTAAAATTTCCAGGGTGATTTTAGTATTTACCTTAGAAAGCTAGTCGCAATAATATAGTACGGAAATTGGATAGCTAGCTTTGCAGTATTATTTTATTAATAATATTAGGCATCATCTGATGAGATTTTCAATTTCCAAGGAAAAGCCGCCTTAAATGTATATTATAATAAATTTACATCTGACAGCCGGTACGGGAAAAATTGTAATGGCTGCTATTTAGCTTACTAAAGAGGAAAACGTTTCTTGACAAGAAAAAAAGAATTTTTCTCAAAAATGCAATTTTTCCAGAATAATGCAAAGCTGTTTTTGTTGAAATTCATTATTTGGGGCTATATTAATTTATAAAATGTTTTGCAAAGTTTTAACATTTTAAACTTACAGCTTCTTGACCGATAATGAGCATGTTATGCAGCGTGGCATTCATTACGTAACAAGAGGGCTTGACTTAAAAAAAACCAAAAAACCAAAAAAAAAACACAACTTGAGGGAAATTTTAATAAATACTTATTGCTTTGAGCTGGGGAAGTTATTACCACCGATGAAAACTTAAATTTCAAGTTTTCAGAATTGTTGTGATTATTTACCAAGAAACTATACGGAAACACAACGCCCAATGTCAGTTATGACTTCTCTATGACGAAGTTTTATTCCCATGTTTTAGGTCGGTTCTCTCTCTTGCCTTTTTCAACTTGTGACTGCTGATAACTTTCACAATTAATTGAACATCGATCAGACTTTTTTTATTCTTGAAGCAGCGTCGATATCCTCTGCATAAAACGTCTCAGCATAATATCCTGGTAGAACTAAGAAGATTGGCTTCAGAATATCTTTCTAGTTTAGAAATAATCATTAATCTTCTTTGAAATGTTAAATTGTTTAGCCCAGTCTGAAAGAGATGTTTCAAATCTGACACAAGGTTTCCATTTAACGATTTTGTGGGACAAAAATGTGTTTGTGCTGACGGTGACACCTTTAAAGTATGGCGAAAATACATACAGAAACAAAAACAACAACAATTCAAAACTTATAGTAACACCTCTTATTACTGATATGGATCTCATTTCGTAAGGATCTCTAGATATGGGTGCAGCTCATTTTTTTTTTTCAGCACAGCTTGGCCTACTAAAAGACAAAGCAATCCTTCGTACTAGGCGCCAAAGGGTGTTTTTAAAATAGAGAAATCGCATTTGTCATGAATATCAACGTAATTATCGAGCAAGATCATCCATGACTTAATTGAGTTGGGATGATATCCTATCATGCTGATACCACGTTTTTTCTTATTTTGAAACGTGACAAGTTTTTCATTCATTTTTGCTCTCGAGAATAAACTATTCCTAAGCAGTAAGATGATGCCGAGCGAATCTTATTTTACAATGGCGAACGGTCAATTCTTGGTACAAAAGTTCACAGGTCTTAACCTTTTCCACTTAGGGAGGAGAATCCTTGAACAGGGGAGACCTCTTATCCATGGTTTCTTATGACATCTTTCAGTATTCTTCAACGAAGGATTTTCTAAGTCAGTAAAAACTGGTTCTTTTATTCATTGTCTGTATCTTTTATTTGTTCAATTTTTTATATTTTTGATTTCTCAACGTGTTCTTTTCGATCTTTTGTTATCTATATTAGTTGTTCTTGCCGACCTCAAGAATTAACTGATTCGCTTTATTGAAAATGGATCAGAGGACAGCACACATGTAGAAATTGCTCCTTTTTCCCACCTTCTAGTGAACAACTCATGATCAGAGGAGCGTTAAGATCTCTCTGCCGTTATCGTTGCGTTTGTGGCACCGATGGATTATCCTTATCCGCTGGTGATGAAAATCGGCTTGTTCTGTGCCCCAGCAATCTGAAATTGAGTATCCTTTTCACGCACGCTTCCTACCTTCAGTTTTGCCAGAGGCTGTTATGGATATTTGTAATTCAATAAATATTTTAGTTATCTTTAACATCTTCATTAGTCATTAAGACTACACATGTGAAATACAATTATGCTCGGAGGGCTTACGTGTGAAAAGCCTGCAGTATCTGAGTTTCAAGCAATTACGAAAGTTTGTATTTTTGTGCGCCGGGGTAATGTCTCTGTGTAAATATGGAAGTAAAAATTAAATAATGAAAAGGGAAGGAAATTAATTTAAAATTATCGCAAAGGTACCATAACCACCGAAACTCTACATCATGGAGTTTTATATCTGCTTTTCGGTTTTCTCCCCTTTTAACGAAGAGTAGATTAGTACGAAATTTCGTGGAAGCTCATGCCTTCGAGATTTAATTAATTCTTCTTACGTTGTTGAGAAGTTTACTTATTAGCTATTTCGAGAAAAGTCAACAACATTGAACTTAATAACAGCTTGAAAGAGAGCGTGAGCACAACAGTAATGAATTTAAGGAGCGCCTTCTGCTGATCTCTTTGTATTACTAATCACCGTATGCTGAGCGGGAAAAGGAAAGTGAGTTGATCTTCACCTGATTGTTTCCCACGTTAGAAAGCGCAAAGATAAATCCTTTTTTTGAGCTCATTCATTACCTGTAATGTGGCGGCTTTGTCGGTTTTCGTCCGCAAATTAAACAATAGTGGCCTTTCATCTATTGAAGCAACAGCGAAACCTTCAGAAGGTCACGTAGCATGTTTACTCAAGAATATTGCTTTTTGGATTTGATAACCGCACAACTTAAGTCCTTGAGTACTTAATGAAAGTGATATTAGATCAAGAAGTTTATTTTTTGCCAAAGTTAATTCGACTCTGAAACAAAATAAAAGGGAAAACAAGCTGGTATGCTCACACAGTATGACTGTGCGTGTTTACAGTTTCCCTGATGAAAAATCTATTTCCGTGCATCTGGCTGTTATCAACACGCCATTTGCTCTCGCGGAAAACAATATTTGGCGTGTGACATATTTACTGATCATACATGAAAAGCACGATTAAACGGGAAGAAACGAAGGTTAAAGAAGTCTTGCGTATAAAGACGACGCGCAATGGATTATCAGTCATTCGTTTGAGTAGATATTGATCAGACGTCAGAAGGAGGAAATGACTTATTGCATAGCAACAAGATAAGATTATCTAAGAGGTATAAGAAAAGCTGAGAGGAAAAAAAACATCAAAACAACGTACTGCGGAAGGCAATTCGAGGAAAATTAAGCTGAAGCTGAAGTTATGAGGAAGACACATTTTGGTTCGAAATTTGGTATCGTTTTACTTTGGTTGCATCTAGCTTACCAGCAGGATGCTTACAACTCCAGCGAAGTCAGCCCAGCATCAGCGCAAGGAAAGGCAGCAGATCCCCCGTTGAACTGTGTTCAGAAGTTTTCTTGTCACAATAAATGCCGTAAAGAGTCAAATGAAACGAATGAGTTCTCTAGAGATGTTGAACACTGCCATTGTGATCCCGATTGCCTCAAGTATCAAGACTGCTGTGCAGACTTCGCACACTATTGTAATCCTGGCCCAGTGACAAAAGGGGACCCAACTGGCCCTAGCTATTCCTGTGCGGACATATCCACTGATCAAGAAAAAGGTGTGTTCATGATTTCCACGTGTGCAAAAGACTGGAAAGACGAAAGTGATTCATATATTAAATGTATGGAGGCCTCCAAGAATTCGAATCGGTCTTTTACATCTGAAAACATCGAAGAGGACATTCCAGTGTATAATTTCCTTAGTAGGAATAACTATAGAAATGTTCACTGCGGAATTTGTAACAGACTACCAAGGCCTTTTATTTTCTGGCAGTTAAAATTTCGATGTAATATCCAAGCTCCATCCCATTACAGCAACAAACAGAAATTGGACTTTTATCTGAAATACTGCCGATATAAATCCATGGAACCAGAGGATTCCTTTGTCGTGCGTACTTGTTTGCCAATGGTCTCCACATGCCCAGTCGACAATAAACACAAGGAAGAGTGCATGAAGGGAAATACTGGAATTGTCTTTTCCGAGAAAATAAACAAGAACTTCAAAAACATTGACTGTCTGCTTTGCAATGGCGAATCGTTAGACGGCGCTAAGTGTGGTCCATTGGATAAAGGGGAAATCTTCAATCCAAAATCATTTGAAATTGTCATGGACTTTTCACCGGAAGAAACTCTTAAACCTTCACTGAACTCGTTTTCCACATCTTGTTCTGAGACTAAAGTGTTTGATCCACACTTAGAAACCTGTGAAGACGGTTCTGTTCGGAATCCTTCTTTAGCTGTTCGCGATACGTATCGCATTAAACAATGGATGTATCCCGCGGATGACATCGAAAGACCCATATTACAGCCAGAGTTTGTCAGTGGCTTTTGCTCAACGTTTGCCTTGGAGCCTTCACAAATTTATGTGATATCAAATTCATCAGAAGAAGGAATTATTGTCGTGGAATTCAACCTGTATGCTGGCCAAGCGGTTAGGGGTAATAACGATAATGAAACCTTGGATGTGGCTGCTCTTCTTAATTTCAACGAATCATTCCCTATAATAATTGCAAACAAGACCTGGTTAGTGGTTAGGGTCACTCAAAGGCAGTTATCTTGCACAAACCGAGAAGAGTATTTCCATGACGAATACAGAATAAAGCCCACTGGTGAAGCCTTACTAAATAAAACTGGGGACAATCATCAAGAACTGATCCCGCCAAAGAAGTTCTTCATCAAACACAACGATAACGGTAACGATTCCTTGATTGTTTGCAGGTCTACATTTAGTGTCTTGTGCCCTTTCAAACTCCTCCTGGTAAGCGGTTCTCAGTTTAAAATCTTTGCAAACAAGAGCTTACTGCATACTACCACTGGTAAGGTCTACTTGACCGAAGAATACACCTTGATTGACGAAGTTAAAAAAGCATGGATATGCACTAATTACACTGAGACCCCGACGGTTACAAGGAAACCGACGATAACAAGCCGGGAAAATACGATTCTGTTATACTTTACAATCGCTGGATTTTCTATCTCAATGTTTGCTCTTTTCCTCACCCTGACGATACATAGCGTTTTCGTTGAGCTCCGAGGTCCTCTTCCAGGTAAAAATCTGATGAGTCTGTGCTTTGCCCTTCTGCTGGCCCAGTTTATGTGGCTGTTTGGATCTGGAGACACTGACAAGCCAACATTTTGTACCATTGTGGCGGTCGTTATGCATTACCTCATTTTGGTGTCCTTTGGGTGCACAGCCGTTATCGCCTTTGACACTCGCCGAACTTTCTCCGACCAGATTTCCAAGGCTCAATCAAGATCTCTCGGAAAAAGCCGGAACTTTCGTTTCCTGGCGTACACGTGCTTGGCATGGGGTGTTCCTTTGCTTTTTGTGGCTGGCTGCGCCCTGCTTGACCATTTTCAAGTGGTCTTCATCGGCTATGGTAACGAAGTCGCCTGCTGGATAGACAGCAGCAATGGAAAGATAGTTACTTTTGCCACACCCATAGCTTGCGTCCTCCTTTACAACTTTGGGGCCTTTACGCACACTGTATGGGCCATCAACAGTGCAAGAAAGCAGACACACCGAGTGAAATCATCTCGCCAGGATCAAATGGCAGTTTTTAAAATATATGTTCGCCTGGCCTCCCTGATGGGTTTCACATGGTTTTTCAGCTTCAGCGCTGAGTTCATCCACAAAGCACTCATCTACCCTTTTGTTATGCTCACAACCACTCAAGGAGTCTACATATTTGTTGCGTTCATCTGCAAGGCCCGAGTGCTCAAGCTTTTGAAGGAGAGGTTTCCTGGATCCAGGAAGGATGCAATGGCTTCCACTCAGCACACGGCAAGCACAGAATGTAGGAGTATACGTGCATATTCTCCCAAAAAATCTGAGAGAGACACTCGTTTTTAAAAGAACACAGAAACCTGTGATCTGGTGACCCATACGAAAAAGTTTTTTCCTCCTGTTACATTTGATCGTTTTAGTGTAAGAGTCATTACACACCACTAAGTGTTCTAGTCTTCTTTGGGAAACAGTAAAATGGTGCGCAGTTGTGAAATGAGGGAGACCAATTAGAGAATGTCTCTCCCAATCGTCTATTTAATGTGGTATTAGTGTCTTAAAGTCGAAATTTGTACAAAGTATCAAAATTGCAACAGTAAGATGTGCATTTTATGTAATCGATACAGTCCCACTTTGCCTGGCCGTTTGCCATATCTATATACTCATTTCCTAAGATGCTAATAAGGAGAATTTACTTAACTATTACCAGCTTTTTTCAAATAGATGATCATTTCCTTAACTCCCGTGACCTCAATGTGTGATTCGAGGGTGACATTATAAGGAGAAGTTAGACGCTAAACACTTCAAAGTGCCAGTGGGAACTAAAAGGATATGTTCATAACCGTTCTCAGGCGCAAGAATCTGATGATGATTCTTTGAGAGTGTAATTTAAAATTTCTTACCAATAACAGAGAGTAAGAATTAAATACAAACTCAACTGTGATGACTTTTGACACTAAAGTGAAAGTTGTTCAATGGCTACCTCGATAGCTGGAGAAAAAAATCTCACAAAGCTCTACAGCTGGTAAGGTGAATAAATAGAAGACCATAATGCACGGCGATAAGCAAGTCAAGCAATGATTGCGTAGCGCAGCAGATAGACCAAAATGGAATGGAATAAAGAATTGAGCTAATACTGAGCGAAACAATATTTCAAGTTTTATAGTTCCGACGAATTGTGAGGAAAAACAAACAAACAAAAAAACATCGTGACGTGTATTACACGATCACACGGCACAATTCAGATTTCATGCACTGGGAACCGATATTCTCTGTATAGGAATCATAAGGTTTTGTAACAATGCAAAAATATAGCTGAGGTTTGGGAAAAACCAAACCTCCGGAACCAGCGGAACCAGTGGAATCATTGATTTTTCTGCTGAAAAAAAAAACCGACGAAATCAAAAAAACACCCATATGCTACTCGAAATTTCGCTTTCGGGTATAAATAGGATTGTGTCATAAGCGAAATGTTTGTTTATCATCCTTGACGACATTATTTAGCAGGTTCTGGAGGTTCCATAGATTCCACGCTGTCTACCGATCCACTATTTAGTAACACCCCCGAGGTTCTTAACTTGCTTACGCCTTGAAAGTGAAATAGAAAGCGCAGAGGTTTACCGACAAGATGAAAGCGAAAACTAAATCCCCGAGGATGTAATGTCTCGAAAGGTTCCTGCATTGGAAGCAGTTTTGTTCAGGTCACGGGGGGATTTAAATGGAAAACATTTTTAGTAGTTCCCATTCAATACCTCAAGATCCACTTGATTTCCTCCACAGCTAAAGTTGATTTAGTTAAAGAGGCAACTATTGTCAGATTGATAAAATCTAGCCAGAAGAAGAGAAATATAAATAGCTTGTTTTGTTGATCTATTCATTAGACCGATAAATTATGTATAGCTGTGTTTTGTAGTGAGATTGTGCTTTGCAATATTATCAAATATTCGTCATTTCCTTTAATTGGCTTTCATTTTAAATTCGAAAATAAGAATCGATATTGACATTGTATTAGATATGTTGCGTTACGAAAGCATGATTGGTTGATTTTTCGCTAAGGCCCTTGAAGTAGCCACTTCCGCTTGATTTCCTTGAAACGCGGATGGCTCTAATTGACAATCCAGACATTTCGTGGAAATCCTATCGTCTTTATATATACAGATGTTTCTTTAAAAAACAAATTGAATCAACTTTGAAAAGTGCTCAAACGGTCTTTTCATCAAACAAATTTCAGATTTTAGGTCGATAACTCTCAAGGAGCTTTAAAATTTTCGAGTGTGCAGCGACGAGTGAAATCGACTTCCGCTTGCAGAGGGATTTCTGGGAATTATTAAATTCCCCGAGGCCGACGAGACTATTTGAAAGCATTTCGCGGAAGCGATTCAACATTTCGGGAAAACACTGCAGTTAATCACACAACGATTTATACTCCACATCGACATCGAAAGAAGAAGTATTTTTTCGGAAGATTGAATTTGGCAGAGGAACATTTTCTCAAAGCAGACATGTAGTTTAAGATCAATATCGTGTTACGATGAAGTGCCCATCTTGTGGGAACCTCGAGCTACAAGAGCATCACCGCTTCTGCTGCAGTTGTGGCTTTAATCTCGCAGCTGAAGGGTCGTCAGGAACTTCAGCAGTGTCGAAAACCAGTTCTGAGCAGTTTACAGTAACTTCAGGTAAGTTTCACAGTTTTTCTTTGCGAAGCCCTCATTGCAATGCTCATAGCCCTACAATAGCGATGTATACTAACATCAAGAATTATTGTCATGAGACTTAACAATCAGTGACAAGCGACAAGGATATCTTCCTAATATTGGACTGTGATTCGAGAAAGGTTAGCTTAAACAGGGACATTCAGAAGCACTCAAAGCTTCCCGAGTACAGACATTTTGTGAATGCTGTTAAAATTTGAAACTTGTGTATCGACTCCTTGCAATAATCAGGAGTCGGGAACGGAACTATCGAAACTAGGGACTTAAAATGCGATCACGCGATTGCATGTTCTGATTACATTACGGAGGTACAGAGAAGAAACGAAAAAAGCGGTGCTTTAGTTTTATAATAGTACTTCAGGATACAAAACGAAAATTTGTCGCGACGGCGACATTTGAACTCGTAGCGAAATAAGAGACATTATGTCTCTTTGTTTAGACGATTTTTAGGTTTATGGAGTCTCGACTAATCTCTTAAAGGGCACCTTTTTCGGCACGGTTGCACATAAAGTTGCACATAATAAAGTGACGTCAGTTGAAGACGACGATCTGATTCTTTATTCCTTTGATCAGCTGGTTCAGTTGCGTTTCCAATGGCTTTCTATAGATATAGGTAGCGGTGAATGCCATTTAATAGAGATAATGAAATAAATACCAAGTTTTCGTGAAACTTCTGGCCCAAAACTAGTTTGGATCCAGGTATCTTTTGCTTAAATAATCCTGAAAGTAGACCTCATGAAGAGGATATAAGGTGCACTGTTAAATTGTCTTTCGTACAAACATGACGCCATCGACATTGCTGATCCTAGCAGTATGCAGGATGCGTGTCATAAGAACTTTGTAATAGACCTCGCTCACCGTAGAGTCTACGTGACTCAGTGGTAGAGTGGAATCCGAAAATTTGAGGTTCGATTCCTGATGGGGGCTCAGCATTTTTTCTTAGTCCCTTGCTCGTGACAGGACAAAAAAACATCTTTCTACCGTTCGATATTTTGTATGAACAGCTTAATCGCTTAAATTCCAAATCTAAATGAATCTTAGCAAAACATAAACAAGATGTCCTTGTAACTGCTGTTAAATTATAGGATCCTCTCGTTACTGTGCGTTAGGTATTCCCTACATTATTGTTTAATGATCGTTATGTTGGAAATAATGGGTAAAATTCACGAAGCAATGCAAGGGCTGCTTAACAGTTGATACTAATAAAAATAAATAGATAGTTACACCCCGAGCAACAATGGAAACCTGGTACTCAGTACGTGGTGCTAAAGGTTATGAAAATTTGGTGCTTTTATCTCCTTGCATGAGAAGTTAACTTTCAACTATTTATCAAGAGGCAAATTTGATTTTTTGTCTATTTGCAAAATTATCATTAGACAAAATACACGATATTTCAACCAGCAGCTGGGAAGTATCCGTTACATGATTATGATTTTAATTTTGCCTGAACAGATCATCTGGATAGAATTGAGGTTTCGGAAAACAGACCAGAGCCTTCTCAGGATCAGAGCTCCGATGTTACCAATCAACCTCCTTCGATCACAGAATCTGTCGATGAGGCCAAAAGCAAGAAAGATGAATTGGAAAGAGACGATTCTTCAAATAGAGAAGAGGGAAACCAGAATAATATTAACAGTCCACTTAATATGAGTGAGGTTCAAGCCTTACAAAAAGAAGGAAAAATCCCTCTCAATGACTCAAACATCGAAACCCGTGAAAACGGAGGCCATTCTTCTGGTAAACCAAATTCCCCCAACACAGAAACAACTGTTGAGCGGGAACCTGCCAAAGCAGTGCCGGAACCAGAAACAGTTAACACGGTTAGAGCCACACCTAACACGGTATTAATCACGTCGTAGAACTATTTTTGGTATAAAAACTTAATGCACGTAAACATCAACTTTGTAACTGTATTCGATATGACTCTCTTAGTAGGTGCGCTATGATTGGCCCATTTAGTGGGTTGTCTTTCACTATTTGGCCCGCTAAACTCCAAACTTTGTTTTAATTGAAATCTTCCTCTTTTTTTTTAACCCAGAGATACCATTAATATCTTATTAACCTCGATTTCTCAGCGTGTCCTGTAACTGCTTACAGTTAGCGAGTGTATCATTTCTCATTCATCTGTGAATGTATAGGTACCACTGGGAACTCAGACCGAAGAGGTACCATTTCTTTCAGCGGGAGACAGAGAGCATATCACTGGTGATCAAAACGACACAAAAACGAGGTGAGTCGTGAATGAAACGTTGAAGACACAAAACGTACCACTTTATACTAGAATTTTGATATATAACATACCTTGGTAGCCTTAAACCAAACAATCAAATCTTTGAATCACAAACCCTTGTCCATTCTAAGTATACATTACTGTAAGACTAACAACAGCTCTTTTTATCAAACCTGCAGCGAATGTCCTGAAGAAAATGTTTACTCAGGTCTGATTGGAGGCTCTAAGCATGACATCAGTCAACAGGCAATAACTCCACCCATCACTGCTGAAGAAGATATAACCACTTGCCCGGGAAAACTGAATGAGAGCGCTGCAAATCCGAGCATTGACGCAGAGGAAGAAGCCAAGAAGAAAACTCACATTGCAAATGATACTAGGGAGCATCAAGAAGATGTCCAACAGGTACCACGTGAGGATAGCATTGTTGTGGAACAGAGAGGCAACACAACGGTCATTCTACGGATTACTGAGGGTGCTAGCAATGATTCAACATTCGACAGCAATAAAGACAAGAAAATTGGTCAAGATGCTGAGGGTAAAATTGCTGAGAACTCAAATCTCGAAAATAATGAAAAGAAACCATCCACAAATACTCATGGAAATAGCAAGGATTCAGATAATGGCCAACATTACGTCTTAAGGTCTGAATCTGGTGCCGCATCAGTTGACAACATAAAAGGAGAAGCCGCTGCACCAGAAACTCTTCAATCCAGTGAAAACGATAGAGCTGGTCAGAGCACTTACCATACAGCCAGTAGCCAACCATTAACCAGTAACCAACCTCAGAGTACTTACAGTGACAGGAGGGTGACAAATCCAGACACCGAATTTCTGACGGTTATTTTCCACGCGCTATTAACACCAACGTTCCAATTCAACCCTAAACAAGGGGACAGAATTTTCATCTGCGGGAGTTTTCCTTTTTCATGGAAAGACCCTCAGTATCAGGTTGAAGTTCACATTGTCAGGTAAGTCTCGACACTGAAGCTGAAATATAAAAAACGTGTTTTCAATGTCTTTATTTGACTGATTTTCCTCAATTGTAGGGATTTATCCGATGGCTACTTTGTTTTGGAGGGAAGAGCCAATATCACATTGCAACAGGCGTCACAGATTATCTCCTACAAATACACTGTATTCCGCCCTCAAGGAAAGAACGTGCCACCAAAGCCATTATGGGAATGTCTGCTAGGGTTTGCGCCTTACGGAAAGGATCATGTTAACCGTACCTTACTTATTCGTGAAGATTCTATAAAAAGCAATGGTGAGATGATACTAAATATTAACAAATTTTGTCATTCCTTTATTCCCTTCTTCCGCTAATTTTATCATTAATTCATTCGTTTATTTATTCATATGTGCTCTTTAATCCAATTATTCATTCATTTCTTAATTCAGCCTTAGTCATTCACTTTTAATCATGCATTGATTCCGATTCACCTAGTAGTGAACGGTTTAATGTAAGGCTTGTAAGTTGGAATTCTATAAGTCATTTATGGTTTTTATTGTATAGCTGTTTGGCATCAGTATGATGATGCAGTATTCAGTGAGCCTCGAATATGGGATGCCATCACCAACCATCTACCCTTTGGGAGAAAGGTTTCTCTCGATCCAGCGGAGGGTCGAAGAAAGGCTATGCTGGTCATGTTACCAGAATGGGACAGAATCGCATTGGGTGAAAGAGGAATTACTGCGTCAACTGCCTTGACTCAAATTAACAATGTGATGTATTGCATGAGAGAACAAGGAGGGGAGACTGGAAATCACCTTTTCTATCGTGCCTTACACGGTTTTGACGAAAAGCAGGTTAGTATAAAGAATAATAGACCTGTACACCTACATGAACAAGCAGCGTTGATCCGACTCATCAGAGTCAATACTTACTATTTTGAATGCCAAGATGAAAGGTGACAATTACACTTCGGAGCTCATACTTTTCATTTATTTCTCTAATGCTTTTTTGATAAGGTGCTGTTTGATTATCTGTTTCCACGGCTGAAATACAATACTCACGTGCAGCAAACCCAAGCCAGAGATGATGAGGTTCAAGTCAAACGACTGGTTACATCCATCATGATCGCTTCACTCGCTGTTGGACATCACTTAATGTTCATAGAGGATAATGTGTTAAGGGACATTTTAGAAAATCTTGCATTGCATGGAAACAAAAATTTGAAGAAATGCATTGAGTTCGAAGAACTTTTGCTGCATTTTCCTGACAAAGTGCAAAGGTTTGATATTTTTTTCCATAATTAACGCAGATAATGTTGGGTCTCATGATCCCTACTTGTGTGGTTCAGTGTTTTCTTGTTTAATATCGTTTAGATGTAACATGTAATGGTAAATAACTTTGCCGAAAGCTCCTGCAAAACAACTATACATTTAATAAATCATTTTTGAGTAAGTGGGAGAAAATTCATTTATTCTCCGTGACGCGAGATTTATTTTTGAATTACACCTTAATTCTACTTTTAAGGACACTGGTGGATAACTTGAAACGACTGTGTAAATACGTAATTGAGCAAAAGAAGGGAATATTTCACTGGTTGTTCGCTGTCCCCTTGCTTCATTTCTTATCGAAATCAGTGGTGCCATTCTCGGGCGGTCAGCGACCAGCAGCACCAAGCTCACTAAATGACAACAATTGGTGGGGAGCAGATGACCTCTTCGACTTTTTTCGAGTACGACGGCAAGTGCTCAATGCAAGGTTGGACTTATTTTATACTAATGCTTTTTAAAGACAAGGTGACCGACACACAAGACATGTCTGAGTGTTGTGAAGGCTTACAATTTTTAGTTGAGAAAGAATTTACGGTTTCTTCCATGGCCATGGCTTTCACGTTTCTAAGTAACAATTAATCTTTTTATCGACGTATCGAGCGGAAACTGTATTATTGAAGTCATTTTCTATTCTGACTATCATTTCTAAAACGTGAATAAAATTAATAGTTTGTCTTGTTCCTTTTTATGTTTCACAGGGACAGGGCCAACACTCCAGCACTTCTTCAAAACCAACTTTCTCCCATGTTTGAGTTCGACCCATTATTCAAAAGGACATTTTTGTTGGCACTCTCAATCTTTGACATGAGCAAGGTTTTAAAGAGGGGAAACTTCTCTTTGTTTGAAGTTTGTTGGACACTTCTTCGGGTCGTAAAGGAGAGAGATAGGCCTCTATTTCTCTCGGAGGAGGAGGTAATTTTCTTGTTGCCATATTCACTGACATGATATGTAAAACGAGTTTGTACATCTCTACATTGAGCAAAGTTAAAGCAACGTTAAAGAATCTTAGCTGAGTTAATTTTCAGGGACTGGTTTAGAAGACGTATTTTTTGTTGTTGTAAAAACCCCCCAAAATTACGTCTGTTCAATTGCAAATCTGTATCTGAAGGATAACATCAGATACAGATTGCAATAGAACAGACGTAATTCTGGGAAATTTTGCAAAAAACGAACAATTGTTCATTCATTCCACTGCATTGGCTATGGCTTCCGTCACGTCCGCCCAACCCCCTGTCGCGTGCCGCCGCCTTGGCCACATTCCAGCTCTTTCAGCCCGCCTTGCCTCTTTCTTTCGACAGTCCTTCTCCAAGTGGTCCGTAGTTTCCCTCTCGCCCTTCGACCTTGGCGACCTTCCTCATTGCCAACATAAAACAAACAATCAAACTTTTTGCGTGATCGGCAATCACAAACTTTTACCCATTACTTAACAAGATTACTATTTCCGAAGTATACTTAGGAAAAACCTAATGTATTTTCATGTGTCTACAACTTTCGATTAATGACCTATACAGTGGCAATATATGTAATGTATGTTTAATCCATGAATGTTGTAATTAGCCAAGAAATGAATGTAGCGTCTTGTTGTTGTTGTTGTTATTTTTTTATTTTTCGTTCGGTAGAGAGGTTGTTTTCTTTCTTTTTATTGTATGTATGCACTGTTGATGAAATATTTACATTAAAATAAATAATGATTTTGTAAGTTATTATTGGTCAGTACTGTAAGTAACTTCAGAATCATGACTAAGGCAAACTTAGTGTTGAAAGCAGTCTTCCCATGTTGATATTGTTTGAAAGTACGGTTGGTGAAGTTTATATTTCAAGCAAGTTGCGGTAATAAAATAAAATTTGTTTAAAATAAACAAACAAACGAAAGGAAATTAGTGTTCCCTTCATGATATTGTCTTATTTTCATAGTGGGATTCTCTTGAAGAATGCATCAAGGACATGAACGCAGTTCATGAGAAGTTTGAGAGGTAAAAATTTATCTAATATGAGTAGGATGAGGATGCGCAGACTAACTTAAATCAACCTCACAAGAAAACTTTAGCTGGCTCTTTAACTTTGATAGATTTTGAACCCAGGTTCCCTTTTACGGTCAGCTCTATCGTCTCATAGTACAATTCTCCTTTGTCTTTTATTCACTAGGGCGGAACACTTCACTCAATGGGAGGAAATGACGTCACTAGCTCAAGCAGCCTCACAGCTTTTACAGCACCTTCTAACAGAGCACCAGTTAGTTATCCAGAAGAGAAGTCAAATACTCTGTGACCTTTTGAAACTCTTAGGCAATAGTCTTGTGTTGGCAAAACAAGACTCTTCTGCTGCACAGATTGACGGAAAGGAAGGCAATACGCATGAACATATTTTCAAACAATCGTTTGAAAGTTTACGCGAATCTTTGGAAACGCTACATCGGGCTTCGGGAAGATTGCACCACGCATCGAAAAAGTACTGCCAAGAAGAATTCCAGGTACTAATAAGATGGGAAAAGCTTTTTACTGCTGAGTTTTCGAAGTCAGTAAAGTAAGACATCGTTGGGTCATACTTACGCATATAATTCGGTTTTAGTCCAATAGACAACGTTTTGAGCGCTCACTAATGGTGTTTTACGAAAAAAAAAAGAAAAGGAAAATCAAAACTAGATCATCATACAATTTGCGCAATTAATTGAATAAGAAAGTGTACTGATCTAAGATCAGCGAGACAGATGGTCAGTAGTTCCCGGTTATGTTTGGGAGATAAAGGCGAGAAACACCGTAATTTATTTCAAATGCGACGCAGACACATTAAGTTTACAATCATTTCAACTTACGTAAAATGTAAAAAGATTCGCTGAGATTTTCAGTAAAGGTTTATCTCCATCTCCTTTAGTTTTGGTCGAACCTTCTTTCGGTAAAGCTGGATGATGACGAAATGCAACAAAGCCTGGAAAGCTGTGTGAAAGGAGTATTTGAAAGTCGAATTTGCGAGGTAGGTGTCGAATTTTTCTTGTATACTTTGCCACTGACCAAGCCTTTATTAGTTCGTATATAGTTTTAGTACATTTAATAATTGACTATAAATAGAAAAATGATTTCTTCAACCCCACTAGTCATTCTTGGTCATGTGCATTTCTTTGTTTTGAATAAACAGATCGACTATCAGCGTGTTATGGAATTATATTGCACCCTTGATCTCGGCATTTATCATCAAGATGTTGGCGACTGCCTCATGTCCACTGCATTCAAGGCTATAGACCGTTCTCGACAGGTAGGTTATTGACCTACACCACCGTACTCTCATCTCAACGTTTTAAGAATAACTGAAGAAAATAGCTTGCATTTATACAAGAATAACGAATCATTGATCGCGTGCACTGATCGACCAGGTAAGTATAGGTAAACTTGTTATTTTTTTCTCAATCAAAAATCTAATTGTTCCATTCATATTTCTTTCTATAGGGCGACGTCAGGGAAGACCAAATGGAAAAGTTGAGGTCCAGTCTGGAATCATCAAAGCTAACTGACCGGCAGGCATCTGGGGTCGGCAAACTGTTTGGTCGTTTTCTTATGAAGCAATGGCCAAAGGGAAGCGACGGGGGAGATCCTTCAAGGGATGAGCTTTTGCGACATTTGTTTTCTTGGAAACCGATGGAAGAGTACTTTAAATACTTTAGTACGTAATGACGTTTTCACTTTTGTAGATAATCAAGGAGAATTTGAAAATGCGGCTAAATAATTTTTTCTTAACATTTGTGTAAACCACAAGACTGAATTAATTGACTTTAATCGACGAATACTTAATCACAAACTTCTAACAGTGACAGAACAAAACGGGACGGCCACGCTTAGTAAAACACAACGAGTACATAACGAGTCCAAGTTCCAACATGGCGGTTCTCTCGTGCAGTCGAGCACGTTTTTTAACTGTCTCTGCGCATGTGCCGCACGCACACCGCAGGTTAATAGGATTGCGGTCTAAACTACTAGTCACCAGATTCCACAACATTCTTTACAGCTCGCTACACGCTTATTAAAAACTGTGTATTAATAGTTTTATTTAATGATGATCTTCAAAGACAATTTTAAATCTTAAATTTTAAGAAAAATGGCAATTATTTCTTTTATAGACGGCCAACGTAAAGATGGAGCCACTTTATCTTCTGAAGGCTCAGTGCTTCTTCTGAAGGCGTCTTCACTTTTGGAAAGGGTCAGCAACGGCCTCAGGAATGCTGAGATTGATGTGAAAACACTACGACTTGTTCAGAGAAATCGACAAAAGTTCTTGAGGTTGAACTATTTGCGAACCAGTTCCGAGGACAATCAATCCAGAGTCCTTCATGAAGCGGTCAAGATGGATAGAGTCAAGGAAAACCAAAACGAGACAGATCCAATGGAGGTATTTCTTGAAATGCGCTGTGAGGAGCTCAAAGCGTTTGAAAGCGAGAGGGAAGCAGTATCATCTTTCGTGGAGTTTTGTTCTGCTGTAAAGTCAGGTGAGACCCAAACGCTCAGATATGATAGGAATTGAGTTTAAAACTACTAGGATCGAAGGAAAAAGAAGCAACCGAACCAAGCCAAAAGGATAGATTTAACACGTAACTTTTGTAGTTTATAACATTTTTCTGAAACAGTCGTGCCGTTTTCACTTTTTAGTTGAAGTTAACTTGGATGAAATCAAAGAAAAACTGAAGAACGACGTAACATCTTGTCGTGTGCTTGAACTTTGCCACAAACGCGGAATCAGTGAAGAGCCTCTGGTGAAATATTTTGAACTCACGCCAAGGAATAAGAGAATGACTCAGTATCTTCATCTACTCCGATCCAGCTTTCTTTTCCGTACCATTTGGAATAAGTGCGAGAAAAATGCGGCTTCCATTTGTCGAGGTGATCCTCGATTAGCTGGAGTAATGACATTAGACACAGTGCACGAGCTTTTGTGGACCAAGTCCTTCGAAAGATGGCAAACTTTGTGGGATAGAGTATATAGCGGACAAATTAGTCTGAGAGAAGTGGATGAAAGATTCGGCAAATTTCGAAACGAGCCAGAGTATTTCGATACTGAAATTGGAATAGCACTGAAGCTCCTTCCCGACGAACAAGATGTTGAAGCCGTCATCAATCGACGAGTTGGTCAGATCAAACAGTACCAGAAGCTGAGAGGGTGCGAGGAAGCCGCCGCAGCTATCTTGGAGTTTCAAGAAGCCATGGAACTTGAAGGAGACTTTCAAGTGCTCGATGACTTTTACGATCAGGTAATTATCAAGTATAGACCTTGGCCCTTTATTGCTTTACTGTGTGAATGAATGACCATGACAGAATTTCTCCTGACAATATCCTTACAATATCAAGTACACAAGTGATAAAAATAAAAAAAATATAATTTAGGGGATTATTAGTTGATCCAATATCAAATTCTCTGAACTAATATCATCAGAATTGTATAACAGACAGATCTTGGGAGAAAAAGGGTTAAGTGAATGTTGAAAGGTGAAAAGTGGATAGATAACAAGCCAATGTAAAAGTTCCTTAGCCGTAATACAATAATTTTGAAAAGTCGAAAGAAACAACTATGTGACAGGCTTAATTGCACTTGCCCCAGTATCGATTTCTTTCAATCTATCCAAGGCGTAATGAGGCAAAATAATTCTATTGACATACCAGAGAGAAAAGCTGTTTTACGGGAAGAAATACTCATTTGATTTGGATGGTATGATTTTATTATTGTTTTTACTAGATGAGCGACGAATTTCGCGGACGCCCTCTCTCAAGTATTGGTGATGATGTTTTAGAAATGGGAAAAGACCTTGAACATGTAACGCCTGTAATGATCGATTGCTTGAAAACTGTCGTTGCTTCCAAAGACTACATCTACTGGCTTCGAAAGGAAGTGCAAGGTGCGTTTTCTCTGATAATAAACTAACTTCCCAGTACTGACTAAATGTGAACAACCAAACGACCGACTGAATCTCACAGTTAACAAATAGTAACTGCGAAATTCTTCACATCAGTGGTAACCTGTGGTAGTTTTTCTAAATACTGATGACTGTTTCCTTGAAAAGCGTGTATAAATAAAACCAATAACGGAGTCATCGAAATAGACATGTTTTCAATGTCAGTATTCTAACACTATCATGAGAAACAGTTTTCATTTTCAACTTTTTTTTTTTAGATCCCTACTCACCGTTATATTTCTGCAACTCCCTTCATGTAAATGATGCTAAAGTACCAATTTTCCCTCTTCCTTGTTTGCTGTATTGTTCAAATTATCTCCTTTCTTACATTTCTCGCCAGGAAGGGACGAGGTGAAAACTCTGGTGGACTTAGCGATGATGTCGGCTGGTGAGACTGACATTGAGACCGATCGTGTTTCCTGTGTGCACACCACTGCTCTTGGCTTTGCTCCCTTCATTTTTGACCTGGACAAAGACACCAGCTTTGGGAAACTTATCAGTGCATGTGAAAGCGTGTGGAGGGAGATCGAAAAAGACAAATCTTTGCTCGAGAAGCTGGTAAGGTTCTGCCGAATGTTTTGTTCATTTGATAGTATTGATCATCACAGTCTTGCACGTTGTAAGACTATCTTTATTGTGGCAGGTATAAAGTCAGCGAGAATTGATTAGAAAATGAACAAGTCTTTTTTAACAGTAGTTTGAGTCATTCGTTGGTTTCGGTGGAGAATCGGTATTGAAAAGTATTACGCTAAATTACAGTGTAGGTCGATTAACCAATGACATCAGTTTTCATGAGCGATATTGATTTCAAAGATTTGCACCTAATCTTCCTTACATCGCAGAACTTTAGTCATACGATGATTTAGTCATAGATGATATAGCTCCGTTAAAACTAATCCGTGTACTGATAATTGCGGTCTTACAGAACAGCATCAGCTGCCATCTTGATTGGCTTAAGGGCGTTAAGGATGAGCATGCCATGTCTTCTCTCAAATTGGCTCAAGCTATCAACGAAAGAGGAGTATACTCCATTGGCCATTTGCAGGACAGTGTGGAACCAGCTAGGCTCTATTACAAGAAAAGTGTGGATTCCGTTATCAGTTTACTTTTACCTCTAACCGACCTAAGCGGTGAACGAAAGGAATTCAGTTTAGAGAAACTTCAGGAGCTACAAAGTAAACTTGCTCTCATTTCGGGAAAGGAATCACAAGGGGGCCAAGAGGATATAAACAAGTTTGGAGAGGTAATATTTTAGATGGCCAAAGTCGAGAATCAAGCAAAGTTGTTCAAGAGAATTTAGGTGAGGCACCTTTCAAACCAAAAGAATGCACAGGAAAGAAAGGAAGAGTGCATTAAGCTGCAAAGATAAAGAGGGCATATTAAAAGAAAAGGCTGTAGAAATATCAAAAAGGGTTAAAGTTTTAGTGTTGGTGAAGCTTTTACTATAACTTTATTTACATGATTTTTTTTTTCTTTGTTTCCTCGTGCAATTTGAATACGGTTAAAAGGCATAAGAAATTGTCATTTTTATTCTCAGTTGCTTCAAGGTGCTGTTCAACTTGGCCAGGCTTATGTAAATCTCTGTGAAACTGGAGATGTTTCACACCTCGACTGGAACGAAGAATACAAGTGTAAGAGCTCTATGGGAAAAAGAATCATTGATGAAATCCAGTCAAAGTGCGTGGAATTTGAACAACTTTGCTACGCGTGCAAAGAACACATCAACGAGATGCGGATGAAATACCCCGAGTTAAACTTTTTCACCATACAGCAACTTTTATTCTTACGCAAGGAACTCGCCAGCTTGAAACAAGGCTCGACATTGGAATCTCTTAATCTCCAAGTTTACAGTCTTCTTGAAAAGGTTCTTCCAAGCCTTCACAGAAAATTACTGCACGAAGCTCTTATTGAGGCAGGTATCTGGTCAACAGATTTTGATCTGGATTTCTACAGCGGTCAAGATGCTCGTAGCACAACATCCCCGTCCAGCCAAGATGACACCTTCAGAGACAACGAAGAGATAAGTGAAAAGTACGAGAGCCTTTTTGATAATGTGGAGAGGCTAAATCCCTCAGAGCCTGAACGCCTCGCTGTGGCAGCTCTTTACAACGATATGAAAGGTAACGTTGCCGAGCTTGTTCTTTGGTGTGTGCAAAACAAGGATAAAAGCGACCTTATAGATGAACTCTACGAGAAAGCTTCAGAAGACCCCAAATTCCGGGGCATCATAGGCGAGACTCCTGATTCAGACGAAGAGTCATCGCAATCTTCTCAACATTCTGATGACCAGATGAGGTAAGAAAATAAATTGTAGACCACATCGAAAGTAACTTCAAGAAAATGTACATGTGCTAAATGGTTTGTTCTGTTGCCATATGCATGTGCACCGATGATATAGTGATGAAGGTGGTTGACAGTTTTAAACAATTTGAGTAATTTTAGCCAGAGTTAAGCTAGGAATCCATGAATACCAGCACCTACTCTCTCCTATCTCTTAATGAGCAAACGAAAAAGACGAAACAGAAATAGACTCAACGAAACTACGCAGGAGGACCTTCCTGATGTTTCTTCCAGGACTCTGAGTGAAATTAACGAAACTGATAGAGGAGTAAGTCCGCGCCAAGGACTTTGATTGAGTACAACCCTAAGCCCTCTTTCATTACTTTATTTTTTTTATGTGTTTTAGTTTGCAAGAAGGTGATGATGAGTTTTCACATTCGAGTCTACCTGAAGAAGCAAACTTCACGTTGGACGAAACATTAGGGGGCACCTTTTTGACTTTGGACGAAATTGGTGTATTTCTATCTTGCTTGGTTGCCGGAAATGGTACCTTTCAATAATTTACATTTTATTTGTTATACCACCTTGCAATTCTTGTTTTATTCTTTTTTTTTTTGCATTTCTTGCTTGTCACTTTGTATATTGCGAGTTCAAGGAGTTAAAGTGCTGAAACGTGATATTCACTACATATTTAGCGCCTACAATTTTTTGATGTTATTAACCCAGAATAATGGTATCGACGTTAACTGAATTTTCAGAAATCTGGCCAAGACCTACCTCAGTATGACGTGTTAACTTTTAAATTCTTTATGTAAATACCTTCCTAGACATCTGATCTCCTGCCGTTATACAAAATTATCCTACCTTTATGTCCTGCTAGAACCAATTGATCTTAGGGATACTTGGTCCTTATTCTTTGCTTTGCCTCAAGGAAGTATTGTTTTTATTAATTAATCATTCGCATGAACCAACCCTCAATTGTAATCATTTCTTCTCATAGAGGACAGAGTTATGGGGAGAGAAATCCAAACTTACTTGAAAAGAGGACAGCCGAATCTCATGTTAGCAAAAAAAGGTAAGTTGCTGCCAATAACGTTCTCGTTTAGTTGGTAAATGTAGAGCATAATTTTCGCTCCTAAGAAGTAAGCACATCCTGAGGCTGCCGAATCGATTTCTCTAAACCTCATTAAAAAAAATAAAGAAAGGAAACGTTTGTTTATGGTTCCATATTTATTGCGAGACAAGTGGTGATGACATTTTCATACTCGTGTATATGACCTCATGGTAAAAGCATTAGGACAGCGGCTTCCACCTCAACTAAACTGTTTAACGATAAAAGTGTGTATCTCTCTATTCAGCCGTTTACTTTTATATCCACTCGTCCTCTTAATCCATAATTGGTATTTTTCTTGATTCAAACATTTTTTACGCGCTCTTTTCAGAGAACATCTTTTCCGCTGTTCTTGAACTTTATAAGGAGGATGGAATGCATAGTTTGCCAAATAGCGACGAAGTCCTCGTTTGCACATCTGAAACGACATCTGAGGAGGTAATTACAAGCGTGACATCACTCTACACAAATACAAGAGTAGCCTTGGCAAAAGGAAGAACTTCTAACTTAGTCACCCATACAGATCCATAATCTTTTACGCGTCTTCGTTTAAGTTATGTAACTGGATTAATAATGTAAATGAAAACATTACACGCTTCTGATTGGTACTAGACGAGTTTATTTTTCATGTAATAATGAAAATGAGAAAAGTACTCGCTTCTGATTGGCTGCAAACGAATGCATCCTCATGTAACACGAGTGCAAAGTTGTAACACGAGTGCAAAGTCATAACACAAGTGTAGATTACAAATGGTGCGCGCACGCTTTCAAAATTTCGCCTGTCTTGACTTTCTGGGGTGTTTTTTTATGCACGTTATTAGCAAGGAATAACATGATTTTTCTTGCAATTTCGTTTTATTTGAAAAGTTTACTCGTGCTTTTTTACACCACCTTGCAAACGAAATCATGTTGTTTACCTATACTTATCATAACCATTACAATTTCCTCAACCGTGATTGGCGCATTAGCTGCTTTATTTTTCACTAATCATTCCCTAGCACTGTAATCGGACATTGTCATCGGACAGTTGGCTGTAATTGGACACCTGTAATCGGACAGTTGAAGTTGTCAATCATACTAAGTCCACTCAGCCAAATCCAACAATCACAGAGTTAAACAGAATAACCATAGCAATAACCACTTATCCTTAAAAAAAAATATTAAGGAATTTACAAAATGGAGAAATTTTTTTAATTTAGTCTCTACGGGAGATTTTTTACCTAATTGTGTTTGCTGTTTTCGGAAATTGAAACGGTTATGATTAATTGGTAAAAGGACTTATTGTCTGTAATCATACTCGTGATTGACAAATAGGACTCCCACTTCGCGGTCGTCCAATTTTGTTAATCAATCGTACGATTACAGAGTAAATTGGACTCCACCTAGTCCTATTACCATAACTAATTGCAGTATGGGAAACGCGAAGCAAGCTGAACATATCGTGATGGTCTACTCTCTGTTTTCTAGGTGGAGTTGCTATTTCGTCGAGCCCTGGCAAGCAATGGAAACAAACTATACTGTTTAGTCAATGGTGACCTGTTAGACTATGACGTCAGTCAGAAGGTGGTAGACTGTTTACACACATTGCTGCACGATTATTCCTACCCGGAAAGTAAGTTCTGTTTGACGTTATGCCCTTAGGTCCTGTATTCTGGTCTGTGGTAAACGAAGATATTAGTGTAAAAGAGTCTTTTATTCTTTCTTTAATGTCTACTTCTAATTCCTACTCTTTTACAAGGTACTTAGTTCACTTTTCTTTCTTTATCCTTGAAAACTAGCTCCGTTTGCTGAAATAAAACGGAACTGAGGAGCTAGCTGCCTCTTACGTAATGAATTGTTGAATCAAAAATTTCCTAGTCTTAGAAAGGTAAATATTCCCTTATATTTATAGTTTGCTTTTAATGTTTTGTTTCATTCTTTTTCTGAATTTTTCAGGCTTGGCCCTTGTTGTTCTATGCAGTAGCGAAAATGAAGAACGAGCTCATATCATCACTTGTTTGGAACAGTACAAAGTATTAATGCCGAGGTATCCTCGACCAGACGAGCTGCGGCGATTCCTCGCAAAGCAGTTTACAGTACCAGGGCAGAGGCCTGGTGTGTATCGTGAGAAACACGTGATCTGGAGTCCAGCTGCCGAAGTTAGTCGAGCGGAGAAGTAGGTGTATCTCTGATTGTTCTTTTAATCACGGAGGGAAATTATTTCTTGTGGGACCGCGAGGACAAAGATTGCATTTTCGCACGCTTAAGCATCACTATCCATTGTTCATTGTTTTGAGAATGAATTAAAGGACTCTTACCTAGATTAACTGGAAAGATAAGAAAAATGTTGCGCTTTAAAGAACGCGATGATTAGAAAAGATGTGGCTTGTCTCTCCATATTGTGCCTTTGTGCCAACAATTGCAGATTACGACGGTTGTTGTACCTCTAGGAAAGGCACGTTGTTTGTCCGTCTTTTTAAATGTTAAATAACTTTATTGTGTCTTAGAAAATTGAAGCTAAAACCTAGGCCAACCCTTAATCCCTACTGTATTTTAAAACTGACGGGTTTGATATTTGTCACCTTATTCCTTTTTGGAATAAATGAGATTTGAATTAGGGATGTCATTCAAAATTAAGCTAGGAAATTACCTGACACATCATCTCTCCAACATAAACCATGCCCCCATCCACGCACTCTAAACGAGAACACTGTTTATTTTTTAAAGCTTAAATGTTCTCGTGGTATCCTCTGAACACCCTGGAGTAGGAAAAAGTTTGGTCGTTCGTAGGTTGGCCGAAGAATTGGAAATGCTTCCCAACAATCAGCTTGTGGTGGAAGTAATGCTACAGGAGGGTGAAGAAACACCTCGTTTGTGTGTAACAATTCCTTTCCATGATAAACATGCGCATGTTGCAGATGCTGTTGGTTTCTTTCTTCCTCATGCTCTACATTCGGATATACCTTTGTCAAGGATTTTTCATCTTGATCGTTCCTGTGTGGTGAGTTTGTTTAATTCTATTCATTCATGTATTTTCGTAACAACTAATTGATTGGTGGTTAATCAATCAACTGAATTATCAAAAACATAATGATTACAATCATTCTTTCTAATTCAAACAGACAGGTGATTGGAACAAGAAAAATTATCAACTAAGGAAATTTTGAGTAACAGTAAACCAAATTCATAGGAATAGGCCACTAAAAAAGGCATCATCACCGTCGCTAAAGAGAAGTCAGAATGCAATGGTGAGGTGGTAAAAGAAAGACGTTTACACAGAATGGCTGTAAATTCTTGAAGAAATTCGTCGCGCTAGAGTACAGAACTTTTAGAGAATATTTCTTTCAAACGTCGTCTACAACTTCCCCTTAAGAGTAAAAAGTTTTGATAGGTATCAGACATCTCTTTTACAATCAAAATATTGCTCTAGACTGTAATTGTTAAATTCGATTTAATTCATAAGTTTGAAAGTCTCTCTGTTTAGTCACTCACCGTTTTACAATCAAAATATTGCTCTAGACTGTAATTGTTAAATTCGATTTAATTCATAAGTTTGAAAGTCTCTCTGTTTAGTCACTCACCTCCCCCCCCCCCCCCCCCCCCCCCCCCCCCCCCCCCCCCCCCCCCCCCAGAGCGATAGTTATAGTTTGCAAAGATGGCTGAAACTGTCAACCGTTAGGGGAAAAACCACGATTTATGTTTGCAAGAATGTAAAAAAAAAATTGCATTAAGTCTGGATAGTGTACCGGCAAGTAGACAAAAAGTTGAAGGTCGTCCGTGCCAGCGAAAACGGTTAAGCAAAAACTACGTAAGAAAACAAGCAATCAAAATTCTAATCAATGCTTTCTTTGACAGGTTACTCCAGAGTTCGAAACGTTGCTGTTTAATTTACTGATCCTGGGTGAACTGACTGATGATTGTGGACGCGTTTGGAGAAGGAATTCACATGACTTGTATATCCTGGAAATCACCAGCCCTACTTTAATGGTAAGAATTCTTTCCCATACACGACTGAAAGAAAATGTATCTGCCAATATGCTTTTAAAGAATATTACTTCATAACTGTTTTATCTTATTAATCTTTTATATAATAAGAGGCCAAAGGAGTCATCTGAAGCATGCAAGTTTGATCAGCTCCTCCCACAAATAAGATGTCGTCTTCCGACAGACACTCTGTTCTCCTTGAGAAGAAAAAGCGCAGGTATGATTTGATTTAAATTTGGCCGAGAAAATATTTGAATATTTGGTAGTGACAAAGTCACCTTACAGTCTCACTCTGAAATTTCTGAAATCTGTAGTATTACATATGTAGTGCTACGCTGGAACATAAGTAAAATTAGAAAAAATTTTCATCCTTTGTCCTTAAAGCAAGGACTTTGTAGAAACCATCTCGAGGATTTCGTGCTTAAGACAGTTTGCCTGTAATTACCCCCTTGCAACATGATGGGAATTCCTCTATTCGAATTTGACTAAAAGTCAACTTACCCACCTCGAGTACAGTCCTTACTATTTCCACACCTCATGACATCTTCAAAACGTATATTTTCGTAGCAGCAAAAGAAACTAATAGCCCATCGTTTGATGAGGGAGAATTAGAGAGCGACGAAGTTCAGCGCGTGTGGCAGTATCTTCAGCTGATCAAGGAGAAACCTGAACTCATCCAGGAGTTCTACTATGACCGGAACTCTAAACGCACGAGTCCAGCCGAATGTCTTAAAACATTAATCAGGTTTGTAACCTGTTCCGTGGGAGAGACAGCAGTTGTCCCAGAGAAAAGCAAGCGTTCAAACCTTAAATCACCTTCGTCCTCGTTTTTTTCACCTTGGTACAGTCAAACCTCTATTAAGCTGGGTTCTGTTAAAGGATCACCTTTCCTTAAGCGGTTGCTCTCCAGATTATCGTAATTGGCTTCCCATATTAACATAACAGTCAAACCTGTATTAAGCGGTCACCCACGAGGAATGGCGCTTAATAAAGGTTAACCACTTAATAAAAGTTGACTGCTTAATACAGGTTACCGCTAAATATTGGTTGACCGCTTGATACAGGTTTTACAAAATAGAAGTAACATAAAATCTATTAAAAACGCCATTTTATGCCAAAATTGAACACTTAATATTCAAAAACTCACTCAAAACTACTAAAATACTAGTGCAAATACTAGTAAGAATATTAAAAAACAATGGAATGATGAATCTCAAATTCGATGGGGTGACTTATGACACGCGAGGAAATTTTGCACATGATAATACGCTACCCGCAAAATATCCTTGAATAAGGTGCATCTAGCGTTAACTCTCTCGTTGCTCGACAGAAGCGTTTCGGAGACCAAACAGGAGAAACCTTTTAAAAAAACCATTTATTTGCTTTACTATGTAAGGGTTCTTTTCTTAGATCTTTAAGTGTGCAATTTGTAAGTTTTTACCCTTTAATTACTGAACCTAGCTCTTTGTGTAAATACTCATTCCGTGTTTGGTTTCGTCAGGAACTGTGGAGTCACGAACCCGTCATGGTCTGAACTTCGATATTTTGTGAACTTTTTGAACTACCAGCTCAGAGACTGCGAGGAAAGCACGTTCTGTAACACCTCATTGGTAGAGGATACCTTGGAAGGATTCCGGAACTTTGTGGTTAATTTTATGATAATAATGTCAAAGGTTTGTAATAAAAAAAACGATTATTAATAACAACGACTGATTTCCAAGATTTCAAGAGTCCTAAAGATTCCTAAAGAGTCCTAAAGCATCACCCGTAATTGTCAGTCCGCTTCAATCGCCTCTTTCTGTAGTCATTTTGCTTCTTCTTATATTACCGACAACAGTCTTTCTCGGGACTACACTCACCCGCACGATCAAACTACACTTTTACATTATTTCTCCTTGTGTATTATTCCCTCTTGGAAAACTATTTGTTTGTAGTCGTCCTCTGACTCTTATAAATGATATGGCAAAATTCCATGGGTGCCACTAATTATGAAACTATGTCGCTCTCTGTCAGGATTTCTCGATGCGATCTTTAACAGACATAGACACTAGTCAGACTCACGGGACATCGGCCGGTTCAGAGGAAGAGCACGACATTGTTCCCTTCCGGCTTCGGAGACGTTGGGAGAAGAGGTAATACTTGTTCATACGTTTTGAACTCACCATTTTAGCTTTGCTTGATTTTGTAACGCTAACATTTGGAACAAGAATACAAATATTCTTTCCTTTCTTTTTTTTAATTGTAGGCCTCATCCATATATCTTTTTTAACCCGGATCATGTTACCATGACTTTCCTCGGATTCCGTGTTGATCAAGAGGGAAATCTTCTGGATCCGCAGACTCAACAAATCATTCAAGAAGGGATCATGACAAGACGTCTTCGCACGGGACTGAGTGTACAGAAAGTGGATTTGGACAACAGCTTTGAGTCCTATTCAAAGTAGGTATCAAGTAACGACTGCTGAATGATATATTTGAATCAGTTATTGAGAGTATGTCTTGCCTCCGTTCGCAACTACCAAAGCAGGGGTGGGGGGCGGGAGGGGGTCGAAAGAGACTCGTTGGCTTTGTGATTTGCGTGATGGAGAAGGGTTGAGAGGTCACGGTCCGAGCCCTATCCGAGTCTATGCATTGCTTCTTTTCAGTGCCTCTTTCTACCCTGGAATACAAATGAGTGCCAAAAAACTGTGCAAAAGTGAAAAAGCAGTCGTTAAGAAGCTGCCTAGAATAGACTAGCATTCCGGTGTCGGGAAGAAGCGATAATCCCAGAGGCGAACTTCATTGCATTCGTGATATCTGTTCATTTTTTCATTGTCTTAACGACCTTCGCGTGTAAAAATAAGTTAAAATTAAGAACATTTTACTTGTTTCATGAAAAAATAAATTTTTTTCGTCACATAGCTGATGTGAGACAATACACCTGGTTGTATGGTGTTTCGTCAAATTTTTGCTTGTTTACGCAAACTTTAAAATTGTGTTTCAGGTTTCAAAAAATCGAGCTGCTGTGTGCTGTCATGGGTATCAACTTTGTACATGATCCTGATGACTCTTATGAGCTGACGGGGGATAATGTTAAGAAAATTCTTGCCATCTATATGAGGTTCAGATGTAACATTCCAGTCATAATCATGGGTGAGACAGGATGTGGAAAAACGAAACTTATTCGATATTTGTGCGGACTGCAAACAGAGGGAGTAAGACAAAGAAACATGCTGTTAATGAAGGTGAAACCAAACTTCTATTCTCGATTCATTTTTTCAGTGTAGTTATTGAGCGACTCTTGGACATTTGTGTTGATATTACTGCCTATATTGAAATTCTAAGGTTAACAATACTGTTCGTAGCACTGTCTGTGTGAATATATGTTTTTTTGTGTGTGGCATTGTACTCTATTCAGGAAAATGAAGCAATAAGTTGAAGTAGTCCTCGCAGAAACCTCCCTAACGAGTAAACTAAGAATACCAAATTTTGCGGCGACATGAAAGGGCTATAGAAATTTTTTCAGTGCTACCTTGTTCTAAGTTTAAGACGGTGTAGTTGAAGCGGCGGGAAGGGGACGGGGTATTCAGGCAGTGGGATCTGTGTTGAGAGGCAAACCTTCTACTTCCTCTCTTGCTCTGGTTTCTGTTGGCTTCATGCCTCCGATGGCCTCATTGGTTATCCAAGCACCCGGTACTGTAATATTACTTTTCAGTGGATGTTTTACAGGTAGGTTGGGCATGGAAGGGTAAAAATAAAAATTAACTGTTGTTGTTGTTGTTAACTTATGATAGATATTTTATTGTAAAAAAAGTGCAGTAATAGAAAGATGAGGAGAAACCTAGCTGTAACACTTCTACAGCTTCTTTGAGAAATGTAACCGTCAACCTGAAAAGATGCAATTTCCTTACAACATAACCCAATATTTGTCACTGTTTTCGCTTTCTTTAGATTCATGGCGGTACCACTTACAAAGACATAGAAAGAAATGTCCTTCAAGCCGAGGCAATGGCTATTAGTAACAAACATGAAGGCAAAAATATCGACACCGTTTTGTTTTTTGATGAGGCAAATACCACCGAAGCTTTGGGGATGATTAAAGAGATTATGGTGGACCGAAGATGTAATGGTCGGCCCCTGAGTGAGAGTCTGAAATTCATCGTGGCTTGCAATCCATATCGAAAGTAAGTCTTGTCTTTACAATGTGAAATTGGTGATTATGAAGTAAAATGTAATAAAGGGCAAACGTCGTGGGGAAAACAGTTATTAAGCAACTGGGAGGAAAGGAGGAGGAAACAGTTAGCAGTCTGGATGGCGTTGTGTTCTGAGGCCAAACACTGCTCTCCAACCGCGCCACCTAAAACAACAGGGGTTAAACATGGTATTTTATCAAGCAGGTAGAATGAAAAATTAATGTAATTCAAGTTTGGCACTTACTGTGGCTCGTGAGTGCCATTCTGAATGAAATTAAAAGTTGCTATTCTTATAAACTTTGGATCTGGATCCGTAGTGATAACTTTGGATTCGCGGTTGTAACTTTGCATTCGCAGTTATGACTCTTACACCAATATCCAATATATTTAGCAGTTAGAATGTCCCTTTTAGGCCTCCATAAGCAGCTTAAGCGTGACTGACTGCACAAAGGGTTTTCGGCTTATTTACTGTCAATGCCGTGGTCGTAAATTTTAAACCAGCCACAAAAGACGATAACTAAGTTACCATGACGTAAGCTAGTTGCCTATTGCATCATAAAAACCAACACCGAAACCTTATTTATATAAAAAATTTTGGCAGGCACACGGACGAAATGATACAGAAACTAGAATCTGCAGGATTGGGCTATCATGTAACAGCTGAAGAAACTGCTGAACGCCTCGGTAAGAATGAAAGAATGAGAGATTCCGTGTGAAAGACCTCGAGAAAATAACCTGGTCTGATTTTTTTCTATGGTTTCTTTTCTATCATCTAGGTAAAATCCCATTGCGTCATCTTGTTTATCGTGTCCATGCAATACCAGAGAGCATGCGTAGTCTAGTCTGGGATTTTGGACAGTTGAATCCGGAAGTAGAAGAGCTTTACACCCAACAGATTGTGAGGAGATATGTAAGTAGATGTCATTGTAGAGCGGGTAAAATCCGGCAGTATATCCCAGAAAATTTCAAATGAAAAAACACGCTCGTGATGTCGTTACTCAATGTGACCACTTTTGTTACATATTATAAATGTGCCACTCGGTTCCCGGATGTGGTGGTCGTAGTGATTCTACGAGTGCTTTACTTCCCAGCAAAACACTGCTGCCTATATAATTATTTACTTTATCCTTTTGACCCCTAAGAATGATCAACCCTGGAACACACTCTGAAGTCACTTGATTAAAGGAAATGACCATTAACTTAAGAAGCTCTCGATCGTTTAACAAATTCTCCGTTGTCAACACTCAAGGAAATATGTGTACGAGACAGTATGGAGAATATGCATACTAATGTTGGGATGTAGAGGATTATTTTTAGCGCTAAAAAGAGTTATCTGCTATGACGATTCTTCAATCGCTCGCACGTTATTGGTCTAAACTTCAATAAGAGACCTAACATGCTTAAGCCAAAATTATAAGAACCACAAAGAGCGGCTGGTATATCGGCTGATAGTGTCCGCGGCTGAAAGATTGTCCTAAAAATGAAAAGTTATTCTCAAAGCAAAACTCCGAGGGCAAATGCTAAATTTCAAGGAAATATTTTTCAGCGGGAAAAAAAGAGAGGAAATCCGTTAACCACTGGTTAAAGTGTTTAATTCAATAGAGTCCCAGCTTATTTCTTTTATTAACACTTCAATTTTGTGCGAAATCATGATCTATTTCAGGTTGATCAAGGTCGTCTACCAGGCGATGAAAACTTAGTCAGTGCCATAGCAAGTGTTTTAGCAGCTTCCCAGAGATTCATGAGAGAGAAAAAGGTGTTTTGCTAACTGAACAGTAGCAAGTTATCACCCTTGTTCAATGAAAATAAGTATTTTACTGACCTGATCTTTTAGTTTCGCTGTTATTTTTTGAGAGCCTGCTATCAAATTTCTGGTAGGTTTGTTGGTATCATGTCTGTTTTTGCGCAAAGTCTTTTTTATTTAAACTTGTTTCGATAGGAAATTCGTGTAACATAATGAAATATGTAATACAGGTGATGTCATCGTATTTTAATAGGTTTTCCTTAATGTTCTTGAAGAAAATGGCGCTTTGTTGTAGCCTGAATACGAAAAGATTCTTATCGTTTCTTACAAACTGGTTTAAAATTCCTATTTGCAGGATGAATGCAGCTTTGTTAGCTTACGTGATGTCAAAAGGGCCATGGAGGTCATGCTGTGGTTTCACGAACACTTCCATCACTTTTCTTCTTTGATGCAAGAGAAGGAAAGTGACAATGAAGACGATGGCGAGAATGAAGGCGAAACCAGCTTTCATGTGATGCAACCCAATCTGAAAGAAGTACCATTTGCTTCTGTTGACGAGATATCCGTACTGAAAGACGAAGAACATGCAGGTTTCAAAGTGGAAAGGCGAAAGCTTATCGATCACTCGGGCAGGTTTAATCCTCTCAAAGAAGAAGTTAAAGAAACAGACGAGCGACCAATCTTGCTCGAGTCCGTGTCTAAGCAGATCCCCTGTGCTGCTCCCAGAAAAACACGGTTTATTCTTCCAGAAGAAACCAAAGATTTACCAAAGCCTCCACATGTGGTTCCTCTATTCGATCTTCCAGTTCCGAAGTTCGACTTTGAAGACTCTTATGAAGGACCGCTCCCAGAAGAAAACGTAATTACTGTTTTACTTAAGACCATTATTTAATACTAGTGAAGATACTCGCTGTTTCAGTTGTGATAATTACCAAGCGCATGAACCTCGTTTTTGCCATTATGTGTACTTTTAATCTTATACGAAAAATTTCTTTTATTTACGAACCTCACAATGGACTACTGAGTAATTTTAAGGCCGCAATCAACTCAAGCGCAGACGCCATGTCACCCTCCAGAAAATCTTTTGATATACGTTTGTTTTTAGACTTCGGAATACAAAACTTAGCATTGCCTTGGTCGCGGAATTTTAGGTAAATGTGTTTTTGAAGGCAAGCAAATGGAGGTCTGAATGTCAAGTTCATCAATGTACACTGCGCAAAAATTAAGTTAACGTATTTTCTGTTTTTTGAAACTACAGTGATCCCAGTTATCATTTATTTTAGGGAGATGTCAGCGACAGGATTGACCCAGTATCCTGGTCTTTAATCCTTGCTCTTGGCGTTTGTTACCAAGCACGGTTAACAGATAGGAAGGAATACCGTGAGGCAGTAGCAAAATCATTCAGACCACCGTGCAGGCTTCCTGGTGGAGCCGAAAGAATTGAAAGAGAAATTTCTCGGTAACGTCATTACTTCGTTGACGATAAACATACATGTGTATATGCATGTTGTTTGAGAGGGATGCTGTTTAAACTTCCTTTCAAAGCTCTTTCAACTCTAGCTATGTTTTTTTTTTTAAGATTCTTTCTTCTTCTCCTAAAATGGTTATTTGGCTGAACACCGACGAAAAAAGACTTTTTTGTCCAGTTTGCTGGAAAGCGTGAATTTTTTCCTTTATGTTGTTTTATCATTCGAGGAGACAAATTTAAAGGAACGTTTAAGTCACTGTTAATCATTTATGTGTATCAATTCTTTGTGATGAAGATAATGATAAATTACGTTTCCTTATGAAGATGTCAAGAAACTCTGATGGGGGAGTTAGAACTTGGACCCAACATTGCCCGCAACGAAGCCCTTAGTGAAAATGTGTTTATGATGGTGGTGTGCATTGAGCTCCGGATCCCATTATTTGTCGTTGGAAAACCGGGAAGCTCAAAATCCCTGGCTAAGACAGTCGTCGCTGATAACATGCAAGGAGCAAGATCCAGGTCTGACCTTTTCAAAAAGTTTAAGCAGGTAAGACCAAAGCACAAAGTGCTAATAAAATGATAATGATAATAACAATAATAATATTGATAATATTAATGATAACTGGAAAAAAAACGTTTAACTCTTGGAATTGTTTCTGTTCCCTGTGGGTTCTAACTGTGTTAATTAAGTATTATGGTATAGAAGGAATGGTTCCAACGTAGTCATTTACTCAAAGGAAAGCGTTTAGGCACATACACCCCACGGATAACATTTTGAGAAGCTATTTGGCATAGCTATTTTAGCATATAAGGTTTCTTACTGTTTTCTTTTGTCTTCAAAGAAATTTTTCACAAGTAAGGTTTTACAGTGCGTTGTAGGAACCAAGGAATTGAATCAAGTGGTTCCATTTTTTCATTATAGATTCAGTTGGTTTCGTACCAGTGTAGCCCCCAGTCCACCCCTGAGGGTATACTCGCAACATTTAAACAGTGCAGTGAACTTCAGGAAAGTAAGAACGAACAGGTATCTTCAGACACTTTTGCTTCTGTGGTAGTGCTGGATGAGATCGGATTAGCAGAAGACTCGCCAAAAATGCCCTTGAAAACTCTACATCCCCTGCTGGAAGATGATGACCAAAACGACGAGTTTGTGATCCAGTCTGGAAAGAGTTTTACAAGAGTCGCCTTCATTGGCTTGTCCAACTGGGCGCTGGACCCAGCCAAGATGAACCGTGGGATAATGCTTTGCCGTAATGAACCTGATGGTGACGAACTGGAGGCGACCGCCAGGTAATGTCGGAAAGATTCCATAAAATTTGTGATTCACATTTAAATTATCTATTTGATATCAATTACATCTAGAGTATCTCTTATATGCAAAAATCACCTTAGGTAGGCTAGCTCACTGATGTAATGAGGTGCTCATTCAACAAATCAAAGGAAACCTTTTTTCGTTAACCATTCCACCATAAAGCAAACGAACGGGAGTATTATGGTGTGTCGGAACGCAAGGGAAACTATAAATTAACTATTGGAAATCAACAACTTGCTCCAACGAGAGGCTAACGCTCGGAATGGCAGCTTTTCTAACCGACCCAAGGTGACTCATATTTGATAATCAATTAATTGTTTTCATAATGAAAAAGCACATGGAAGCAGTGTAGCTAAGACATTTTAGGCGTGAGCAATGACCGCAAACTGAATGCAACTGAAAGTTCGAAGCGGACGATAAATTTGTTGCAAGCACCGAGGAAAGCGACTGTTTACTTCCTGTTGCCCTTCGATCTTCGAAATTTCTTTATGTAAGAAATTTGTTTTCGAGCCGAGCTAAATCAGGCTCTCTTAGCTGTTGGTAAAGAACAAGTACGTTTAAAACGACTCATATAGGGAAGGTGCATCATTTTTCAAGGTGATTTGTAGATGACCATACGGAGGATAGGAAATCTTTCTTTCAGGCCATTACCCATTTTTTTTCCAACCTATTCTGTAATCAACATGCAAGCCTACTAAATCATGTTAATTTTCGAGTGAGGCCTAAGGTTTACCTATCGATTAAGTTTCGTAGATTGTTAGGAAAGCAAACTGGATATAAAACATTGTTATCAAAATGTCTGATATAAGACCGTTCATCATCTTTGATTTAAGCTATATATTGATTATTGCAGGGGTATTTGTGGAAGTAATGAGGACATATTGATACATATAGAACACCTTATATCCCCGTTGGTCCGTGGCTACAAAGACCTTTACACCAAACAAAAAACATCGAAGAAACTGATAGAGGGAAAGAAAGATGAATTTTTTGGACTGCGAGATTTCTACAGGTTTGATTGTGTTGACCTGTTCTGATTATGTTTTGAATTATTTTTTCGAAGAATTTCAACTAATTGCTCATTGCTTTTGTTTTAATTCAGTCTCATTAAAATGATCGTCTGCATCGCAAAAGAGCAGCAACGCCGACCAAACTGGGAAGAGCTCGAACAGACTATTAAGAGAAACTTCAGTGGCCTTCTGGAGGAGGATTTTAACCCTGTGAGAATTCTTATGGATCATATTGGTTTTCCTGAGGAATATTTTCAGGTTAAAACACTTTTTTCTTTATTGTCTTAAATAAGAACTTCATGCTTCAAAACCGGTTTTATCGTCTCTTATCTGACACCGAAGTTCTATTTTTTAGAAATGTCTTAAAAACAGAAATACTAATTTCCGGAAGACTTGCATTAAAATTTACCAAGCAGTGAACTTTCATGTTCATCACATATGTTTATGCCGTCGGTTTACACGGCGAAATTAGATTACGGTGGATAAGCGAAATGTCGATTTAAATCAAATACATACTGTTATATGCCCCTTGATTTCTCAGATCACATACTTAAGATGTATTTTTAGTAAGGCTTAAACCATTTTCATTTAAATAACAGCCCAAGAGTACCTCTGATGGTAATTCGTTTGGGACACACTTCGGTGGTAATCGAGCTAATGTTAGATCTGTTTTAGAGGATATTCCAAGGATACTTCTCATGGGCCTTCGACGATCACGCACTTTAAAAACCGCAATTTACCTCATATTCGTAACCACCAAGATGATAATTGTTTCCACTTGTTACATTGTTTAAACCTCCCATAACTTACAGGATGAAGAACGTACAGAAGTTGACTCTCTAGATCTTATAAGGGCAAGCCTGAATCGGGAAAGCGTAATGGGGTAAGTCTGATACCGCTTTGTTTACAATTCTTTGGTAGAAAATAGGAGATCTTTAGATATGTATTTACTAGAGTTTTGTCTTATGTGACAATGTGACCATGTGACCTGTTCCAATTAAGAGGTAGACCTCCCGTTCAATATACTCAATTGATATCAACATCATGGATTAATCATTTCCTAGCCAATACAAGCATGTCAGATTACTATTTTAAAATCATTTGACGTACTGCCGTATGAAGAAATATACTCTTCGTTGCTTGACACGGTTTTAATTATCGTACAACAATAAAGGAGTCCTACAATACAAATAACAACCGAACTATACTAAAATACAGTCCTTATAAGCTCACAAAAAAAACGATGCATATACTTAGAGATGATATGCAATGTAAGATGGCTAACTTGCAATAGTAAAGCGGTAAGTAGAGTTCCGATCCAACGTAGATAGAGAAATACATATTTCCTCGAACGTAACAAGAACGTAAACACAAAATGGCTGACTCCCTTGAACCGGTCAGCGGTTATGATAGTTCCTAGGCCCTAGCGGCCACGTCGTCTCTTCACCGTACATGGCCCGTCAGTGCAAGTCCCACCGTTCTGTCTTGACCAAATACTCACATGAAATTCAAAGGCGATATCCCTTATCATTTGCTCAAAAAGGTTTGCCGTGTCTTTTTTTTTTTTTTATAGAGATGGACGGTATCTGCTCATCATGACTGAGAACTTTGCAGCTTTGCCAAGAATAAAACAGCTTTTGTTGGAACAGTACGAGGAAGAACCATACGTTATATTCGGTAGTGGTTTCCCTAAAGACCAGCTATTCACACAGGTGAAAATTATGCGCTATATGTCACATGTCACTTTTACTCTCTCAGCCTGTGTATCTGTTTATTATCTGTGCCATTGCCTGTATCACCTCATCACTGCTTGTATATCTCTCTACCTGATGTCTCTCTCTCTGTCTGCTTGTCTATCTGCCTACTTGTTTAAGTGTGTGTCTTTCTGTCTCTTTAATGTTTCGGTTGCTTTAGCCATTTCCTTTTCTGTCGCGTTCACTCACTGATAACTGGAAATTTATTGCTTGACACAATCATTAGGTCAGTGCCATAACCAAAGATTGTATAAACGTAAATTCTGCAGGTTTGCCGAAACATCAACCGTGTTAAGATGTGTATGGAGACAGGCAGAACAGTAATTTTGCTCAATCTTGAAAACCTGTATGAAAGCCTCTACGACGCCTTGAATCAGGTCAGTCAAAATCGTACAATACAACGTATGACGTGACTTTTCTATACTTTGCCATGCGAATGTACCTCAGCCGCTGGTGCACCACAAAGTGATATCTATACTTTTTCGTTACCTTTTAGCTTTCTCTTAAATTTTTTTTCAAACTGTGTTTTTAGTATTACGTCTCTTTTGGAGGAGAGAAATATGTCGATCTTGGGCTAGGGAATAACCGAGTCAAATGCCGCGTTCACCGAAATTTCAGGTAATTATGTCTTGGATCAGTAATCATGACCAGTATTACGAAGAGATAAGAATTATAGTCTATATCAGATTAGCAGGCCATCATGCACTTTTGAGATTAAAGCTCCAAACTTAGAATTGTACCCATTACTTCGTGAATGTTTTGCTAAATAGGGTTACAATACTTATTCAATCTAAAGGAAAGGCGTTTCTGCCAAGAATATTTTAGGAACGTAATTTGATTTCCGTCAAACTTTATCAAACTCGAAACAAAATACTGGCTGTATGTGAGGGTTGAAGTAGAGTGAAAGAAATCCTTTTGTGGGCAGCTGTTAATAACGTTATGTGGTACAACAGCTTGTACACATTTACAAAGGTACTGCTTATTTCAAACGAAGAACTGTTGCAATCATTCTTTTCAACAGGCTTATTGTCATTGCTGAAAAGGACGTGGTTTACAACAAGTTTCCCATCCCTCTGATCAACCGCTTGGAGAAACACTTCCTTGTTATGTCATCTGGCCTCACCAAGCTTCAGGAGGAACTGACCAGGGAATTGGAAGATTGGGTTGAGGATTTTGCGTCTATATTGCATCGGACCCACGAGAAACAGAGGTTGTTTCAAAATAAGATTCCTTTGAACCAGTTTGCATCTCTCTTCTTTTCTTCTGTTTGGTTTTGTTTGTCGTTGTTACTTGTAAAGCTATCTAAATCTTCTCATTTTCCTAAAATATTACAAGAGGAAGGTGACATTCACGTTATTCATTACAGGTGTTGTTACTTATGCCTAAATGCATAATTTGAATTAATACTGATGCAGTTTGAAGTATTTTAAGACTGGACCATGTCTTCGTGGCAGGTTCCAATTGAATTTTCATTCCCATTAATCGAATATATTGCGGTTCCACGTTTCCTACTCTGTTGATGACAAATTTGCCGCATTTAACATCTAATCTTTTTCCTTATTAAGAACATTCACTAAAGGAGATGCTTTTATTGGTTACCACGGGGACACTGTCCCGGCCGTAGTTTTGCAAGTTTGTGCTGAGCTTCATTACGACGGAACCTCCCCGACAGATCAAGATAAGGAGTCTTGGATGGAAGAAGTAAGTTGTACTACGAGAGAGAGGAAATGCTATACACGATTTTCCATGAGGTTTAGCTATCTGCATGAACAATCCCAGTAAAGAAAACATGGTGTGCATCTCTTTTGGGCCTCTTATTGGGGTACTTACCCTTCATACGGAAATACCATCCGTACAGCTGAAATGGTTCGTTGGCCTTTAGGACATTTTGTAAGCACGAACCATCAGTTTGGGATAAGAATGCTGTTTTCTGTTCACTGGATCTTCGCATGTAGCTTCCTCTTTTTCTTTCTTCTGAAAAGCCTGGAAGGTTTGTGTCCATGATTGATATCCCAGCTGTTGTTTACTCAGCTGCTGTTTTCTGCTTAAACTCACAATGACTTTGTCAGATTCCATGGGCCCTGCTGTTCAATGGGTGGATTACGCTATCCAACGGATAAGTGTTAACAAAACGTATTGCGCTATCCACTGGATATAGATTAATCCACTGGATAGCGCTACTCACCCTTTAAACAACCGGGGCCAGGATGAAGGTAAGAATGCCGTTTTTGTATGTATTTAAAGTTTTATTTTCCTCCAGGTGCTTTGCATATGTAAGGAGCGTTTGCTGCAGTGTGCGACTCCCGACTCTGTTACTCGTCTCCGTTTCTCACGTCTTAGCCAAGACGCAAACGAATTATGGACGACGTACTTCCGTAAGCAAGAACACTCGAGCCTGGCCAGCTTTTTAGAAAAAGAAGTCGGGCCTACTAACTTTGGTGCTGATGGAATGTCTAAAGCGTCATTTCGTGCCCAAGTAAGAAAATTAGATTCTCTAAAAAAGTTCCTGCTTAAACATTTCGTTAGCTGAACTTTGATCGTTCGATTAATCTGTCAAAATTGTCACATGACTGTCTAAGGTAAGAACCCGGTTGGGGATTAAATATTAAACATGGTGATGCATTTTCTCGAGCTGAGCCACAAATTTTCGGTCCTTGGAATTTTTTTTGGTAGGTTTCACAAATGCCAGCGACATTTTTCTGCCAAATTTTCTCAGCAATCTTCGCTAGAATGTCTCACCACTGAGAAACTTCAAACAGGGTTCATTTCTCCAAATTTAGTTCGTATTACTTTTGCTCAGTTCTGTAGTAATTAGTAAAATCTATCTTGAGTAACATAAATAAATGGAATAGGATGAACTTCTTTCTAATCGTTATTTTTTCCCAGATTTCGACACACTCTCGTCTTCTGACAGACCGCGACATTCCTGCAATTGCCAATGCTGTTAACGTGCATCCAAGTTCAGTAAAGTGTGTCTCACTGCAGAAGTTCCAAACTGAACAGCAATTCTGCAACAGTATAGGGTAACAACTAGATTTGAGTATCTTTTCAGTAGAGTTTAGACATGTAGCTGCAAAAAGAAACAACGATAGTGGTAGAAATTTTCCCAATAGAGCAATGACAACAATACCATTATATTATAACATTACTCCCTGTCTGAAACAAAATCAATGCAAATGCCCTGGATGAAAGAGGATAAATCTGCAATACTCAAAATTGAAATGTAGTTGATCAGATAAGTGATTATTATAAAAGGACTGCATTAATTAGGTTATTAACAGAAACCCATCTGGGAAATATCATGTCAAGCGCCAGGTTACTAAGCCAATCAAAAAGCGTAGTCAAGCGAAACGAATGCAACCCAAATAATTTTTTACACTCAATTGAAGAACGCTCTAAAACTGAGAAAACTTAATTTGTTTCAATGTAAAAAAAAGCACTTTGGTGGTTAATGCACGTTAAATTATTCTTAAAACACCACCACGAGATATCTCCATACTTTTTAAACGAGGCAAAGTCTTTCGAAGACGTCAGCTCATTTAACAATTCGAGTGTTCATTGTATATTACACAGGAGAGACTTCTGGGCCAAGCTCGGAGGAAGGAAGAGCCTGTTAATAGTTCAATGCGATTCCACTGACCAAAACGTGAATTTAGTAGCATGCTCTCGTCATTTGCTCATAGAAGAGTTTCGGGAAATGGAGAAAGAATTGGGGGAAGTGGACAAAGATTCGGAGGAGGATTTTACAAGTTGCAGTCACGTCCTAATGATTGTGCAGCTGCCTAGAGTAGCAGGGGGCTATAGAGAGTTCGTTGGTGTGCAAGGTGAAGAATGGTTGTCTGTCCACATCGACGAGTTATGCCCTCCAAGTGAGGAAATACCACCGATTGAAGCACTTCTAGACCGTTCAGTTAGTGAAATTTTCGAGGGTGCCCTTAACGATACAGAGAAGACAGAAAATCATCTGACTATCCGCCAAGTTCTAACAAGTTGCGTGCAGATGGCGGCCAGCAAGATTGAGGATGATGAATCGACGCTTAAAAGAGCAACCAAAAGGATTGAATTGCTGCTTTACCTACTTTCGTGTGGAACGAGCACTGGTAAGATCCTCGAAATATTCTTCATAGATCTACTGTTACCCCCACATCCACCCCCCCCCCCCGAGAAAAAATTGTTTTGGTGAAATTTAATTGTTGATTGCGTGTTCAATCATAGCTTCATAATCAAAATAAACCTAGTATTTCCTTTTTTTAGGGAATAAGGATGACAACCGTTTTGAGGTGGTGGTCGCAAAACGACTATGTGAACTACTAAAAGTAAGAGACCAGCGAGCACCAAAAGAGGGAAAGGAGTGGCTCGAGGACGAGGCTAAATCGTGCACTGTGAAGGAAACTGGAACATTCAAAAAAGCACTTTGGCGCCGTTTCCAGTCTGTTGTGGCTCCTATTCTGGCTGAAGTCATCGCATATATCGATCGAGACGAAAACCTTGAACTCGCTGCCAGTGAACACCCTTGGGTATCACGTCTCTGGTTGAACATGCTTGAAAACGACTCCTTCACTGATCTCAATTATGGAATGTTTATGTCTCGAGAGGAAGATGTGGAGAGAGTCCGGAGTAGAGTTCCAGTTTTAAAATCAGGTTATCGATCGCATGTCTTTCCATGCAAGTTTCCATTTTCTTGGCTCCTCAAAAGGCACATAGATGAGATGTATCGAGAGGCCAGAAGTATTGCAGGTGAGATTTACTAAGTTGAGGCTTAACTCTTTTTCTTGACGCTGGAATGATTATAGATCTATCTCAGTTTCGTTTTAAGCGTTTTTCTGTCTTTAACAACCCCTTTCGTCACGGCTTATCTCTTGTTACCGTAAATGCCATGTTAGGCCCCCTTCTTTCTGAAGACGGCATACCCGTATGAAGCTCCTAGTGTTTGATAAGTTCCTCCACTCTAACAAGCCATCCTCCTATACCCTGTTCATGAAAAAGAAACTTCATTAAAAGTTTTGCTAAGAAAGTTCTCTGTAAATGATTAGCCTTTGTAAATTTATGCTAGGAAGCATTCCACATTAAAAATATACCTGTATTCGAAAACTACATTTAGTTTTTGGGATTACCAAATCTGTCCTTATTTGGTAGAAAATTCTCACGAAACCCTCATTGAATGCTTGCGGAGGTTGTTGGACGCTTCAAGCGTGAGGCAGATTGTTTCCGAGGCCATCTCAGAAGGCGGCGAAAACTCAGTGGCTCGTTATTTGCATGACTTTACTCAGATGGTGTACAAACCTCAAGATGACGCCGAGACTGAGGTAAAAGTGTAAGAGGACTTCTATGTGTAATCACTTCACAGAACAGTTTGTTATCCGCAAAACTATATCTATACGTCTGTCGTGGACGACTGTACGTACATGCTTATGAGGTTCATTGTGGAGGACACAAGACTGTTTAAGTTTCAATCACAACATAGTTTTCTCTTCATTTTTTAACTCGTGAATTGCGCACATGCGCAAGAGCAAGTTGTAGATATGATGTGGAGAATGGCACTCGCTCGCTCGCTCGATTGGTCGATTCCTGAGACTTTTTTCGATTTTTGAGTGTATTTGATAGTTCTTGGCAAGTAATAAACAAACGAAATAGCGACCTTTGTTGCTAAGAATAGCAACGCCTTCTTATCCCAACGTTACTTTGTTTCTTTGCTACATTAGCGAACTCTGAATTACTGATCGTACTCTAAAAATGACAGTCAACCATAAAATTCCCTAAACCAGATAACATTAAACATAATCCAAAAAATCATGTAAGTCATCTGTCAATTCACGAGTTTGCTCACAGAGCACTTTGATTACTGATCGGGGTAGTACCGATATGCCTTACTGTTCTTGCTTTTTTGGGGGAATTTTGTTGGGTGCGATCCTTTGTTTTGATCCATAAATTAATTAATTTTAACAATTAATTATAGTCGATTTTATGTCCATGTCTAAAGAATTTGGCGAGCTGTAAGATCCTTTGCCCTCTCTAGATTGTTCAAAGAGCGATTACAGCCGCTGCAAAAGAGTTTCATATCCCGAAACGTTCACCAGATGATAGGTTTGCCATGGATTTTGCACTGGTTCATGTGGCACATTCTCGTATTCAGCAGCGACTCAACTGCTTATCCCAGTTTCTTCGAGCCAAGCCTGACCTTGCAGAGAACCTTGCAAACAGTTTTTCATGGGATGAAAACGAAATGGTATGCATCGGTTTGTTTAAAAGTTATCATAGCCATTGAACCTGTGGATTTTTCAGGTACGCTATAGCATGTTTTTGCATTTGTCTGTGACGTTTGACCTTCTACGTAAGGCTAGTCAGTTGATTACGTGAAGGGAAAAGCGATCGAAAACTCTTTAATGATAACAAAATAATTCCTACGTATCCAGTAGGAAGGCTAATCGCAGAGAGTCACGCAAGTGTGCATGTAAATAAACATTTCTTTCTCAGACTGTTGACGCTATTGCTCTACAAATGTGCTTGGAGCGTATGGAACCCCATGCAGAGGAACTAAAGACCACCTCACAAAGACAGGCCTGGTGTGACTCAGTTTTGTCTGTGAAAATCCCAGTGGAAGAAATGATCGGCAAGAGGAAAACCGAAGACAAGACACGCTTTGGAGAAAAGACTGAGTCCATGCTGAGACAGTGCAGGTACTTTTTAGAATTTAATTTTTTTCATGTCATTCTTGTGCTTTCGAGTTAGCCATTTTACCCTGCTGCTACTCCGCTTTAATTTCAGATCCATGTGGCAACGCCTTAGTGCCGTCAGACTACTTATCGAGCACGTGTATCCATCCCAAGATTCAACAGATTCTAGAGATTTGCGGAACATTTTGAAACTTTGGAAGGTAACTGACACTTTCCAACTAGGTTTTATAACAGTAATTAATTTGCAGACTTTAAGAGATTACTAAAAGCCAGTTGAAAACCTTTTTGGAGATGACTATTTCGCAGGCAAACGGAACGCAAAACGATATATTAAGATAAACAGTACTTAACAATTTCATAAAATTAATGTGTATTTAACTTTTCAGTGATTTTTTGATTAATAAGTGACTCAGAGACTTGATCGATTTTAGGCCCTTGGTGAAGAAACAGATTTTACAAAGGCAGATTCCCTCAACATTATTGAGCGTTTTTTATTAAACTGCACGGAGGATTCACTTCCGGTACTTCAAGAGTAAGTAGCAACTGAAGTTGCATTAATTCCAAGTTTACTCTCCAAGCAACAGCTGCTATCAATACTGCTATGTTCAGTGTAAAGTTTATAGCGAAACGTTAAGGATAAGGCAAGAGAGTTCGTCATAGTGAAAATGGAAAATCGTTATTACAGCATGTAAATTGTGTGACCAGTGTAATTAGCCCAGTTTTGCTATTTCATCTTATACTCTCTTACATTCTCATGCAGTTTTAATACTAATGTTTCTACTAGAAATGAAGACCTTGAAATACAGGCCAAATTTATCCACCGTTGCAACACATTCTTCATGGAGATTGTGTCACTGTTTTGCTTTGGAGATGGCGTGCGTAAGTTGGATCCAGACGTATTTGAAATGCTCATGAGATATGTAACAGGAGCACATTTTGCTGGTGCAACGAGAGAATTTTCACCCTTTCCTGAATTTGGAGGAGACAGCATTCCGGTTGTGAGATCCTTCCTCTTGCAACAGCTTATCAATTCAAGGTGCGTCTCTCTAAATAAATTTTGAATATCAACTTTATTCAATCAAACTTTTGAAAATACCATGATAAGGTCGACTGTGCTGACGAAGGTCACGGAGCTAATGCTTTCCATGGCCTTAGTGAGTGGTCTATGACTGAAACTTATCCTTTTACGCTTAATCGTGCATTTGCTCTTTCTCACAGCTACTTTCATAGTCTTTTAAATGTAGAAAGGCATCGTTCTCTCTCACATGTAAAGCATTCCTCAACTTTTGCATTCATATCCAGTCATCTTCATCGCTAGAACTATTTTTCCTTAGAATGTTTCTCGCATTAACTCAGTGCATAAGAAACAATTTCATATCAGTTACTTTTGTCATCGTGTGGTAATATCTTAATAGTGATGAAGAAGCCAAGAAACACCTACATCGCTTCCTCTTTGAGGCTCAAGGCCTTTCTTCAGAAGTGCTTCATATCCTGAATGTTTGTCTACTTGCTGTGCAGTGTATGGAGGTACATAAGGATTTATATTTATTTGAAGCAAAGCTAATTTTATGGTAGAGGATAGTGATTCAAGAAAAGTATTTATTTAACATAAAAGAAAACTACCCAAAAATGTTACCACATGGGAAAGGACATTTAAACTAATTTTTTCCTATGACGCCTAAGATATTGTAGCGAGTAATGGATGAACACAAGAGAGGCGAAAAGGCTAGTTTTCACTAGGGAAGGGGTCGGAGAAGGAATGTAAGTCGGTGTCGTAAAAGCGCATTCGATCTACAGAGAATCGAAAATCGGAGTCGTAAGCCGAGTCAGAAACTCGACATAATTGGTTTCATTTTCTTCCAATTCTACCTATGACTTCGACGCTTATGTCTCCATGATTACTTAATTGTCGGATTCGCAAGGAGACGAGTCGATTCAGGTGTAGCCATAGCGGCAACAACACAAGGACGAAAACGGGTTTTAATTGTGAGGTACTACAAAATTATCTCATCGATAGTTTAAAGACCGTTTCTCCCACCTTCTTGTTTCTTCTATGATATTTATTAGCGGAGAGTCGAGTTACTTAAAAAGTTGTAGCAAAACGCGATGAGACCTTGCGCAAGTCATTAGAAATTAGACAGGGCTGGTGCGCGAGCTGTGTTTTGTCTTCTAATTGGCAACTACAAAACAAAAAACAGGGAGTTCATTAATGAAAAGCACTTCCTATTGCATTTTATCAAATGAATTATAGCCCTTCACTTTGTACTCCTTTCACTCTGTAGAACTCCTCCGCCAGTGCGTTAGCTATGTTTGCTAACCTCGATCTTCCACTGCAAATTGGTAGCGTTAACAAGATTTGTCAAGATGCACTAAGCATCTTACAGGAAGACTTCACAAGTTTTGATGAAATGCAGGTGGATTCTTTGGAAGCGGTAGCTAAAGCGCGCTGTAGTTTAGGAATGGCGGCCCACTACCTGTACATGAGCTGTGTTAACGAGGACGAAAAGTGGCTCCAAATGGAAACGCAAACTGCAATGGAATTCTTATTCGACACTGTTAAGGCACTTTGCTCATTGGCTCAGACAGGTTCCAAATCTCCGGCTCTCTTTCTACTTAAACAGCTGGTTAAACGTTACGGAGGACATGCCATTGTTACTTTGTCTCAAAAGCCAGAACTTTCGTGGATCGTTCCCGTCGAATTCAGAGGAAACGAGGTGGGAGTTCTCAGTGGTTGATGGTTTCAGTCTCTATTTTATCTCTAATATAAATATCTTAAATTTTGAGTTTAATCTTGACTACTTTTGTAGCTATACAATTTTTTTTGCCCTTAATCGATCCGCTGATGAACTGATATAATTCGATGGATGTTCTCTCTAATCATGATAAGCACCCAAGTCCCATGAGCGTTGGCAAGAAAGTCTTCATTCTCCTGAATTTTACATAGCTTTTAAAATACAGCATTTGGAACAAACAAACAAAAAGTGCAACACTGGAAATATAAGAATCATTTACAAAGGACTTCTCTAATTACCCCAAACATGCTCTGGTTGAATAAGCTTTTGATCAAAATTGATTTAGATTTTTCATCATCGAACGAAAGAGTTACATTTGAAACTAATGCAGTCTTCTCTTGTATTTTACTTAACAAGTGTTATTCATATTTTTATTAAAAAAATATCAACAGGACGCTGAGATGAATTTGGATCGGTTTCTCGTGTATGGAGAGTTATATCAAGAATTAAGAGACTCGATAGCCAGAGCGATGTTAAGCAATGACACAGATGAACTAGTGGCGTCACTAGAGGTAACGTAGATATCCTTTTCAAATCTTTAAATATAACTTTTTTGGTGTATAGTTCATCTTATGTGCGAAGATGAACTGCTTGAATACTATACTTGCGTCAAAGGATCTTTAAATTTTTTATTATCCTTTTAAAGACTGATCGAAAAAAGATGTCTAAGAATTCAACTACTTACTTGTGCTATCTGTGGTGCTTCAGAGGTTAGGCGAAGTCCCGATTCAGCACGCTAAGGATATCGTTCTACTCCTGGCTTTGTATCGAGAGATAACAGTGCCAAAAGGAATATGGGCCCAAAACGTACAGTTTCAGCCTGGGGTGAGTTGCAGTGTTGATTTCTATACGACTCCAGATAAATGATGAGTTTTGTTTTGTTTTTCCAGTGTAACCATGCCGAAAAAGAAATAAATTTTTATGCGGGATGTTAGTTACAAGCAGATTATGATTCGCTGACTTTCTATAATCATACTGAATACTATAGCCACTAAAAATGGAATGTTATATTATCTTTTAGAAATGTGCTGCGATAACAGATGTTATCCTGACAAGGATCAGATTTCTTTCTCTCACTGTAAGTCAAAATGTGTACATTTTTCATTACTTTAGTTCAATACTGTCTACGGTAGCAAGGTCAAAGGTTGAAGAAGTGTTATTTACAACTGTCCAGTTATTAGCTCTACTCCTTATCCAAGTCTTTTAAATAATCAACTGCTGAAAGCTTGTTGACGTTGTTCGCTTAGAACAACATACGTACTGTGGTTTTTAGTGAACAAATAGGCATTCCAAGATCCCATTTGCCAAAAACATTTTGCTGACGTCACTATAAAGAAGTTGCTGAAATCACTATGATTGCCCTTACTACGATTATCACTGATTTTAATACTAATGTTATGTGGTCGTTTCATTTCATTTTCCCTCTTCGTAACGAATAGGCGCGACACTTGGTCACGGGTCTTTTGAGGAATCCTCAGGACTTAGGATTTCCATTACCCACCGTCCATGAGACCTGTAGTGAAGCAGAGAAGGCTTTGCCCGATATCTTGTTTCACGTGACTTCTGTACTTCGATGTATAGACTTTGATGAATTACTGAACCCTCTGAGGGAGATTTTCCTCGCTCCACGTCAAATGCTGGTGAGTGGATATAGTTGTCAGTTCTTAAATTGGCTGTAACCTTTGTGGTCAGCCTTCAGTGAGCTATCAGTGACCTGTTAGATACCATCATGGAAAAAGAAGCTAATTATTTTCTCTATAACATAAAACTTTACCACCTTATAGTCTATCGCAGTAACATATAAAGTTTAGGCCAATATCAAGCACACAAAAGGTGATGGTGCTCAATCCAGACCCTGGCTGATAAGTTAGGACAAAACCCGATTTCCCCTTTTTGTAACTGTTGCCACGTCCTTCACCATTTATCTTCCAGGACTCTTTTCTTCCAACAATGCCAGAAGACAGTTTTCAAGAGACTGTTTCTGCCATGACGGAGGGAGGCAAATGGTATCGTAAGTACTGCATCTCATTTATTCCCAGTTGGGGTTGATGTACTTGGTTTTTGCCTCCTAATGTCGTGCGATCGTCGCCATAGATCTCAGTGTCTATCTTAGGTAGATTTCTGCCATCGCAATTTCGTCAATATATTTGATGCTTTGCATGTTAGGGATGGAAATTGCTCGTATCGTTTTAAATAAGGATGAATATTTACAATTCTACCGTTCTCGTGGGGTCAGAAATTATATCTTTGCTTTTCAGAATGTCCAAATGGTCATCGTTACTATATTGGTGACGTAAGTATTATTTATCGATCATATAACTATGGACCGACTGACTGAATGACTCAGTCAGTGATTGACTGTCAGACTGACTAGCAAATCTATTAATTGATAGATCAATTAATTTTCCGATTGACTGACTGCTCTTAAAGGGAAGTTCTCCGATAAAATGCTCCTTAAAGCAGATTTTAACTGTTATTTTTGATAGTGCGGAAGACCAGACCAGGAGAGTCTATGCCCTACTTGCGAGTCGCCAATTGGGGGCCTTAAACATGAACTGGTTGCTAACAACAGGGAGGCATGCAGGCAAGTGATATTGTTAGGAGAAAATGTAACATTTGGTTTACCCTTACAAGTAGAGGAGCTATTTAGGAATTGTTGTACTGTACAGCAAACTCAAATTGAAATTTATTCGACCTAGGTTAAATTGCACGAAAGTGAGGCTAGTCAATTCTCGGGGTGTGTTGTGAGTTTTCCCGTTCAACAGTGGATCTATGCGATACGTCGAGAGGAAGGAAAGTAGTTTACGATCGATCACAGAGGGAACATAAATTTGTTCGCAAGGTTAATTCCAAGTTGTTGAGAAATTATGATGTATTTTTTTGTACTGTTGCCAAGGAAACAAAAAACTGTGGAGGTTGAGATCAATAAAATCGAAATAACGAAACCAGTCGTAGCCACACTAAATCAAATGGGCGCTTGCGGAAACATTTGTTTAATTATTGTACGGGTTATTTTCAGGATCGACCGTTCCAACAAAGGGCACATTTTGGGAGCACCCAAACGTTTTACAGTCAATGAAAGGGATCTTTCTCCTGCTATGGTAAGCCTTCTAAGGATCATTCTCCACTCAGCCATGTTAACCGGAGCCCAAGAACATCCTGAGGTAAACTATATACAGAATGATTTGAGAAATTTGTTAATTCTAAGCCAGCTATTTTAAAGGGTTAGTATCTTCAAGGTATTTGGAATTTAACCAACCACTTTCTTAGTTGGTTTATTCAATAATCGCGAGCCTTTTGCGAGCAAGGCTCTGTTTCTCGTATAAAGTCGTAAACAATGTCCCAGCCATCCAACAAACACTGTCATAAGATTGATCAGTATCTCCCTCTAGGCCATTTGTCAGCTTATAAGTGAGCCAGACGTCGAGCCAGAAAATGTCACTGGCTTTCTCTGGGACCATCTTGTCAATGATGTGGAGAATGTATCGACCAGCCTGGAAAGAAACGTCGATGAAGTGTTGCTGATAGTTCATCACCTTTTAGCTGCGATTGTGGACCGTTCAACTAATAGTGAGTTAAATTTGTTCTGACAACTTCAAATAGACCGAGACAGGATAAATGTCAAAGGATCCTATTCATAAAATGATATTTTCAACGTAACTGAAATATTTTAAACGAAAACGATAATACATGCACCTCGCATGTTGCATTGATTCTTGGCCTCATCGGACTACGTTGAGAATAAAAGGTGGGATCATTGTCAATATCTGAGCAAAATGTATATTTACCCCTCCCCTTACCAATAAGTACAACTGTGAACTGATAACATGCTAGGGTTAATGTTGAGTTAGGCAAGAGCCAGGTGCGCAGTTTCTCGGATAATGACATTCATCTAAAATGTGCACCATAGGATTTTATTATTATCTCCAGGTGCTCTTGGAATCATCTTTATGAGGGACTCCCATCTTGAGCTCGATCTCCTCTTAGTCCCCTGCCATATCTGGCAAGAGGTGTTTCCGATATCGATATCTCATCATTTCAAAATGATTTTTTTTAAGGGTGAAAATTAATTTCATTTGAGAGACGACTGTATCGATAGACTTCCAAATCAGTGTCACATGATATCTGCTTTGCGAGTAACTTATACCCTTCATAGTTAACTTGTATCATAATTTTGATATCCATTTTTAAGGGGAAACCAATGGTGCTGAAAAGTGGTCAACCAAAGTAGAGAGAAGACAATGGGAGAACCTGTTTTCAGCTGTATTTGCAAGACCTCTCTTCACGGTAGTTGGTCTCCCTCCTCTTGTTAAGATGCTCATGATTTCGCATATTTCAGTCTAGTCTTTTGTTTTCTTTTTTTTTTTTGTAAAGTGTCTATCACTTCGAAATTGCTTTATGTTGTGATTGTTTTTGGTCTTTGGTCTACATGCTTTTATTGAAATTCGTTACATTTTTCAGAAACTCGTGTTCTTAAAAAGTCTCACTATTATATTTCGACACTGTTCTCAACAAGGCGTTGCTTACGACTCAAGGACTCGAGGAGATGAAGCATTTTTTTGTTTGTTATCTGCAAACGAAAAAAAATCGGATTCAAGAGAACTGCGCACCCTAATGGTAGATCAGCCTAAAGATGAATTAAGTGAACATATATTAACCATTTCCGTACATTTTCACTTTAACTTTCACAGAACCTAGACGAACAGCTCCAAAAGTTCTATACTCTGTCTGTAAACGACAGAAGACTAGGTAATTACGCTTTTATTGTCAAACAATTCACCTTCAAGACTGATTCCTTTCTTAAGATAAAGAGTCACCGCAAAAATTACAATCATAACCTATGATAACCAAGTGGTCTAAATGCTCCTTTGGAAGTCGTTTAAGTTTAACCTCATGGTGTGTTCTAAGAGTAACATCAACTTAATAAAACAGATCCATGATGTCGTGCGTCTGTTCAGTAATTGATCACAGGTGACCTTAAAAAAGTCGCGAGAAAAAAAAAAGGGGCACACGCGGCACAGCCGAGTGAGTCATTGATGCAACTTATTTTACAAACCAGGTAGAAAAGCGTGAGACAAAATCGAACTTTGAATTTTGTAGTACTCTCAACTGACAAGACTGTAAATAATGCGTTTAAGACCTCTCCCTTTTCTGGTGTAACCTTCCGATAAGGTGTTATAATCTATAGAAGACTTCAAAATGCAGGTAATTCATCACTAACTTGTAGTAACATTATCAAGATAGTTTGTGGTAGAGAACTGTTGCAAACGTTAGCGCAAATGTCTTACCATTTGTGTAAAAATCTATTTTCCAAACAAGTTTCCCCTCGAAATTTCCCCTCATCTAAAAATGCGCGCACTAGTTTTCGAACAAGGAGCTAGACTTTCAAGAGAAACTGCATTTTCCGCTTCATACTACAGGGAACGATCCACTCATGCGAGAGATTTACGAGGTGGACGACCTTTCGCTTCCACGCACAGCAGCAGACATCCATCCTGGACACGCGGCCTTTTGGAAATATAGAACACGTTTGACTGTTGAACACGTGATTCGTCAGTTTGAAGACATCAAGTCAAACATGGCCTCATGTAAAGTCCTAGGAAAGTTCCTGGTAGAGGTAATGTAAATTGAAGAAAACTATTTTGCATGGGGCAGACACTGATGTTGACAAATAGTATGTACTCATTGACTAAATGGGGGGCCGATAAGGGGAAGTATTTGGCTCGAAGTCATAACGTATGGACCGAGGGCAGCGATAGCGACAAAATTTCCCGTCCGCTCGAGCAAATTCAGCTAGTCAATAAGCACCTAATCACATGACTACTAGCTGTTGAAAATTTCGAACATTTTGTTTCAACCTAAATAGGACATGTGATAGACGGGCGCACGCGGGAGATCTACAAAATGATCCTCCAATAAAAACTTTTCCTTGGTTTTCTTTTCTCTCGACTCATAACAAGAAACTCACAATTCATCGAAGAACGTAATTTTTTACTTTACTCTTTTCCTTTTTCCTGTAAGTTTTTGCATCAAAGCCTGGCAAGTGCCGGGCTGGACGGCTTTTTCCGAACCGACTTACGTAAACCCGTCCGGCCCTACACACTTCAGCTTTCACTGTATTTTCTATGGCATTGTGTGCAAGGGGCTGTACGATATGCTAAAGGAAATGAATTTTTCCTTTGTCGCAGGAACACAGACTTCGAGCAGTTCGTCACCTGCCGGACATACTGGCTTTGCTGAGAATGCTAACTGACCGCTTTCATCGACGAATCGACAGAGAAAATTCCAATCAGCTCAAGATACGGGAGGTTTTGCAAAAGTTGCCTAAAGGTAAAGCTTTTAATAGATTCGGTTGTGCAATTTGATTTTATGCGTAAAGCTGTTCACGTTTTGACTCGAATAATATCTTCCACCAAGTGACCAAAGCATCAATTGCATGGCTAGTCACTAACAAAACTTCTTTTCAGGACTGCCCACTCTCAGATCACTCGCTTCTTAACGACAGACTGACCTCCCAAGCTTACAGTCTTTACCCTGCTTCTAGGTGACGAACTGAAATACTCTAACTATAGACCAACGACAACGACTGCAAAGTACTTTTTTCGTGGAAAAAATGTTTTCCGTATCGGGGAGGAATAAAATTATTTGCCAAAGCCAAAAATAACAGTGATCTTCTCATGATGCGAACATTGCACAAGCACCGTCTCTCTCGCTTCTATCCTCCAAGCCGCGGGAAGTAACAAATTGGTGATGCTTCAGCTCTGAAGAGATTGTCCCTTTTTCTTGTTTTTTAACCCAGAAACTCCATACTGGCATGGGTAGTTACGGTCACATAATAAGTGGTAAGTCTAAACTAACGTTTCATTTCATTTTTCAGACCAGAAGGAAACCTTCAAAAAGCTATTCCAAAGTTTTTGCACGGCTTGGGATCAGGTTCGCCACCAGCTGAATTCACAAGGTGAGAAAATGAACATGGGAAAGCTATAGAGATGAACATTGGGAAGGGGGGAGGGAGACAGTGAAAGTATTTTTCTCAAAGATCATCGACCAATTTAAATCAAAACTTTAGAAGTAACAGAAAGACTGTCATAAAATTAATTAACTATTTCGGATTAATTTATTGCGCTTTAATATTTCTTTACGGCAGGTCGTTTCACGCCTTCTCAAGAACAATGCTCCAAGCCAATTGAAATGACATCCACCGTGTCAGTGTTACTCCCGACAGAGATTGGCTCAGGAGTTTGTTGCAAAGCTTTGCTGTTCTACTTGGTCAATGCAAATAATGATATGGTTGAAGCATATCATGGTGCTGTTGGCTCTGACGAAAGCACGCGGTATGTTGAATTCTTTCATTTCAACAAGTCATGTTCGAGTATACGGAATCATACTTCATTGAATGCTAATGAAGTCATTACTATCGCAAAATTATTGAGATGGTGAAACCTATATCACTAATAATACCGCCTGATATTTTCGTAAACAACAACCAGTCACAAAGATTAAAAATTATGCACCAATGTACGCCACGAGTTCATTTTGTTTGTTTTGAGTTCTAATCTTTAGGAGACCATTGTGGTCTTGTCCTCGATCTGAATATCTTACTCCGGCAGTATCTCTTTTGGATGTTGATATGTGCTCAATAGTAGGAAACGTTGCAGTATCATTGATGGCTTATTGGTTCCCGCTTCATGTGAATTCTGACTCAGACGTTCCATAATAAACACATTAGATTCCCCCTCTCGTACTCCCCCAACAAAGGAATTGCTTATTGCCATTCCGTTCATCACCCGTTATATTTTATCGACTCACTCTTGAATTATTTTTTATCTGAATAATAGTACCACCGCTGAGATTCCTCTTTCGGAGGTTTCGGTGTCGCAATTGGTAGCATATGATTCTGAAAAGGACTTGCTACCTGTGATGCTAGCCAACTGCTCCTACTCACTAGAGGTGGGAAAGGAAACATCATCGCAGTACAACTGGGAAGCCCTCCAGAAGCAGATAATTGATAGGTTCATACGGGGAAGGCCAACAGTGGAATTTCAGGTAACTATTTCCTCTATTCGTGGTAAGAAAAATTCTCTGTCAAAGAGACAAAACTATACCATCCTAGACGTTTTGCGCAAATTTGCAAACAAATCTTTCAAAGCTGTCAATGGAAATCTGACGTTTCAATCCTCTCTAGCTTTTTCTTTAAAGTAGCGTCCTTTGTATTTTCTACTCTTTGTTTTTATTCAGTTTAGTAGCATGTTCTTTATGACTGAATTCCTCGTTTCAAAGATTAAAAGGAATTTTACATTACTCTGGAGATCAGAATCAAGTTGTCCAACGGGCAGATAAATTATTTCACGGATACATCGCTATCCAGCAGATAAGTTTAAACAAAAAGTACTATGGAAAAATCTGTCATTAGGTTGACTCAAACAATACTTGCTACTATTGTTTTAGCTGGATGATTTCGTGTTTCATGAAGATGACCGCGACGTGTCCTTCGACAGGTTGAGGGACAAAATTCCACAGGTTAGGGCTGTAGTAAGATATTCACCATTTTAGTTCCTGCTTCCTTCAAGAAAGAGGACAAAGTTATTGGTTAGATATCGCAATAAATTAAAACTAGAAGATATATGGTTGACAAAGTGAACAAAAGAATACGCTGGCCAGGTTCAATGCCAGCTCTGGACATTCAAAGGAAAATAACTCATCTGATAAACCATGAAACTTTCATGTAAGCGTATGAAAAAAGGTAAATAATAATCAGGGAAAATACCTTAAAGAGCGCCATAGAGCGGTTGAATACACGACCACTAGTTCCAAATCTAGGTAAGCGATTGAACGGAGAATCGGATAATGGAATCTGCAGATTTAAAATTCAGTTTAAAAAAAACCGCAAAGGTAATCCCCTCCCCTTTCCAAAATTTTACGTTTTTCCATTGTTGGCTTTCCTACACAGACAAAGATCTCGTATTTTTTTTTTCAGGAGCCAATTGAAAGTCGTATCCGTACCCAGATTCTCTCGGAATTGAAGGACCTTGGGAACATAAGTGATTTGCTCTCAACCCTGGAAATGGCAATTGGTTTCCTGTCTACAGCAGGTGGAGATCCAGAGAGAAAAATCTTTGATTATCTCAAGAATGTTCTTCATCTCAGTGATGGAAAGTCGAACTTAAAGAGTAAAAAGGTATGTAATATTGCTTGATTCTATTGATCGATAAGCCATGATTAAAACATTGAGTTTTCGAAACAAAACTCTTGTGAAGCAGGAAATCTCCCTACCTGTTCCATATTTTCTCCACCAAACGCTGGACCTCGATTAAACGTCAGGTTCATATAAACATATAAACACTGCAGAGAAAGTGCAGTTATAGATGAATTTTTTTTTTTGCATCCGCGGCGTTTGGTCAAGGTCTCCACCTTTATTTGCGATCGGGTTGACAAGTAAATAATCAACTCTTCTGAATGCATCTCTGTGAAAAGCTACTTTCATAACAAATTAATGTAAATGTATGTTCAGTGGAAACGTAATAATCCTGGAAGAAGTCCCAGCGACCGTTTGATGCGGCTGAACACAGGAAAAATTTTGCCCTCTTGGCAAATACTTCTCGGTCTCGAAGCATCGGTAGTGAAAGACAGCCTCTCCTGGTCAAACGCCGGTCTTGCTTAAACTTGAGTTCAACAATCTTTTGCTTGGAATGCAAATTGAACATCCTACTCAGCTTCATGTTACGTTCATTGAATTTAGTTCATATCTACTAACTGCTTCTTTGTGCCTTTCTTTGAATGGATGGTCAGGGAACAAATCCATTCTTCTGCGAATCTTGAAAGAATACCTCTAGAGACTTTTGATTTTTCAAGGGCTTAACATACTCCACGGATGTATGGAGTTTCTTTGCAGAACTATATACATTATTGTTATCTTTCAGGCTCAACAGTCTTGCTGTCTGGGTCACATTTTGGATCTGTGGTCCACACTGGCCGTGGCGCGAGCAAAATTCTTGTTTAGGAATGAACAGGTACCTTTTTGTAGAAAAATATAGCAAATTTGATGAATAGAATCCCTTTCTCACTCAATATTTTCAATATTTTTTAGTAGGTTCGACCGTGATTTTATTTGTCTGTTCAAATTAAACCGATTTTATATTTTTCAATTTCTTTAGGATCCATTTGAGAAGATACCAGAAATTTATAAACAACAGATGCCGCGATTTGCAGTCACACACTTCAGTGCAACATTGAAAAAAATGAATGTTGATTTGTTTTTGAGTAGAGTTGTCGAGGTTATCACTTTAGTGCTGGCTCATGAAGAAGACACAAGAAGTAAATTGAGGTAATTCCTGCGTAAAGCATAGATGAATCTACAGAGCAAAAGTTCTTTCAAACAAAAGTATATGACCTTGCAATGAAGTATAAGCAGTGTTTTCACTACCATGACTAACGGCAACCTTTTTTTTCTGATAGCCTGTTTACTCAATATTGTTCTCAGGGAATACTTAACTACTTCCTTCGTTTTCAGCCTCAGTGAGTACTTATCAATGGTTTTTGACGATAGCTCCGACCTGGAAGAGATTCCTAATGAAGTATGTGTAATGCACGTGGTTCATGCGTTCAAGCTCGCGGTAGAAGTGCGTGAGAAAGATCAAGGAAGCAGAAGGTCCATGTTGTCCTAGGGCGTTAATTATATAATATGGGGAGTTCGAGAACCTTTCAAACTGTCGTTCATTGGCCAGCTGAACTTCCAGCAATTACGTTTCCATGCCTTATTATACTTTCAAGTACTTTCCAAACTATTTCCCATGATTTATATTCTTTTCATAAATTTTTCATTTGACATTCTGCATGAGCTCAAATATACTTCTGAGATAAGACACTTTCCAGATTAGAATATAAGAAAAATCAATTTACATATTAACAGAAAAATTATGAGCATGAAAGGATAACATGTCGTTATAAAATAAGGTCGTAAACTAAAGGCAGCTCATAAATAAAACTTTTTGCCATTTTAAATAGCACGATAATGCACATGAATTTACCAAAAAGTTTGGCTAGTAATAGTTAGCGATGACTTCTGCCTCGTACACATCAACGATGCCTCAGGATCACGTTAGATGATTACATGATACCACAGATAGTGCAACCCAAGAAATATCTAAGAATAGTACCTTTACAAATAAATTTTAAGGCTTTAAACGTTCATAACGTTTTTTTCTTTAAAGAATTCTTCTCCTGACGTTTTTTTTTTACTGAGTCATATCGCAATAGCCACTGACTTTAAAACACGTCTGCCTCTATCTGTGAAAGGTAGAAAAAAATGGAAAACAGCAGTTATGGAAAGAAAATATTTTACGAAACTCAGAGATAAATATGGAATAATTGGAAATTCACACCGGTATCTTAACCAACGATTCCAAAGGAGAATAGACTACATAGTTGCCTTTTTATTTTTTCCCTCATTTCAAAATATCGACTCCATATTCTGGATTATAATTTAAACTTTTTGTAGTCCTCGAGACTCCAAACTTTTTCTAAAGTTCCAGTAGGTTTATATCCTTTAAATCCTTTAACCCCTGCAGGGCCCAACACGATGCCATTTATTAAAAGAGAAATAGGTTTGTTACCTTGAGACTCCAAGCTAATGATATGACGGCCCTGAGGCACGTCTGAAGCCACGAAGTAAACACGAGTTTGATAATGAACGTTACCGAAAGCTTTCCCAGTTATGACTACCACGTTCTTTTTGTCTTTGTCGAGCCACATCACTACACGACCCGAATTTTGCCTCATTCTTCGTAAAATGATACCTACAGACCATTTCTTGGGTGGAACTTGTAAGGAGAATTCGATAAAGATTCCTTGTCGAAGAGACGCCCAGCCACCAAACGTATCAGTTCGACGGTCTGATGGAAAACCCATCTTTGCTTTGATGCTTTCCAATGGAAGCTCGCTGAAGCGCCGTTTTTTGTTGACCTTTACATTAAGAGACTGATGCAAGGTGAATTTTCCTCGTCTTGGGTTTGTAGATGCCCAGCAACGAGGGTTTGTAACCAGTATCGAGCTGCTGTTAAATAAAGGGTCCTTCATTGGAGATTTCGCACAGAACAGCTGCTGGCTCGTTGAAGAATCTTCTGAAAGTAACGGATTTGCATGAGAGCCACTTGAGCGTGTCCTTTAATATTGATATGCAGATGATCATCATTTACCATTCCCGGCCGTATGATGGCTTTCCGGATGCCATTAGCTGAATTCACTGGACAAAGTTGTCACGCCAGCTTCGCAAGGTAATCCCGTAGTGAGTTGCAAGCTCGTATTGTCCCAAATCTTCCAAATTATGACATCTTGGGTTCTTAGCAGTGCTAAGAGAAGCACCCTTCTTGACCAAATCAACCAAGCTTACATACAGAACTAATAGAGATGATTTCAAGGATAATACTCGTCGCGTGAGGAGTTCCATGGGCCGCGCTGTTGCACCGTGTACGCATCCATAATCGTTTACTGATAACTCGATAAATACTACATCTGGTTCAGCATCTGTTGTTATGAAATTCTGCAGGTAAAATGTAAAGAAATCGCTTCCTGTCCCTCCAAGTGACAAATTTTCTACCGTCAACTTGGAGCCAGTCGTTGTTGAAATCACTGTCCCACCACTGAGAGAACAGTTGGTGATATAAACACCTGTGATTTTTTATTCCATCCTCTGCTGAATTTGAACCACCAATCACAATCATTTTGACAGGCTCATCCCGGAATATTTTGTTCGTCAGTGTCGTCACACGGCAAGGATCAAGAATGCATTCATGTGGATTGCCTTGTTAATGTCGTCTTCTGTGACACTGAGATAATTGATGCCTTTATAAAAATCTATATCCTGCCAGAAGGCAAATGGTTCATGAGTTACTCAAACGAACGAGGGGTTGTATCCTCTGTAAAAAATGTTAAATGCGATACACACTGAGTAAGCACTAAACCAAAATGTGCAATCCTGTATGACGCTACCAAGTGGCAAACAAAAATTATGATAGACGGTAGTGTAAATATATCCAGTAACAAGGGGATTTAAACATGTAACCTAGCCCTCGGTACAGAATTTCAAATATATGACACACTCGGCTCGGACTTTCAGGCGCTCACGATTCTACCCGTATTACCAAACGTTGCCAAATACAGGTAATTTTCGTTTCTGAGCATCTCTATTCGACGATGGCATTTGTATGCACAGTTATCAGAGGAAACCTATGTGTCGATCGTTTATCAATGGTCTATCACAGATATAACTACCAACTTAGTTAAATCTGCGTCGAAGACAGTTCTTCGTGTGTGTATTAGTCTTGAAAGCAACAGCTGTCATTCAGTCCAAACTCTGCATTCAAAAATTTTCCCTAATGTTTGACTTAATGTTGACCTAATGTTTGATTTGAAATCTGCCATCACTCTACTGAAGCAAATTTCATTTCCGCGGATGTATAAAAAAACATGCACCAACTTGTACCATGCAAAGATGGCACCGCATTGTAATAGACAACTAATGGCACACTAGTTAACTACAATAATCCTGTGCATGGTTAAAGAGGAAATGTATACAAAGCGCTGAGAGAATTTATTAGAGAGGGAAATAATGGAGTTTCTCAAGTGGTACGCAAAGCTGACAAAAGGAAGAAACGACCCACCCAGTTGAGCGGGCACCAATTGACGAGTTCTTCCGCGAGTCGGCAGAATAGGGATAAAAAGTTATCAAAGCGAGAGTCAAAATCTGCCACATTTTCAACCATTGGATGATTGATCATTTAAGCTTAATACTGTTTATAATATTAGTTTTAAGGTTAATCCATTTTTACAGAAAATCTACTTAGAATTCCGATTCAGAACGGAAACAAACTTTAAATGTGTTTTCTCAAATTACAATCTGAGATAATCCTTCCCTAAAATATTAACGACTTACTATGTTCAGATAAATTTTTCCACACTGGAGAGTTTAACGCTATCATGCAATAGATGCAAACAGGTATCTTCACTGCATGTCGGATGACGCTCCAGCACCGTTCTAACCGTCAAGGTAACTCGTCACAACGCAAATGAAGTAAGGTTAAAATTAACACTGATTATAGATCATGTATGAAGAATATCAAGAAAACTAACGACTTTGCTATTGTCAGAGGTCGAAGTAACTTGAACATTCCACAAAGAGTTTAACGTCGGTGAAATCCCAGAATCTGTCTAACTCGCGACCAGGGGGTTCATTTAAAAATTTTACTTTTCCTCTACCGGATAGTTATCGTTCTCTTAATTCGGTTGTTATTTTGGGATATGACTACAACAGTTCATGACTCCGATGATGACTTCCACTCAGGTTGTCGAAACGTCAGTCACCACCAACGACAACAGTCCTTCTCAGGACCACACTCAGCCGGACGATCAGACTACAATTAATAAGGAATAACAGCTCCATCAAAATGTAACCAACAGGCTTTAAATTTTCAGTGCCATGCACAAGCTTCACTTTGTAAGTTCCAATTGCATTGTGGTCATACTCGTTGGCTTCTTTCCTGTCATTTTTTGGTCAAATAATTGTGTCGCCCTCTGTTTAAACAAACGAAAGATGTTAATCTTGACTTTTCGTGTACCTGTATAATCTCGTAAATTTTGTTTTTCTAGTTAGCCAAAATTAAGTTATACTTCGTTGAAATGAAAACTTTATCATCGCCCCCCCTCGGTGAAACGCCCTCCTTCAAATAAGCGCCCCTCCTTCCTAAGGAGCACAAAACTGATGAACTGTATTCTGATGCTCTTTTAACTAAATTGGCAGATGGAAAAGATGGAAAAGCGGATAATTGAATCAACTACAATCACAACAGGAAGTATTGCGACAAGGGTTCTTTCCATCAGGGTCTTTCGTATGCACATAAAAATTTTTCCCAGGCATAACTTTGGGTGGGGCACTTACTACATTACGTTTGAAAACAGCAACAGCAACAAAGAAAAAATTTATGCAAACGTTTAATGAGATATATACTTTTCTATACTAACTTAACATCAATTGAAAGTGCGGTTCAAACTTGCATGCCATGCTAATATCATTCTCAGCTGTAGCATTTTAAGTTATCTTTAGAGTGTATAAGGAAAAAGATTATAAAAAATTAATCGATAATACCGGCCTCTTTTAAATTTAAGATACATGAAAGCTTCCGCCGTTTCTACTATTTTTGCAAAGGGGGCACCGAGAAGAATTTTCTAACATTCTAATTAAACCAAAGTTAAATGTATGTGGCAAAAGAAACTGGCTGGCCCTATTCATAAACTACAGCAAAAAAGTACCTCACAGTAGCTACAAAAAATGCAGTATTTATCATATGCCAACATTTTCAAATTAATTTGTTATTACGTGTATCTAGTAGCTCATCGTTGTGCGAAAGAAAACTGAAACTAGAAGCCAAGCTGTTATGAAAATTCAGCATGTACCATTCATTTCTTTTAACTGACTAAAGAAAGTTGACTGCTTAAACTTTTTAAAAACAAACTGCACCACTGTGTTCTTTGAGTTTTGAACTGACCGCTCCTTAATTAGAGGATTAAACTGCTTGACGATCTTTGTGGAAGTCGTCACTTAGCTGGACAGCGGAGTTCCAGACGTCCTTTAGGTGCGCCATTTTGATGCTGTCCGGGATGTTCTCTGCTCCTGGGATTTGTTTCAAGCTTTTATAGGCTAAACAACAATCCAAGTAATCTTCAAAGCTGCAATAAATTTGTGGTTAGATCTTAGTCCTGTTAAACTACAGTACTTCACAAGGCAAATTGGTTAAAGTTTAGGATTTCTAAAGCCGCAAGAGAGTGTGCTGTAAACTGTCTCTTCTCCCCTAGCAATAAACAATATCAGGATTTCACTATTTTCCATTCATATCTTAAACATCGGTGCAAAAAAAAATTGAGCGTGGACTTGAACAACAGGCTCGTTTACAAAATACAAAAGGAGTTTTGAATAAGGAGGAAATTTAGGGAAAATTGGTCAACAAGGCGCAGTAAAGTGTTCATCACCTTTGGTTCGAATACAAGAAAAGACACTGACGATATCATCCCTCCCAAGAAATATATCACTTAAAAAATTACAATTTTTTTGGAGGAAAAAGGTTATTTTAAAACCAAAAGTCTATAAATAAGGCATAACAAAGAAATCTCATGGCTGTCATGGTTTGTACGTCTTAGCTCCACACTTGCAAGAGAAGGCGTTATTTCCTACAGTTACGCAAGGAACTATAAGAAGTGCAAGATAAGAATAACGACTTTGGTTCTCATTTAATTGACGCATTAGAGAATAAAACATTTCGAATCGCCCGTCTTACCTCATCGTCGAAATCGTTTCGCCATCTTTTTTCACATTCAGAAGAATAATCTGCAGTAGCTGCGGCAGAAATATGTCCATGTCGATTTTTCGCAACACGCTATCTAATCTGGTCTTTTCGCTTGAGCCTAATTTTTCCTTGAAAACGTCAGGTAATTGCTCAAAAGGCTCCTGAAAAATGAAATTTCCGAGAAAGGTTTGTTTTAAAGTGGATCTGATGAGCTCAGACACACCTCACCAAACCTTCAATATCAAAACTACACTTTGATAACCTTGCGGTATAGTAGAGGTATAAATCTCGTGTACAGCACCGCAGAACACTTAACAAACTTTGAACGAAGTTGAAATTGTTATTTTTATTCGCAAACGAACGAATGCCATAGTGCTAAGGTTCGTGAAAAAAATGACGGAAATCACACAGATCGAAAATTAAACCAGCCAGGGTAAAACAACAAATCATTTCAAACCTAACCTGTTTGTTCCTGGACTTGATTTTTGCTTTCTCGAGAGCCATAAGCCGCCACAATGCCAGGGTATGGGACAAACTGCAGTGCTGCTCTGCCTGCAACAAGATGGCATAATCCATAAGCTCCCATGGAAAAGGGAAGAGTCAAAGCACTCTTAAATAAAACAATTGCTGCCGTAGGAGCAAACAGTCGAAAACAGGGCTTCTGCTTTAGTTAACTAATGGTAAATAATTATTAGACATCTCTTACACATCGTTCGAGTGTTACCCAACCTCTGGCGTCCAGAAATGAGTTTTTGTAGCCACAAAGAGGAACATTTTGATTCAGATATTAGTATTGGGAGCGTTGCACCAGTCAAGAAGGATGACCGCTTAACCCTTTAACTCCCTAAGTGACCAAGACAGAATTTCTCCATACAATATCAATACAATATCCAGCAGACAAGTGATGAGAATAAAAAAAAATTCAGTTAGGGGATTATAAGTTGATCCAATACCAAATTCTCCAAGCTAACACCACAAGAACTGTACGAGAAACAGTAAGGAAAATTACTAATGAGATCTTAGGAGTCAAAGGATTAAGTGAGTCTTTCAAATAAAAAGAAGAAATGTACTTACTGTTGCACTCTTGAGACCTCGATCTTTGGGTAGCTTAAGTACCTCATGTAAGTACCATTTTAAAGGCCTCTCCGGCTGGCCACCCGATGAGGCAAGAAAACCAATGGCAATATCCAGTGACGATATAACATCACAGACATCAGACAAGGAAGACCTCAGATCATTAATAATCTGACTTTCGACGACGCGGGAAAGTGATTCCTTTAAAGAAAAACTTGGTGTAAGTGTCTTAGATCTTGACCACACCTATACAAACGATAACATCATAATAATGTGATACAAATATTACTGTCGTCGTAAAAAAAATAATTCAGAGCCGAAAACATGCTTCCATTTACTTAAATAGCTGGAGGAAAAAGTTTATCATGTTAGAAAGTGGAATGCACTGCTCTTTCCGTGGTCAAGACAGATCAAAGTGGTTATAAACCTGTTTCCCAAAAATGCAATCAAAGACATACCAGATGACAAAACAACAAAAATTGAAGCAAGATTTCGTTCCCGACGAGACTAAAAAAGTTATTAAAGGGGGTAAGTTTCTAAAGAAACTGTGGTGCTGCGTCGGTGGGAGAGTATAGCAGGTAATTTAGTTAACAACTGAGTTGAAAACGTAAATTGACCTCTGTAAAGAGTTTAAAGGCTGACGTTTCGAGCGTTAGCCCTTCGTCACAAATTGATTGACAAGTCAGCACTACAAATAGCTGAGAGGGAAAACAATGACCACATTCCATTCAACCGCGCAGTTTAATCTATACGGTGGCCAATTTACGTTTTCAACTCAGTTGTTAACAATAAAGTAGCTGTTACAAAAAGTTAAGTTGCCAGTAAATGAGAAAATGGATGAAAAACATATTACTAAGTAAATAAACATATTTCATAAATGAAGGTAATTTGAAATTTTTCCCTAATTTAAAACCCCCAGTTTGCATCGAAAATCAATCATTATCAGACACCCACAAACACAAAATCTCCTTTTCAGACATTCCACACCTTGAACTTTTATTCTTGGGTGCATCATTGAAACTAGGGCGAAAGCAAATTTCTGTTCTAGAACTTTACGGTACACTGGTTTAACGTACATATTAAAACTATGAAATTTACCTGAGGAATTTTTCCAGTGAGGGAAGTGAAAACTGCGTCATCTCGGGTGTCTCGGCTGAACGCAAAACGTTCCTCCTGAAACAAAAGAAAAAAAAGGGCTGACATAAATTACAATTACTTTGATTGCAATTCTTCTTCCAGTTGTGAAGGGGTGGTCATAATGAATCTATAAACGCGTCTTCGAAAAGGAATGTTGGCTTCGTTTTTTTGTTTTTTTTCGAATTTTTGGTCGTCAGATACTGACCAGCGAGACAAGTAATTCAAATAAAAGGTCAAAAAGGATGAATAGTACTAAGTGTTAAGAAATGGGGCTGACACCGCTGTTTGCAACATACTTCCCAAAAACTGAAGCAGTATGCATGTAACCCTTAAACCCCACGAAATAACCCCTCTTCTGACTGTATCTGTCTCCAGAGTCCTATCTTGAAACGTCAAAAAAGGTAAGCTTTTGTTATCTATCAACTGAAATTGTTGTGACTGATTGAGACCTATATATCTTCAAAACAGAAACACGCCTTTAAAAAAATGAGATTGAAACTGTTTGCAGTAAGACAAAGCAAACTCAGTAAGAGAATGAAGAGAATAAATACAATCCCGTGCGGTAAAAACGAGTTCTAAGAAAAAAAAATCGAAAATGCTTTATTCTCATCTTGTACTATGTCTTCTTAATACCTCAACCCTACCTTGAACTCGACAAAAGGCCTTCCCCTCAACAACCTGTCAATCAGCTGTCTCTCCAGAGCCGCCCAATCATACTGAACTAAGGTCTCCTTTCCCACCTCTAGAGAGTAGTTACAATGAGCCAGGATAAGAGGCAGCAGGTCTCTCTCAGGATCATAGGCTATTAAGTGCGACAAGGTCACCTCTGATAGGGAAACACGCCCCAAGGGACTATAAATAAAAAAGGATTTTAAAGATGAGATTTATTGTAGGGTCTTACTTATAAACAATTATTGAGTGAGATTTTTGTAAGATCCAGAAAATCAAGGTCGAGATAGGGGTTATACGTCGAAGCCGAAGGATGAGGCTGACAACCCTTACCAAGACCTTGAATGTTCTGGATATCACAAAAACTGAATCTAATGATTGTTTTATCATACGTGAAGGAAAAAAAATAGTCTCAACAGTAGTTGAAACTAATAATTTATTTCTAAACGTGTAAAAATATATAAATCAGCTAGCAACAAAAAGCGCAAAATTGACATGGTTACCCTTAGAAATCGTGCACCGCAGTCATATATGACATGATTACCCGTGACCTTGAGTGTCCTTGACATGACTATAGTATAATCTGCTACTAGATGACTTCCCAAGCGCTGATTCCGAAAATTCACTGAAGGCTTTCGGCCAATCAGAAAACAGATAGTAAGTTAAATGTATAATAATGTCTGTAACTGTTTGGAGTAATTTTCCTATGCTTAGGGGGTAATTATTCAAGACTGAGCAGGACTGATGGAAAATGATTTTCATCAACATCGTAACTGTTTCCAAGATACATTATTCCCGAAAATAATAGCCCCAATTCATGACGTTTCATTCTAAAGCTGCATTTGGAGGAGACGATGACTGATTGCAGGATGCTGATATCAGTCTCATGTTGCAGCTCAGTAAGTTTAACAAACACCCCAGACCTAAATTAAGTAGAAAAACGTTATCTACACTTTATATAGCTCGAGTCATATCATGTCGATCAACTATTTGCTTCTATAGAAGGTAAAAGCAAAACAGCAACACAAAAGCTATTCATTATAAAATTATGTACCTGTCTTGATTAGTTGCACTACGGTAGGCTCCCAGAGACTCGTTATTTGCATTAACCAGGAAGAAGGTTAGCGAAGTTGAACAAACTCCCATCCCACTGGTGCTGGGGAGAACCATCGCGATTGGACAGTCGTTGTCCATTGTGGTACAACAAAGGTCTTGTGGGACGCTTAGGCGACCTTGGGGTGTTAAGAATGACAAAGCCAAATAAGAACCAGATAAAAGTACCCAAAAACGTGTCTGAGTTGAAATGAATTACCACTTTAAAAATATTCGATTGATAAAAGGAATAACAAATGAAAAACACTACATTTTTTCCAAATCACTGTGCTCCTTTTTAAAAACCGGCAAATTAAATGTTCGAGATATTATTTCATGACTAAGTTTTGACTCCCCATCGGAGTCTGAATTTAGCATTACTCATGAGTTTAGCCTTTTTCATCTCACCACGCTGGGCTCAGATAAATTATTAAGTAGCTACACAAACACTATTTACAAAGAAAACGAAATTTGCTCACAAGAATTATTCAAGCCTTCTTCCATGTACTCTGGAAAACGAAAAAGTCATTGTACCTTGATCACAGAGAAATGACTTGCAAGCATTCCATGCATTCTTGAAACTCTCGAACAAGTTCGTATACTCCTCTTTCACAGATCCTGGAGACGAATTTGATTTTAGCAGAATTAAAATTTACTTCCAGAGTCATCACAGTTGCACTTACACGGGCAACTTTCTCTTAGGTAAACTTCAAGGTTTGAATCCCTTTATCCAGAAGTCACGCGGAAAATGTCAGACACGGAGACTTGTCATACAAACCCTTGACTAGGACGCAATTTACTTGCGCAGATGACCGACAAGAGCTTTCAAGAAAATTCTGACCATGAACTTTTTCTTGACGAATAAATAAATAAACAAACAAAATTGAAATTAAGCAGTCACATTTCCAAGAAGTGAAAATGCTACAGCTTTGACACCTCCGTCATTCTCGTCGTCAAAAAATATCCTGTCGAAAAACTAACAGGGAAAGGTACTCCTGCTAACTGCAGCTTACTGTTTGAAAAACAGCTCAAATCATCAACCTTTTGCATTCAACAGTTGCCATGGCACTGGTTATATCGGATACAGGTTTGTAACTCATTAAGTACCTATCGGAAGGTCCTTGAGAAATTTACGAACGGTATAATTCTCAGCATCTGTTCTGTCAATTCTTCGGTGGAATCTGTCCATCAATAGACGCTGGAGACGAACAACATCGGGCAGAAACTGAACGAAACGCAACTTGTGTTCCTGTATTTGTTTAAAAGGAATAAGCATGTAAAGATAGACTTAAAAGGAGACGGTTTTTCTTGAGCAGATGCTGCCCGAAACTTAGGCAGAAAAAGGAGTTAGAATTACAAGGAAAATCTTTGTTGCACAGAACCCTAACCCTTTGCAGCAACACGTGATGTTACCTGTTTGAGGAAAACGTCCAACACTTTGAATTTCCCTCCGTCTCCAGAAAGGACTTCTCTTTGAAAAGAGCTACTCAGTTCCTCAACAGTTATATGGTGTCTGTACTTCCAAAGAGCGCGAGACATGGGCCTGACGCCTTGAGATAAGTCTTCCATCTGTTCATCGAACTCGTGGAGTTGACGTACCAGCGGATCATTTCCTGAAAAGGACACAATACGAAGATGTGTGAAAAATTGTTTTACTTGAAAAGTGTAACCTTAACAAATTGAAAGTTTGTCATTGAGGAGCTGAGTCAATCTCCTCCATTGTTAAATATCATCTTAGGGTAACTCTTCTAGTTTTGCAGACTCTGTTTGCTACCAAGCTTGTATTCAACAGTTTCGCCAGAGTTTGCAGTAATTGTGCACGCTTCAGCAAAAATTGAAAAAAAAAAAAAAAAGCGCCATTCAACGATAAAAGTACTAGTAAAACCTGTTTCGTAGATGTCTACAGAACATACGCCTCACTAACAGCTAAGGTTGAGGTAACGCCTCTGTCAGGGATAACACTAAAGCCCTCCAATCCACTAGTCCTACTACTATCGTTCATTTCCGGCGCACTTTTTTATTGCATCAACAAGTAATATGGAAAAGCGTACCAAATCTCCCGTCTCCCATCAAAAGTCTTGAGGCATTTTCAAGATTCTCGTCTAGATGCTGGGAAGATATTCCAAAAATAAGAATTACACTAGAACGCTAATCATACGCAAAAAGATCGTATGTAGCAAACCAATCAGCGAAACAAACCAAAAGAAATCCATCAATTTTGAGAGTACGTACGGTGACGACAGGAACAATAATCTCGGAGCAAAAAGCTTTCTCCCAGCTGCGGCGACTTTCCCGGGTTCGAAGACACATGTCATGGACATTTCCTGGAAAGTATGGGGAGAAATGAGAAACAATGGGCAATAATAAACAAACTGGATAGTAAAATAGAGAGAGAGAGACTGAATTTTTGTACTATATGCTGAACTCGCTATTTAGTTTGATCTCATCGGATGAGAGTTTGCTCGTTAATCAAAGTGTGTTTTTACACTAATTTTAAGATATGGAAGCTTGTACCAGTTTTTCCCCCATTTAGCGAGATCATCCGCTGTACTGCTAGATGAACTGTCAGAGCTGCGTTATCAACACTGCACCTGAGTGCTCTACTAAGAACATCCAGATCTCTCTGCAAATGCTGCCATAAAAACTGTCCCACAGACTGCGACGAGCATGAAGGTGTGATCAGCCGTGCGGTTGCCTTTAAAGAAAAATCGAAGATTTTTAATTGTACTCAAGAGTGAGATGGATGAGAAAAAACTTGGCTGCTTTCCTTAATTAAAACCATGTGGATATTTATTCCATTAGATTTTAGACAAAGTTATCTCCACTCGACCCGCACTGATACTCACTTGATTTGTTCTCGATTGCCCCGAGTTTTCATCTCCTTAACTTTGCTTTGTATACCCTCTGTGAATAAAGCCTTAATACTATTTTTATCGTTATTATTAGTATTATTATTTTAATTTGAGACTTCCTATCACTCTGAAAACTCGTCAGTCAAACTAGATATCACGTGATCCGTATGCTCTTCTTCTTTATATCAAATGTACATCAAAACGTTGGAGTTCCAGATCAAACTTCATTCTCTAAAGGCGTTCAGAGGGAATGCAGCTAATAGAAAAAGTTATCAGAATGTTCATTTTCTGACAGCAGCCCACTGTGTCTAAAAACTAATCACCTGTGGATTTCTGGATGCTCCCATGACCATGGCCGAGTGCATGATAATCCTCAACAAACTGCACACTATCGGTGGCATGTCTCTTTGAGGTTCTGCGTTCGTGTGTCTCGAGCCAGGTTCTCCGAGTGCATGGCCAGCTTTGGTCCTGTCTTTCCTGGAGATTGAAGGTTGAAATGTAGATACCACTTGAGTAATCACTTGCGCGTAAAAGTTCTAAGAATCGATACGTCATAAAATGTGCATTGTGAAAAATAGACAGTCTGAGACTGTTTGTGACTACTGATACAGCACAATTTTTGTAGCATTGGCCAGAAATAGAGGTTGCATAGTAACACTGGAAGGTAACGTTGTTCACAAGCAATACAAGAAATCTGCAACCCACATAATTATGATTACCCTGTTACACAAGGGAAAGACGACTCAACAGTATAATTGACATTCAACCAATAATTAAATGGTAAAAATAATTATGCGAACAGTAATAATGTTGATAACTATAGTAATTGTGATTATAATCCATAGTGGGCTAGCTTAAAATCCTAACTGTTCCACTATCCTCTAGGCTCGAATAATCATTAAACTACTCTTTCAGTTTTGCCTGTTACTTATAAATAATTGTAATATATAGATTTAGCCAAGCCTAAAAGCGGAGCTCTTGTTAGTTTATTTTCCAGCTCCTCATTATGATAAAAACTGTGATAAACCTCCTCAGCACTGGCTGTAGAAGAGTGTTTTTTATGTTTTGAGCAAATTTTCGAAGATAGGAAATCTTTTCTTCTTCAGATGAAGCGTGCGAAATTATATTCTATTAAGCGTAACTGATAATTTTTGTGAGGGAAAATGAGCCAAAATTGAAAGAAACGACGGTAAACTACTTCGCTGGTCGATTGAAGAATGTACACGTGTGAACAGTGAGTCAGTGCAGCAATACGCCAAAATCGTATGGGCTTCTCTTATATCTTCTCTTGAAGTTGCCAGGTATGACTCCTTGCCCCATCGTGTTTCCCAAACGTTTCAACCTCCTCAGTTTAGCGTAAAAATTAAAAAGAAGAGAAATTTTTAACTCGTGTTTGAACCTGTGATTTTTTTCAAATCTTTTCTCTTTTGGTTATTGTTTCATGATTGTCCTCTGGCTAGAAATACACGGCGTCTTTTTTGAGATGTTTCTGTTATTTTACTCGGTAACCTCTGCTGTAACTGCATATAATGTGGGTGTCTTTAAGAAAACTTGAGATACATCTAATACCTGGATTTCATTTTTACGTCACAGAAATCAATTCCAAACATCAATCAAATTTATTCTTTAGTTTAAAAATTGAGTTGATGTTGTTATTGGCTACATTAAATAGGTTGAAAAGTTCCAGATGGTGTTTTCTCATGTTTGCAAATAATTGAATTTACTGGAAGGTGGAGTTGTTGCACCATGTTAACATGAAACGCAGTGACAAATTTTATTGATATGCAAAAGTTTTTCATTTGACTCTCCACTGGCAATTCTTTCTATTCAGTATATTTCAACTTAACCATTTTCTACAACTTGTAAACACCATTACAAAATAATTAGTTAAGGAAATGGAAAATTTGTCACATATACTCCATGTAATAAGCTAACCGGATTGAGGGGGTGTATGTGGGAATAGGCTCTCTGGTCGGTATCATTAATTTGCTAATCACTCCTGTTTCCAATCTTATGACGAGGTTGGGCTGTCAGGGCAAAGGAACTGAGGATTTTAGTAGGCAGTGACTTTTTTCAACCTGGAAAGCTATCATCATGAAAGTCACACTTGTGCTGGTAACTCATTATTATACCGATAAACTAGCTTTAAAAAGGATACAACATTTTATTTCGTAAATTTGATGCATAGTCTGTGCACAAAACTTTAATTTTACTATAATTTTATAGCAGCACCAATCCCTACCCATAATAAAATGTTAGGAGGATCAGAGGAAAACTATTGTTCCATATATCTGCGAGATTTTCATGTAATTATTTTAATACATGAATATTAACCGATACCAGGAGATCTAAGTATGTTCTAAAGAAAATAAAATTTGGTTGAAAAATTAGAATTCAGCATAGGCCGGATACACAAGATTCTTAGAAAAAGAAATGTGTGCTAATGAAAAGGCTTGGCAAACTTTTTTACACCTGCCTGTACCTGTTTGGCACCGCATAGTAAAGTCATTGGAAGTAGTCATTATCTCGGTGTTATATGTTGAAAACACTTGCACTCGCAGATTTCCTATAAAACTGTAGTTCAAGCTTGCGATGACTTCGAAATTCAGTTGCTCACCTCAAAAGGAGAACAAATAAGTCTTAAGTTTCTCTTTATTCAGTTTAAGTGTGTGTGTGCGTTCAACCATGATAGGTGTGTTCATCTTCGCTCTTCAGGTTTTTGGTCTTATCTGCGGCTATACTCACCAAACTAGTCTCAAAACCACCTCAAATGTTTCGTTACCAGATAGTTTTGCTCCCAGCAAACCTTAAAGGAATTGATATTCGAATTATAGGCAGTTTTTGGAGCCATGTGCAGACTAAGCGTTGCTCTTCTCGTCGTCGCCGAGGGCGCCGTGTTAGAAGATGTGCTTCAAACAAATATCTCTATTGGTGCATTCTTCTTCTTCTGGTTTCCAATGACATCCATAGAAACCCTGGTCCACCATTGGGAAAGAATACTCTTAACATATCTTCCTTTAACGCAAGAAGTATCGTCAATAAAAGACTGGAGCTTCAGAGTCATGTAGCGCTGAAAAACCCCGATATAATTGCGATAACCGAAACATGGCTTCATGAGGGAATAGCCGACAACGAAATCCTTCCATCTTCATATAATGTTCTTCGAAATGACCGTGGAAGTATAGGTGGCGGTGTACTTTTAGCATTTTGGTATATGTCGCAAATTAAAAAAATAAAATGCTCTCTTCGAATATAAAATTTTTCCTCAAAGTTTTCATGATGCGCAGATAGCACTTGCTTAGATATTTCTGTAAAGAAAAATTTTGTCTTTTAGTAATTAGTAAATAAAATAACGCGTCGACGAGCTTGAAAATTATTTTGAGATGTTTGTCGCTTTTTCTAGTGTTACGGCAAGAACTGAAAACATAATGCGTTGGTGGCAATAAGCCAGAAATCACAAAAGGAGAGAACTTAAAAGTGTATTAAATGAGAATGTTGTAGTATTAAGACACCTCGAAAAGAAACGATAAGAAGTATTGGGAAACATCGTTCAAAATTGGGTCAAGATCGGAAATTTTTTTTTTGTTACTTACAATCACTCACTCACTCACTCACTCACTCATCCCCTAACATGACTCTAACATGACTAAATTTTTAAGTTGGTCATTTGAATCCATTCAAGAGAATATCGACTTCACAGTTTATATTCTCTTGATCCGTTGAAATCTCTTCCATCCTTAAACACCCTCTTTCCATCTTGGTATATTACCTTTTTCTTGTGTTTTTACCTTCCAAGTTACCATTTTCTAGTATCCTTTCTAGTGAAGTTAGTCTTTCAAATTGCACAAAAGAATACTCAAAACATCTCAACGTAGCTCCCTTTTTTGATAAAAATCCGTCCTCAACGTGAGATAGAAAAAAAGCATTATTTTCCTAAAAACAGAAAGAACATTTAGAAACGTTTAAGTTATTCAAATATGATGTGTTCACATTACTTTTCGGAAACTCTGTATTTTCCTAAGAACTTGTGCTGCTCCCCTCCTAATACTTCTCCACAATCCGGACAAGTGCCCTTCTGCATTGGTCTAGAACACTATTTCAAAACATATAAAATCCGTGTTAGTGAACACAATCAGAACCGGTGACTATGCGAAAAGTACATTGGGCTCTTTCTCTACTCGGGTAACAGGTAATTGATAACGTATTTACATCCTTCTCCCTTACCCATTGCGGCAAGTTTCTAAGAATGCAACCCTTGATTTCTTGGTCTATGATAGTCAGTAGCGGATCTAGAAAGGAGTTCAAGGGATTCTGAACCACCACCCTCCCCACTATCGCCCATCAAAACCCTGAGTACTTTCCCTCTACCTGAGACCAATATTCTGCTAAGGAAAAGATTGCATATTACTGCTAAACTTGAAGTTTAATAGTAATTTTCTTAATTTAAAGTATTTCGTGTCCTATTTAGGCTTTAGTGTCCAAATAAAAAAAATGTATGTATCTCCTTACCTCCCCGATGAAATACACATATCCGCAATTACCACATTCTGAAAGAAAGAAAGAAAGGTGTAAGATGTAATTTTAAAGTTCTCGTTGGAATACTAGAATTGTACATTCTTATTTAAGATCGCTGCTAAATTCAAACGTAAACATTTGTTAAAATAAAAAAGATACTTACCATACCACTCTCCAACCGAATTAGTGCCACTCATTGTTTTAGCGATGGCCTCCATGCACTCGAGATAGTTATCCTCGGGCATTGTTGGTAAAAAAGAATTCTGTGCCAGGAAATCAACGGAGAAATCAGATATTCTGTCAGTAAACTACTATGGAATAACAGGTAATTTAGTGTTAACAACTGGGTTGAAAACGTAAATTAGCCACCGTAAAGAGTAAAAAAGCTGACGTTTCGAGCGTTAGCCCTTCGTCAGAGCGATTGGAGGAATTGTGGGTTGTGTGTGGGTTTCTATGCAGAAAGTGGAGCTACGCCATTGGTGGGAATATGGTGACGAGCAAACAGGAATAAATTAGTTGAATGAAAAGCACTCATTGATTCTGTGGGGATTGAGGGTGCCGATTTGGAAGATAAATTAACAGTACCTGCGCCAATGTTATGCAGTAAATAACGGTACCTCCGCCAATGTTATTCACTGCATAATTTGCACTTATTGCAATAAGTAATACATCGGCGAAACAGGAAGACGACTAAGTGACTGATTCCGAGAACACCTTCGCGACATGGAAAGAAATGACAAGGACGCATCCAAACCAGTCGCTAGACACTTTAATCTTCCTAATCATTCTAAACAGCATATGGCAGTTTGCGGCCTTTTCTTACATCTAGGCTGTTCGGAAAGCCGTAAAACACTTGAACAAAAATTTATCAGTTGTTAACATTAAATTACCTGCTATACTCTCCCACCGACGCAGCACCACAGTTTCTTTAGAAACTTACCCCTTTATTACTATGGAATAAGGTAATTTGGATCAATATCAGCATCTGGGCAACTGCCCACCTACCCCTCCCCAAACCCATAACAAGTTAGGGTTAATGTTGGGTTAGGGGAGGGGTAGGTGGGCAGTTGCCCAGATACTGATAACGATGGGCTTTGACGAAGGGCTAACGCTCGAAACGTCAGCTTTAAAATTCTTTACTGTGGCCAATTTACGTTATCAACTCAGTAGATAATACCAAATTACCCTGTTATACTCTCCCACCGACGCAGCACCACAGTTTCTTTGGAAACTTACTCACTTTACTGTGAAGTTAGACATGCAAATGCTCTTTCACCGTTGTAACAATAGAACTCAGATTGTTATCCTTATCGTTATTATTTTGACCTATGCACAAAACATTTCATTTTTTCTCAGGATGACATATCTGTGTCTACTTACCTTCATGGTAGATGGATCAGTCATGAGAGCATAAAGGGGCTGAGCCAAAGATGCTGCACCAACACACTGCAAAGCTACTACTGTATGGATCACAATTTCGGCCAAGGCGTGCTCCTGCGGACTCTTTCCGTTGTAAATTTGAAGTTCCCTAAGATTTCCACCTTGTTTATTTTCAAGAAGTTCCTTGGCCAAATGTTGAGCCTAAATGATAGACATAACTTATTACAAATAGAAAACGTACCTTTCAACAGCCTAATCAACGAGAGACTAAGGAAAGAATGGTAGCGTTTACTATACAATTACCAGCTCCTCTGGTATCACACAAGTCGACAACATTTAACACAAAAATCAGGAATTGAAAAATGTGCTATTGTTCCTTTCGTTTCAAGTCACCTCAACGACAATCGATTTTGCAGTAAACATGCGTGCATGTTTTTAATTGGTCTTACCGTTTCATTTATGTGTCCTCCCTTTCTTATGAAATCATCGATCTTTACTCTCATATATCTTCTTTTCTGAAACAAGCAGGCGAGAGTGTGTCGAATCAGCGAGGAGGAAGGATGACTAAGCATACAGAGAAGAATTTAATTTTCTTTGGAAAGTGTAAATCGTTTTTCCTTACCTTCAGAGACAAATTCTGTGTCTGAACTGGAGAACAATTTGCTATTGTTATTTCACGGTATATCACCAGGAGGAGAATAACATTCTTAGAAACATCTTGTAATCCTGTTTTCTACGAAAAATATTCAAGGTTCTAAGGGTGAGGTGTTTGGAACTTCTCATGAAAGATGTTTATTTGTTGACTTATGGCCTTCACTGTTTTAAAGGTACTTACACTTCGCTTACCAGTATGGTTGTGAGATGTAAATTTGTAAAATTTAACCTCTAAGTCTTCTAATATTAAGTCAAATAATTGAAGGGGGTAAGTTTCTAAAGAAACAGAGCGACAGAGGGAATGGCGAAGGGCTAAAGCTAGAACTATCAGCTAAGAAATTCCTAACGGTGGTCAATTTTCATTATCAACACTGTGGATAAAACGAATTTATCTTAAGATGAAGACTGTCTTCATAACTCAGGGGTGGATCCAGCATATTTCTTAAGAAAGGCAGCACCACAAACGAATAACATAACTGACGGGTGACGTAGCAAATTTTGAAAGCGACCAACGAAAAAGAAACCTTACGACCAGGAAATGGCATGATGGGAACTGCTGAGAATGCATGACAAACAATGCAGTCAGCAGACATTGTATAATCGTGAAGTTGTATTAGGAAACCGCATGCCATCAAATTCATTTATTGGGTGTGATATTTATCGAAACGAGTGCTAACATATCTTGTTTCATTTCTGAATGTCTGGAGTTGATACAATCCAAATCTAAAATAACCCACAATAATCCACAGCCTTCACCTTTACCTATTCATTAATAGTGAAGATAAACGGTACCATAGAAAAAAAGAATAATGTTAATAGTTACACAGTGAACACCAACCGTAATGGCTGTGACAATGTCTTGGATGTTCCCACTGATGACAGTTTTGGCCAGCCCCTCACGGATGGCACGATAATGGTCTCCATGAACAATAAAGCTGTCTTGGATTACATACTTCTCCTTCAGATTGAAGACCAAATATCAATAACAAGCAACATGTACTACCATAAGTAAAATGTAAAAGATTGTTGCCTTCAATCATTTAAGAGAATTGTTCCATAATGAGCAGAAAAAAAAGAGGACGGAAAGAGTCTGGAGTTTCAAAAGTTCTTCCTCTTTTCCGCTCCTTCAGTCCTTAACCGTTGTGCTTTGGAAACACTTGTGGTTTTTGAGAGGTATTCACGAGGTTTAAGCATATTTGCTCTTATTGAGTACAGAGAAATTCACTTCTCACAGCAGATGGCCTGGCTTGTAAACATGTTCACTGTAAGTAGAGCACCTGACTACAAAGTCAGAACTCACCAAAATTGAATCCTCCTTGTATTTAGAGTTTTCCTTTCCTGTATACTTACGACATATGCATACTATTTTCCTTTCATGATTCAGTTCTCATACAGTTCAACGAAATCCATTCATTAATCATGCATTACCTACCCGCTGTCTGGCCTCTGGAGGTAGAATCCACGCCAGTTCCTCATATTCACCCAGAGTTCGGACACAATCCAAGCCATACCGCCAGACAAGCTGTTTAAGCAGGTAGAGCTGCGGTGTCGAACTCGACACTTCCATGCAAAGCTTCCTTGCAGACTCTAATAATAACTTCACTTCTCTCCTAGCTTCAAGGCTTTCGTAGCTGTTATCTCCTTCAATGAACAACTTGTAAAGGAACTCTGCCACCAATGATAAGATGTAACGTCCTTTAGCAACTCCATCCAGAGAAAGAGCGCTTATTTCAGCAGAATCCTCGTCACTGGCCCTAAGAGCTGTTAATGTCTCTTCGCAAGTCTTTTTAGCATGTTTGAGCTTTACTTCTAACTTCGAATCGGCAACTTTGGCTTGATATCGGCTAATGAGGACGTCCTGTGGTAAAAGCAGTTAGATTTGAGAACAGCTATGACTTGATAATACAATTTACTCCATATAATACAAGCGAAATAAGTAATATCTAGGGTATGTAGTATTAGTTTAATTTAATCACCTCCATGCACTGGACGCATAAGAAGCAGACTTCTTTGACGTGCGAAGGTTCTGGTTTTAAGTACCGAGCCCCATGAAAGAAAACTCCCAGATGGTCTTTCACCAACTTTGTCAACCTCACACTATTTTAAAAATAACAGACAAATTTAGTTTATACTTATTCCCTCGTTAATTGGACAATTTGATGTGATTTGGAGATAGGAACAAAGGAAATCAGACGTGTTAGGGACAGGAAAGTGAGAGTGCTCTAATTGAGAAAGAGATTGTTTCTTAATGCTTTTACCTTGAGCGCAATAGCAGCTGGAGAAGAAATGAACGCACCACAGGGGTGGGGTCAATAGCATAATCAGGGAATGGAGAGAAATCCTTTGTCTCAGTTGACTTATGACCGATAACATAATGCATAAGCAGAGTGATAGCTTCCTGTTCAAGGTCCTTTGACATCGAGTCACCAAAACAGAATATTGACACCAGCTCCATGAAAAAGGCATTACATCGGCGACGCAACTCAAAAACAGTCTCTTCATTGGTCCTGTGGTCGTAAAGAAAGCATGAATAATTACAAGCACAGCAGTAGAGTTATTTCTTTAACCTCAGATTCGATAACCCCTTCAAGTTCTGTCATAAGCCATGGTTTCCCGCCATCAGCCAAAAATAACTTGAGTTTTTGGCATTTAAAGCTGTGAGAAACTATGATTACTCTGTGAAAATATTCACAGAATATTTTCACGGAGTAATCATATTCGATTCGGCTTTTGGAGTTTTGGTTTTAATGGTGGGAAAAAATCCAGGAACCAGTTACAAAACAGGGATGTTGTAGCGAACGCACCGGCAAATTTCAAAACGGTTACATGAACCATACAATTCATTCGTAACCCGTGGTTTCTGAAACATGATCCAATTAAATTGCACTACAGCCAGCTAGCGACAACAATAATTACGCTCACAAAGCGAAACATCAAACGAGAAAATAAAACGCAAAACGTACCTGACGGTTTGGATAGAAGGGGAACACGAGATGTAGCAAAGAAACGATCATAGGAAGACAAACACAACTGTTCTTTTTGCGCGAAAATTTCAATATATGTATACGGACGCGAGAGGACTGAAGCCTAATTTGCAGATAAACCCCTGGCCCTTAAATTTTTTGAAACAGATGTTATGCAACTAACCTCGGGCACACAATTAGGAGACGAGTGATTTCACCCCATCACATTCCCTGAAATTTTCAGCCGTGGCTGACGCTGTAACACCAATGAATACTTTAGTGGCCACAGGCCGATGACACCTTCCACAATTACAAGCCTGGGAGTGTCTCCAAATTTCACTCCGCTTTCAATTTAAGTTAAGTAGTTCAGAAAAATATCAGGAGATGGCTAGCCTGGATTTGATCTAATTCACTGAAAAACTTTTTGTGACAAGTGAGTCCAAAGACGGCTCGTGTCAGATTTTACCCGAAAAAAATTGTGGGGAAATTTGATCAATAGTGTAGTCTCTGATACTTGCGGGGACTGAGGTACCATATAAGGGAAAAAATAAGAACTAAATTGTGCATAATGTGCTACTTTACCTCTGCTTGATGTCGTCACTGTAGTTAATCAAGAATTTCTCAATGACCTGCAGCGATCTCAGCGATGAAAAGTCAGTTTTATCTCCTAAAACCTTCAGAGGAGAGCATGTTTGTTATTATCGAATTTCAATTTTTAATTGATTATTTCCTTTAAGCATTTCCTAATTCTAAACTACCTTCCACAACCTGATCACGCTCTCGGAACTGACGTCTTTATCTTTCTCTGCGAACGAAGTCACGTGCTCCGCAAAGAGTCGAACAGCTCCTATTCGCTGCCACATGGACCTGATCCACAAAAAAAGGAAATAACCTTATGATTAGCAGCACTTTTTATAAGCACTTTCTGATACATTCTACAGGTCCTCTAAACAACTTGTTAAAGCAGGCTACTACTGACGTTTTGCGTTGATAACATTTTAATAAATTTTTATGCGCAGCAAAAATACCCCATCGAATTCGACAAAGTTACTATGGCCAAAGCCTTGCAAAATTAGTTTTCTCGCGTCATTCTCAATACCTGGAATCATTTCCTGCCATTTAAATCCGCAACGTCGGTAAGAATTCTCAAATAGTGAATTTCCAACTTGGCTTGGACAAAGTAAAGATGACTGGTAAATACCTCTTTGATGACTGGTAAATACCTCTTTGAAGAAGTACCATTTAGTTCTATATTTATGACGTTTACTCTCTTGGGAGGTTGTGCAATCACTTGATGACTACACATGGCTGGCCAAAAGTCCAACTGATTCAACATGCAAAATCCTTTCATAAAAGACGGACCGAGCGAATGACTGATTATACAAAATCTTACCAATAAGGTCTGCCGATTTAACTGACCGCAACAGAACGTTTAGTCGGCTTCTGCTTGTGTCAGAGTGAAAACCAACCTTAAGAAGGGAAAATTTGTTGTTTTGTTACCTGCAGTGATCAATTATTTGAGTTGATCTCTTTCCATAGCATGAACATTTCTCCGTGACAGGTCCCAACCTCTCTTTCCTCATCATGTTCTCCACCGCTGGCCTTATAGTCAAAACTCTGTCACACCAAGTTTGTTGTGTGTTCGGAGAAAGCATCCTCCCTTGTGAAATCTCGAGTGCCACAAGACAGATTTTTAATGCTAGGACATCCAAAAGCTGTAAAAAATTTTAAAATTCCAAAATTTAGGGGGAAAATCATATCATAGATCAGTTAAACAATACCAAACGTTGTACCTGAAACAGAAGGGGGGGGAGGGGGCTCTTGCGCTTGTGACTACCTCGCCATTACAAACAAGTGATAGTTTTAAGTTATGAAACAAGACATATAAAATAACCTGGTCTGCTAAAGGAACATAAATGTATCAGTGTATGACTCCCTTACGAAACCTTTTCCCTAAAGTGGTATAAACTATTTTAACAGTCACTACTAATTAAAGCTTCTGTCTATATAATGTCTTAAAATATTCGAGTAAGGCATTTAAACCCACCACTTCTGGCTCGTTTCCTTGAAGAACTTTCCGCAGTCTTGGTACCAGATCTGGATTCGCTTTAACAAGAGTATCAAAACACTTCAAACGGTGTTGAACTCTACTGTGTGCAACATGAACAAGTGCTATATCAATGGACTCGTTACCATCCTCATCTTCCAGGGTAACTATTTCTCTCGCTGACGAAAGAATCGCTTCGTAAACAAGCTAAAAGAATAGAAGAAGAAAAAAAAGCAAACTTAAACGTAATCAGGCTAAAGAGAGCGTCATCACACAACTAAAAAGCTTAACATTTCTCTTCGACTTTCCCTGACTTTCCTATCAAAAGGAAAATTTTCCTCTTGTATAGTAACACATTCAACATATTTGTATCGTTTGCGATAGCTAACGTTTATAATTGAATGATTAAGACGATTTCTCATGGGAAAGGATGCGCATTGGGTGAAGAGCCTAAGCAAGCGCTACGAAAGAAAATAATAACTATTCTCCGAAGAAATCTTATATTGTGATGAAAAACACTGGTGGAAATGAAACCTCGTGTTCCATATCACTCGAAGGCTTGTACACCATGTGAACAAAATCCATCAGATACTGCAGTCCCGCGGAGTACAGAGGGTGCAATTCATCGAGTGGAGGTCCCAACTGTGAGTTACTGATCATTTCACGAAGAGAGTCCAACAGAGTGGCGCTAGAATGAGCTAAAACGGAGGAAACATTAATAAAACAGCTGTTGCTACACAGAACTAAATCGAGTCCTTCAATTTACCTCACTGACGTCATGAACACCAGAATATATCGCTCATATCCGAGATGCCCATGATTGACAATTTATTTTTAGTGATTTGTTTCATGTTTCATGAGTCTGGATTTTTAACCACAATTCCTGTTTTCGTAAACAATAGAAAATTTAAGAAAAGTACCAATAGTGGTCTTCAGTCTCGATTTACTCATATGTTGTTGATCATACACATACAAACATAAATACAACAGTAAAAAAATTGGCAAAAAAATGCAAAAAGTAGTTCATGTACCTTCGACGCTAGTTGCGTCTTTTAACAATTTTTCCACGCTTTCCTTGATAATAAACGAAAATGGAAATCGGCAGGAAAAACGATGACCACCGGCCCCAGAACCAATAACTTGGACACGTTCTCGAACAGAATTAGCGGCAGGTGATACCATGTCACGGTAACTCAGCACTGAGATGCTACGGTCGGCCAAGATCTTCAGCCACAGCCTCGAAACCCACGCGTTGTCATTCTTCAACAAGTCTAGATTGCAGTCTCTGTCTGCAAATGCAATGATCTCAGCCAAAATAGGAACCACAACTGAGAACACTCGCTGCAGAAGAGCCTTTCTAAACGTGCCCCACTCTTGCACCCCTGTTCCCGACAGAGCTTCTGATTGGAGCCATCCTTGTGGATTCGCCGCTGTTAGTTCCCTTTCCTTTAAGAGGTGGTACATTCTTTGTACCGCCACGCTTGCAAATGACTCTTCATCTTAAAAGAGATGGGAGTGAGGATTAAAGAGATAAATAAAATAATGAAATTGAGGAGTTGAATTCTAGCAATTGTTGAAATAGACCTGGTTTTTTCAAGTCACTTCACACAACGTTACTTTAACTATTGCCCCCAGAACTACAATTCTGAGTAACACTAAAAATGCTTTAGGACTACGCCAAAAATTGAATTGGTTTAATGGATCAGCAAAGATTACAAATTTAATGTTCGTTTCAATCCATTATTGCTTTGTTTATTAAATAGATTGTAAGCTTTAGGCGATGAATAACCCAATCAATCCACCCTTGTCATTCTCGCAGCTTCCCTTACGACACCAGAGAAGAAGATGGTCACAACTTTAGGATGCCGTATGAATGGATTGTCTTTCGTAGCTTCTATATCACAATGATCTCTGGAAAAAGGTAGCGCATTACTCTTACACTGTCACAGCAATAGCAAAAGGAGAATGATTCTGTATGTCTTAGAACAACTCTTCTGTTGTTCGCAAATTTGAGCACCTTAATCAATACCTTCCCGCAAATTTCTGGAGATATTTTGAGGATAACACCAATGGTACAATCGGATGATTGCAATATTCAAGTTAAATTTGGAGATTTTGCATTCGCCTTCCAAATATGAAGAAAGGCAAATTTCAAACCTTGAAGGCTTCGATTGCACCTTTCGAAAGGTTATAGTCCTTAAATTGAAAGACTTGTGAACTTTTTATAAAATCTCAAAATGTTTCTCTTTACTAACCCCCCTGAGTTTGGTAGTTATCTGGTAGTAAATCCAAAAGCAGCTCAATCCTGTGAGTTGACCTTTCAGCTGATTCCGTTTCGCTCTCAACCCTACAAGCAGCCGCCTGTACACAGTTACGAAGAAGCTTCACCGCCACTGTCACCACTGGCATGGCGTCATCTTCCTCAATGCGGTCTCCACTAAAAAGCTCACTGATGGGACGATCGGTGAGTTGCTCGATGGAAGGAGTGTGCCTACTGGGTGGACGAAGCTCATCAATGTGAGCGGAAATCCATTTTCCATCCTGCAAACCGATAAAGTTACGACATCCACCAGCAATTCTTGGCAGCTGCGTGATCAGCACAATGTGGACAGCTTCCAACGAAGACAAGTTGAGCATTTCAGACGCGTTTGTTCGTTCTTCCAGGAGAATGTGTTTTGCACACGCAATCAGGTTGAAGTTTTCATCTCCTGAATCACACTGAACCAGAAGAATGCCAGGACATTTTCCGCCGAGTTGTTCAAAAAAAGTTCTGCGAGAAAAAGATAACGGTTCGTTTCAGTTGTGAAAAAATTGTACACATCATAAACAAAGTTATTTGAGACGTCCAAGGTGAGATACACTTAAAGCTGTCAATGTGTTAGCCACAGAAAAAATTCGCATATACGGTGAGTGGTCTACACGAGTAGAAACTTATCAAATAAATGGATACAAAAAGTAAAGCTCGTAGGCAAAACTTGGGAATATTCCACAAAAGGTCCTTCTCTCCCACAATTTTTCCTTGTAGTTAACAAAAAAGGAAATTCAGTTCACCTCATTTCATGGTTTTTGCCTTTTTATTAGCTCGTTTCAAACATGTATTGGAATTCTGTGGCACAATTAATGTCGTTGCTATGCGCGCTGATTTATATCAAGCTCTCACCTGACTGAAGCCCTGAATTGTTGTTCTGTTTGAAACTCTAGCAGTGTCATGGAATCCACAGTCGACCGTTCAAAGCCAGTTTGATTGCATAAGTCTCCCAAATCGTTCTTAGAGAGCAGACGTGAATGAGTAGTAACCTGAAATAAAGATGAAAATCAGCCCATTCAATGACAAACACTAACAAACATAAAACAAATATGGATATTCTTGGTCTTGCAAGAGCCACACTCATTTGGTTATTTGCCCTATTCATGTCAGTTGGTAATATCACCAACCGCATGAGACGAATACGTGTCGAGGTTCAGCATCACAAACATTTTCTCTGCTCTCATTCTGAACCTCCTCTTGCTAACTTAAAACATTGTTTAATAAGCCATATCCCATTCACAACAAAGCTGAAAGTCTGTTTAAATTGGGGATTCTCGAACCAACTTTTTTTCAACATCAAATTTACCACATTAAAAATACAAGTTCGTGATTAAGCCAGCCCCATATAAATTTAGTTCTCAAGTTGTCTGTTGCTGATTTTCTTGCGGTTAAATCTGGTTCGAGGAAAATTTTTTTGATTATGGAACATTACCTACAACGCCTTGTAAGACTTTGCACCAGATAAAGGTCTTAAGTTTCACTTAACCACTTTAGAACATGCTGGTATCGTTACTATACCGTTAGGGCTTGTAAATGTTGCTGCTTATGTGGTTTTTAAATCCTCTACCTTACTCAAAAGAGAAGCAAACTATTAACGAGGGACATTGCATTCCCGTCACTAACTTGGATCATGAGCCCCTCCTGACGCTTTTCATCAAAACGACTACCCTCCAAATTGAGCACGTGCGACATGAACTTCGCCAAACTTGAGTGCTGTTGTTCTTTAAAGTAGGCATTCCAGATATAAGGGGCTCGTCTTTCTAAAGCAGTGTGAGGAAGGCGAGCAATGGCATCAGGTGAAGCCGTCTCCAAAAGCATCATCTGAGATCGTCGAAGTACCTAGTTAGTGGGAGAAAAGACAACTACAACGTTACTCTGCTAGTCGGGTGAGAGTAAAAAAATATACTTTACACTACAATCTTCGTCATCAAAAGCCCAATTCATGTTGCAGGCAAAGTATGTAAATTAGGAGTCACATTCAATGTCCCATCTTTCGCAAGCATCTCGGGGTGATCAATAGGAATATCATATCCGTAACAAAATACGTATTTAATGATTCAGTAGGAAAAAAATATAAGCAAATTATATTATGGTAAAATCATTAATCCTCAAACCGATTGCTAAACATACTAGAGCAGAATTTGCTCGCTGTACCGGCGAAGTGTTTCTAACGGAGTAAAAATTTATGAAACTCGCAAAATTTCCTATTTATTAAAATACGCAGAAGCCATCAACATGTATGTATCTTAAAATGACATTTCTGTGAACCTTACTTTCATTTCCCATGTATCCTCTGTGTCATAACTTGCCGGTGATTGGTCTTCTCTTGGAATTTCATTAGAGACTTGCAAGACAATGGAGGGAATTGTATCCTCGTGAAATCCAACAAAAGCGTCTCCGATGGAGTAGTCCCTGTTATAAACAACAAATTAATGTTAAAATAAACTAACCCACAATCAATAAAATTTTAATATTATGAATAGTTGTTCCGTAGGCTTTACCTTATTACTATTTTAAATTGCGCCTCTTGGGCACCCAAAATCGTGCAGTATTCCGAACACTGCAAAATGCAATAACATTGCGTGTCCCTATAACAAAGCCTCGAAACCCTTTTGTGTACATCACCTGCCACGTCTGCCTTCACCCGAAACCTCAGCAAATTCATTAGCCCAGGTCCGTATTTTCTGTACTAAGTCCTTCTGGTCAGGAGTCAAACTTGTTAAGGTCACAAGGAAGTGTTTCTCCAGGCGGTTGATCAATGGAATGGGAAAGTTGTTGTACACCACTTCCTTTTCAGCAATCACGATTAATCTGAAGAAGGGAGAGTGACTTAAAATTCAAAGCGATGAAAACAATAGGTTAAGGCTCTATGGCTCACTAGCACTGCGTTTGTGAAGGAACACGAAGGAACGAAGATGACGATGAAAACAACAAAGGCTAGGGATTGTCTTGAAAACGCAATCCAAGCAACGACTGCGAAGGAAACTACAACGTATAGAGTACATCTAAATTTATTATGCTTTCTTTCTAGCCGCTTAGAGTCGCCAGATAGGGAAGTTCAAGGAAACTTTTGTGACAAAAGAAAAGTACAACTTATAAACTTCACCATTGCAGTGTGAATGAAATAAATCATCTCTTCGACCCACGGTAATAACAAGTAACGAAATGGCGCTAACAGCTGAGCCACAATAACAAAAGGGAGTGAAATTATCAAGGATTATACAAGATATGACTCTAGAAAGACACTAGGAAGACACTAGGAAGACGTTACTACACACTGGGATACGGAGGCACACTGGGAGAACGTTAGAAAAAAGGTAAATTTTATGGGATATTTTCTTTTTGTTTCCTTACATGAATTTGCTCACCAATAAACACACAAAAAATAACATTTTGACCGAATAATAATAAAATGTTCGTAAAGATCGAAATTATCTACGATCAGCGACAAAATTGTTGACACATTGCCTTATTCAACTCCCTAAAACTTCAAATTTATCTCGTTTGTACTCGTTAAACCTATTCGCCCCTTCCTCCCAAAACAATGTTGCAGCGTGTTTCCATGAACCTTCAGCTACATACGGGCA